CATGCACTTTTAGTTACCACAACTTCTTTAGTATTAATCTACTATACTGTAAATGTTTAGAAGAAAAAAATGATGATTGGTACATGAATTAGGTGTATGATAAGGTAACAGTAAGTATATTCAATATTGTCTTTTTGAACATTGGGGGATTAAGAATGCCATTGATTTAGGAAACTGTTTTTAACCCCTTGTGTACAGAGTCCCCTTGTTTGCTGAATAAACTCGTCTGGTATTGACCAAATAGAATAATTAAAAGTAGCATCTCCATAGTGAAGGGGTTAAATAACTCAATCAGAACAAACTACATTAATACGTGTTTTAAGGTTTAATTTCTCTTCACAAACTTTCAGGGAGATCTAAAAGATGTGGTAAAGCACGACAAAGGTCTCACGGAGTCAACGATATTGCGTATGATTGTTGACGTCTCGGCTGGGCTCATGCACATGCACTCACATGCCTTCATCCACACGTGAGTCAAACAGGCCGAGTGTATTTATGTTGAGGTTTGTGAGGAAGACTTCTTTTGTAATCTCATACCACAGTACTGTACTGATACACCTGGGGTCAAAAGTTCCTTCCTTCCCAACCAGAAACAGTATTGACCCCAAATAACATAAAACAGTACACCCGCACGAGACGAGTCAGGTCGAGTAAGTAGGAAGTTGGGAGACTCATTCCTGTGACTCAGTTTCACCGCGGAGACCGAACTTTTGATCTTTACCTTATGGTGAATGGGTAAAGAGTCTACCAGTTCCTATGCCACTGAATATATGGGAAAGTTCTACAGAGGTTCTAAATGTATGTACTGTAGGTCCTCCTGTGTACATAAACTACAGTATATCTATATATTGTACATATACTCATGCAAGTGTGTACAGTAGTCTGTTCTTTAAGTGTCCAGTGACCATTTTTGCCAGTATACATGCTTATGAACAAGAGTGTGTGCTTATATGATATGCTGTGTAGATGATTACTTTGTGTGTACTGTATGATTACTTTGTGTGTACCATATTGGTTACTTTGTGTGTACCATATTGGTTACTTTGCGTGTACCATATTGGTTACTTTGTGTGTACCATATTGGTTACTTTGTGTGTACCATATTGGTTACTTTGTGTGTACCATATTGGTTACTTTGTGTGTACCATATTGGTTACTTTGTGTGTACCATATTGGTTACTTTGTGTGTACCATATTGGTTACTTTGTGTGTACCATATGATCATTTTCTGTAATTTTATTCTGCTTCCTTGTGTGTTTCTCTCATTGCTATTATAAACTTACCAATCAGTAAATTTTAATCCTAAACTTGTATTTCATTTCTGTTATATTCATAGTCTGTCTTTCCCCCTCTCGTTGCTCTAGGGACCTCGCTGCCAGAAACTGTGTGGTGGACGAGGACAACTCCGTGAAAATTGGGGACTATGGTTATAACATAGATTTCTACAAAGTAAGTAAGCCTGGTTCATATATAGTTCTGTAGTCCATTGTGAACCTGTCAATATATTCCTTAATAATTTTGTATTGTTCTTTTCATATTTCCTTGTTTGTATTTATTATCCATCACCACTTTTCACACTTCGGGTAATACATCATTCATTCTTTCTTAACAAGAGTTATTTAATGGTCTTGTCTACATGTACCGAGATATTTACTGATGTCGTGTGTATAATTATTTGCTCTTCTCTCTTATGGCACAGAACGAGTATTATTGTGCAGGAGAGGTGGCCTTACCTTTAAGATGGTGCGCCCCTGAGACTCTGAAATGCACCGACACGACCATAGAGACAAAAGAGGTGGGTTATAAGGATATCGTTGTGTTATGTTTGTACACCGGGGGATCGTCTATTCTTCCTTCCTTCCCTCTATCCATCTCTCTAACCGAACAAACAAAAGGGGTTCAGAGTTGAGATACCAAGAAGACCTGGATACTGTAGTTGGAATTCAGATAAAAGGAATTTCACTGTAGTTTAATTATGAGGTAGCCACAGCTTACACTCTCTCCTTGTTGAATTCTTTTTGTCCACAACTGTACTGTACATTGACTCAGCAAGTAAACAACCAATGTACAGTACCAAGACATACTACACTGAGTTGCTCTTTACAGGTCACTAAAGCAGCAAATGTCTGGAGTTTTGGTATAATAATGTGGGAGATAGCCAGCAGAGGAGAGCTGCCGTACAAGAGCCTCGATGATGACCAAGTTATACAGCAGGTGGTGGTGGACCAGACCTGCCTCCTGGAGTCACCCAAGACCCTGGAGCTTCACTCCGAGAAGATGTGGGTGAAACATATTGTTTGTCATTATTTCTGAGAACTTTGGACACTTTTTTCTGAGAACTTTGGACACTTTTCTACAAGAAGTATCCAGAAAGAATTACAATATTTAACTTCTCCATCATCAACAAGTCTCAAAATCTGGTAGACAAAGACCAATTCACCTGTACAGTATCTTTAACCATACTTAACATAGAAAAATATTCAACCATTTTGTAACCTTTTAACCAACTCTGTACCCTACCTCAAGCTCTGCTCTGGTAAATTTGTCATATTTCTGGTCTCTTGTGTAGCTACAGGATGTAATTGAGTCAGTGGAACAGACTCTTGTCTTAACTCGTGTATGTGGTCAGGTCTCGGAGAAAACAAAAGTACTGTACTGTATTGTATTCTGGATCAAGAAACTCCTTTTATTGTCTTATTTTCAGATTTATTTAAAAAACATTTCTTAACATGCACAAGTACATTGACTCCATCTGTACTGTACTGTACAATAACAGAATTAATTATTTACAGCTATAACATAATGAAACTGTGCTGGGACCCAGAGTACTCCAGAGCTCCCATGACCCACATTCATTCTTTGTTGATGCATCTGTGGGAGAACTCCTCTCTTACCTGCCAAGATACATCAACCATGAATGACTTTGAGCGACGGTGGGACCAACTCCAGCAGCAACACTGTCGGGATCACAGTATAATGCATGCAGCCAACACCTCTGACCTCAGGTAAGGAAGACGACGATGCTGTTATAGTCTACCTAACCCAACCCAACAAAGATGTATACTTGACACACTAGTTCTTGTTTGTACAGTATATATAATGTAGTGTTACCCATGTCATCAAGGACAAATAAGATATAATAGTAAGATGTTTTATTGTATGCCGAGGGAACTGATAAATGTTAGAGACTGGGACTTGTGGTCGTGAAATTTTTTTTATACATCATTGTGGGAAACTGGGACTTAAGGTTCTGATTTTATTTTATTATTATACAAAGTTGTGAGAACAGGTGTTGGAAGCAGTAGTTTATGAATATTCTTGTATTTCAGATTTGAAAGTGACTTCAACTTATCAGTTCAGGGTAAACATCACTTAGGAGGAGCAATGTCACCAAGCTTACAAAATCTTCATGGCTCAGTAGAGGACCTGGATGCAAAGATCGCCGACAAGTTTGGCTCAGCCCTTCCATCGTGGCTCGGAATGGAACCTGGACAGCCAATTGATAGTTTAACACGGGAGATAACCGACGCGATACTCAAGTTGGACGATTATTTAGCCGGAGAAAAGTCAGAACCGAGCACCGCACAGGTGTCACCAGAAAAGGGGGGAATTAACTTTAAATTTGGTAAAGATTCATTTGTCTCGAATCCTCCGGAAGCAAAGATTGCCAGAGTGGGTAGACTGTTTGCTGGGGAGGGAAGTGGACATCCAAGTCTTACCAGAACACTGTCGGACGGGGAGGATGAAGGCTTTACCATGAGGCTGGAACAAGGAGAGTTTACTGAGATGGTCAGACTGAAGAGCCAAAGTGTCCAGGACTTCATGAAGTTAACAGTGGTAGATGACGGCAGTGATTCTGACAACGCCAGTCAGAAGAACTCCTTAGCCTTTGAATCTCTTACTCAGGAGAAGAATTTCTCAAGTGAGGGTAATATAAGGGAGGCTCTCAGGGACGTTAAGTTTATGAGTGAACTTGAGAGATTACAAGCAGAACACAAATATTCAATCATTACTGAGGCAAGCAGAGAAAATGCATCCTCTATAGAATACAGATTACAGGACTTCAACCTAGACCAGCCTTTACATGAGTCAGATACACCGGTGCTCTCAGAGGCAGGGTCCACAGATAAGTTAGCAACCAGCACAGAATCAGACAACTCAAATAACTTCCACGAGCGATACAACAGTGAACGGGATCCTTTTTTAGGTGAAGTTATCTCCTCTGACCTTAGAGAGGAGAAAAAAATGAACGTCTGTAACACCAAAGAGGAAGATGGGAATTCCACTGATTCTGGAGAGAATTCTGTGGGGTCAAAACCCATGCTGGCATCACCCGACTGTGTCGTGTCTTCCCGGGAACCTAAACCGGTCGCTCTTCCCGATATCGTGGTCCACGATTCCGGCGTAAAACTGAGTACGCCGAGCCCTCCACCCGTTGAGAGTCCGGTGAAAATCATAAACAGTAATCAACCAAAGGAATTTCGTTTTATATTTGAAGACCAGAGTGTTTCTCCCTCAACTTGTGGCTCTAAGTTTACATTCAATGACGGACATGACACTCACTCCCAGACGGACTCGGTAGTATTTAGTGAGAACATTCGAAACACAGATGTGAACAGATCTGACGAGTGTAGAAATAATAACAATGAAGGAATCGGCTATCGAAGAATTAACAATTTCGACGAGCTCGACTCGCCCCTGGTTAAACAGTCGCTGGAGAAGGGACACGAGGATGTAAACAAAATGGGTGAGCTTAACAAGTTCCTCACATACATGCAGGAAAATGGTAAAGAAAGGTTAACCAGCACTCCCTGTAAAAAAGACATCATTGAAAACGCCACAAAAACAGATGAAACGACAAGTGAGGGGAAATACAAGTCTGTGTCTTTAAATAATGAGTCAGGAGTTCCTATTACAGACCTCGTAGGAGACAAAGAAATGCCCGTCAATGGGATAAACTTAAAAGCCCGCGACTCGGATACCAAACAGAGGTTAGTATTTGTCAGTACGAGCAGCAGGACAGAGGACGACGATAACAGTGTTGAGGAGGAAGAGGAGGACATGGCACTCAGGGAGGAACACCAAGAGGAAGTCCCAAGCTATAAGCCTGAGAAGATCATCAAAGGGGAAGACATAGTGATTGGAGCTTTAGATGATTATTCTCTCGACCTCTATAGAGCCGTCAAGTCTACCGAGATTCCTGCGGCGGTCAACGAAGCTCCGGCAAAAGCCTCGTTACCAGCGGAGGGAAATAAGGAAGCTTATTTATATGAATTACCTAAAGAATCTGTTATAAACAAGAGTAAAGGAAATGAAAATGAGGCAATAGGGATTGAAGTCGATCTGGAGCAATGGGATAAATTTCTTGGCAGTACAATGAACGGAGAGAAAGACGGTTCTGAGACGGTGTTTAGAGAGAGTTTCGATGAGAACGTCACGGCTGAGGGTAAAGTGGCGAGTGACGTACTAGACAGCAGCTTTGTGATGGGCGAGAGTGACCCTGATAATAAAGTGCCAATGAATGATCTCGACATGAACCATTCAAATTTTAACTTTAAAGACAAACCAGATTTAAGTACCACATTTGAACATAGTACCTGTGATGAGATCTGTGAGATAATGGCCAATGACAAGGATACAGAGTCTGACACAACGGAAAATCGTCCTCAAGTTAATGTAAAAATGTTCTTTGGGTCAGACTCGAGTATCACAGACGTCGATACCACCTGTAGTGATGTTCCCGACAGTGTGATGAAGACACCAGGAATACTAAAAATGAATTCTCTTATAAATAATTCAAGCAGTCAACAGTCCAAGTCAAGTGATGAATCTTATATTACAGCAGAGTCGAGGTCTCTTACTCAGGAGCTGCAAACCTCGGGTGAACTCTCAGAGCTTTATAAAACTACATTATCAAAATATGACACTGAAGCTACAATGTCTGTGAGTGAAACCATCTCTCTTAACTCCACAGGCAACACTCCTCTGAAAGTTAACAGTACCGAGGCATCGCAAAGTTCTCTCGTTGATTCTTACATTATTGATAATACACCGTCAAATTCCTTCACCTACAAGAGGGAAGCATCTGTTGACGGCACTATAGACGACATCTCTCAGAAATCTGCCTCGGAAATCCTGAAGCCTTGTACAGGTATATCTGAGGATGTTTTACATAAAACAATTCCCAAATCGGAAAATAGGATCCCCTCTACAAGCGAGACTGTTTCCTCAGGAGCTTTTGTTAATAATAGCAGCTTGGGGAGTAATGCTAAGAACGAGGACTTGACATCAGAGGCTTCACCCACTGCAGTTGACTCAGGGATTAGTTTGACATCACATATATTAAGTCTTGAAAATATTCATTCATCATTTCCCGTTGCATTAAGTACAGAGAAAGACGATGGACTGGATGTTAGAAAACATGAAGTTATTATTGTGAAGGAGGATGATGATTTGTCACCAAGTGCATATCAGACTAAGTTAAAATATGATGATTGCTGGAACTCCCAAGAGAGTCAGGATTCAGCAGTGGGGAACGATGAAGCAGAGAACGGAGACTTTTGGCAACAGCAAATGATGGCTTGGCAAGAGGCAGCCTTCCAGACTCGCCAGCTTCTTCAGCAAGCGGCTGGTGGGAGTGGAACATCTCTGGCAGGACACAAAGGCTCACAGGAAAACCTGTTAGAGGCAAGTCCCCGAAGTGACAGCTCGTCCACCAAGAGTCCTTACTCGTCTAACGACATGCTCAGTCTGGACGACGAAGGCACGTACGTCTCTTATAACACGACGGACGACGAAGAGGTGCTTGGCTACAAGCCGGAGGACATCAATGCCTTACGAGCTGAACTCAACCTTAAACTCGGGGGTCTACAAGAGGACAAGGAACAATTAGAACCCGAGGAACCAGACGATACATCCTCGTCAGACAGAGAAAGTGTTACCATCAACTATAGAGGCATTATGACCACAACACTTTCTCCTATAAAAGAAGAAAGTTACCTGGAAGATGATGACTCTCCCTTAAGAAAGGCCAACATAAAAGACAGTTGTAACTTAGACTCTATCCTTGACCAGAGCATCGAGTTTGAAGAACCTTCTTCGGTGAGAGACGATACATTTATTCTTAATGAAGCAGTTAATGAGCAGATTGTTAGTAAAGAAGAACCAGGATTAATTACATTTTCTTTGGAAGATGATGAACAGGACAAAAGGTTAGCGAATGAACACTCCACTGAAGAGAGTAAATCTACAAATGGCCTCAATATTGCCGATGAAGCACAAACTGACACGAGCGTGAAGAACACCGTGGAAACCGTGAACGAGTGTTTGAGTTTTGAAAATGCCCACGACAGTCTGATACTGGAAGATTTAGACGAAGATAACGGTCCATCGTCCATTCATATATACAACTCGGGGAACAGCTTTGACGGAGAAGACATGCTGATTGTCGACACTGTAACTAATGAGGCCAAGATCGTCGACAGAGGTAAACCAAGGAGCCACTTGGCCTTTATCAACGATCAAGAGGAACAACCGGAGACGAAAGAAATTCTCCTGATCGGTTACGAGGAGTCGGACGACGTGGCTCCCGAGTCCATTCCGTCCGTGGGAGGATCTCGGTTTGATGAGATGCGCCACCGCGAGGAGTTCCTGAGAAACAATCCATCTTGGGAGAAGCCGGGAAACATTAAGTTGGAAGACTATGAGGGAGATAGTGAGTCTAGACCCGAGGTAGAGTTTGTTGTGTCAGACTTACCCCCAGACTCCCCACAAGGCATACAAGTTCCTCATTACCATTCATATTTCACCTCCGCCCTCAGCACCATATCACACCCTAATGCTAGTATTGAGGAACCTCCAATCTTTGAACAGGTAGAACACATTTCTCTTCCATATGACGTCAATTACCCATCAGCGGGGGAACATTTACATAGTTTAGAGGATTTTGGTGAGCAGGACGGTAGTTTGGAGAATCAGGTTAGTGGCGGCACCAAAGAAGAAGCTAAAATAAGTGAAATTGAAGACGACGACGATGCCCCAATAAAGCTCAACTTCCTGGGCCGACTTTATTCCGACGAATCTGTGGAAAAAGACGAGGAGAAGAGTTTGAAGTCGTGTGAGTCGAGGGAAGCGACTCTTCTCTCCGACTCGGACGAGGAAGAAGGCAATGATGAACAACAAGTTGCCCGCCCCAAGACGCCAGAACCGAATGACATCAACCAAATGACTTCCTCAGAATTTTTAGCTTCACAGAGTTACCAGGTGGGAATCTCTACCTCATCTATCCCCCTTACTGCCATCAGATTCTGTTTATTACTCTTCACCATTTTAAGTGAAACCTTTTGGATTATAGATCACCATCTGTTTCTGCTTCTTAATTATGTATTTGAATGAAAAAATAATTGAAATAATAATAATAGAGTAATAATACAGAAATAATAATAAAAGCAACAACAATAATTATAATCATCATAATAATAAGGACAATGACATGCAGTACTCTGATATATAAATAATAATTTTCCAAGCTTCTGAATCAACATTTACACCAGGTAGTGGCCAAAACATCTCTAGTTAATATATTGTTGATCCCCTTCCTAGATCACCGACCACGAAGAAGTTGAGGAACAGATCGAAGCGGAGAGAGAATATGAAGACGACTCTGAAGACGACGAATACAGTCCGAGCCAAAGTCCTCGCAAGATGGACCGCGTGGAGCTACAGGCAACGCAAGACCCCCGCTACACGCCCGATTGGGAGAGCGACACGGACAGCGACGAAGACAGTTCTTCAACCAGTGGGGAGTTTATGTGGAGGGTGAGTATCAAGCGGCGGCGATGACAGGTAATAGTAGCTTTAAGGTTGGTCCATATAACTGGTCAGGCAAAGATAAACATAGAATTATCTTACTAATATTAACACTAACTAATTGATATGCAAATGATAAGTAAAAGCAAAAGCAAGTATGGGATGTAGCTAAGAGAGTCTTGTGTTCCTCTCTGATCCTTTTTATATACAGTAGTTATGACTCAGTTTAACCTGTACCTGCTGCTAATGACATGAAGCACTTATTAACACACAGTAGAAGACCTCATATCCCAGTATTGTACACCTGAATAACCGGATTCTGTATATCTCTAGCGCCCCGTTTGATACCGTCACAGTCTAGCCGTAAGCGTTCATTTGCATATCCGGAACTCCAGCTGCATGGTTCCACAACTTTTTTGCCATAAATGTGAATATGTGACTAAATAATCGGAGCTCCCGGAGTCAGACGCTCCTCCTCATTTCGTGATTGGCTTCGTGTCCCAGCTGGCCAACCAATCACGAGACGGTTGTGGGAGCTCGGGTAAAGAGCATCGTGAAAACTGCATCCCCTTGTCTGAGGCCACCTGCTCCTCTTGTTGTATATGCATGTGTCTAGTGACTTGTTTTGTTATGTTTCCTTCTTTATGATACTTTACTTGGTGTTGTGGCTCCCAGGCGGCCACCAGAGTGTTAGCATGTGTTGTGAGCATCACCAAGCAGGCTGTGCCATCAGGAGCCATGAGAAAAGAAAACATTAATGGTGTGATACTTAACCTCTTCTCTGCTGATTATTTAGCATTTTGTTTTAGTACTTTTATTGTAATTTTTAATTGTTCTCCATCAGTTCATTTTTGTTTTAGAACTTCTATGTACTCTGTGAACTTTACTCATACAGTATAGATATATTTTGTAGTCTGAAACAATAATGGCAGACTTAAAGATATCTCTGAAATTTGAATTGTTAAAGCCTCAGTATCAGTTGCCTTTGGATATGGGATCTTCTACTGTACCTGTGATTCTTTTAGATGCCATGATGTGATGTGATGCAGATGAAATTTTATGCAGATGATAAATATTTGGTTTAGGGTTCCTGTATTCTATGTTCTGTGGATACCATACTGTACTACTGTTATTGCTCGTACAGTAGTTGAAAGTTGTTCAATCACTGACTGCATGAGTATACTGTTCACGGTCATTTAGTGGTGAATCCAGTCCCCCCTCTACCATGCACCCACCTATCATTGAGTAAGATGAGCACCTTTTTCTGACAGTAATTTCAAGCAAAGCACCTGACAAACTCACTTATTAAATGGACCAAGAGACGAACTACTGTGCGTAAACTGGACTCCAATAAAACGATCCTCATGAGCCGGCAGTGGAAGTTTGCTCCTCCACGCTAAAAATAGCTTACACTGTATCTACCTCGGTCATTACCCAGGAATCATAAAAAGTAGAAATGGTAAACCCGTACTCTTGGATTGACATTTTTTTTAGATGTATGGGTGACCTCTAAGCAGTAGTAGTACTATATATTTAAAACAATGAAAGGGCCTCCAACTTTGCAAATTAAAAAAAAATAAATAAAAAAATAATCACTATCATGGTTACCTTAATCAAGATATTTAAACTTGCTCCAAGACAGTGATGAAATATTACCAAGATACAGTATGCATATCACAGCTCGAATTATTCCCTGTTGCTGTCCTGTGACGTTGTAAAAGCCAAGTCATCGATAAGTTCTCCTTTCATGTTAGTTAACACATTCTCTCGTTACCCTACAAGCAGAGCTGTATGGAGAAAGAGAAGAATTTTTATTCATATATCCCCTGCCTGATTCTTTAAAGTGTAATGCAATAAGATAAACACTTATGATTTGTTGTACAGACTGCTTGAATACTTACTGTGTGGATCTTACAGTACCTATGACACTGTTGGCAATTGATAGACACCGGTTGATATGTGTATTCAGATCCGTCTCTTTGTTTATATGGGTATTTTAAATACAGTACTAATTATTTCCCCCTTTTGAATATGTTTTTTTTTTTTATTATCGTACGCTATCGTCGTAAATTGCCTTCAAGTGTCATAAGTACCGTAGTGCATTTACCTTGACAAAGAGATGACCGCACTGTACTGTTTGTCACTAACCCTGACCTGTCTTGTTCTGCTTGTCTCCCCTTATCTCCCTGTTTGTGCTTTCCTGGAGCTAGCAAGAGGAGGAAGAAAAAGAGAAGAGTAAAGAAGATGTAGAGAAACAGGAAGAGGTAAGGAATTTCTAAATGTTGATGGTGTGAGAAAAACTTTTGAGTACTGCATCATTTTTAAAGCTTATCTCTCAGTATAGTTAGATATATATACTGTATGTATACTTTGTTGCCACAGTCCTTTTAACAACAACTTAAAAGACAATAATATGTAATAAAAGATGAATACAGTGAGTTTTCCATGTTATAAATAGTTTCCTGAGAGCAGTGGGGAATTCGGTGAAATTTACAGTACGTACAGTATACAGTATGTAACTATTGAAAATACATGATGGAAATATATAGGATGATTCACTCACTGGAAACCCCAAGAGTATTACAGTATTAAAATATCTGTGCTTTATATTCTAAGGTGTTTCTCTGTCTCTCTCTCTCTCTTGTTTATACTCTGGGACCACCAGCAATTGAACCACCCTATACTGCATAAGATCATTCTCGTTACTCATCCCTCCAAAGCTGTTCCTCTTCACCCATAATGTGCCTATAAGACTTCTTCATATACATTGCCGTTCAGAACTTTCTTTACCACTCCGGCTCTGACTGTGTTATTATTTACCTAGGGCGACGTAATGCATCTCTATCGAACTTCAGCCTCGAGTTAGTTTTCTTTTGGTCAGGGAATAAAATGTAAGTAGGATTCTGCTAAATGGGAAATATTCTGCTGGTTTGTTCCTACCAGTGTCAGTCTGAACTTGTTCTTTGAGGTGTTTTTGTTGGATCTCCTGAAAATTTTTCCCTCCCAGTTTATTTCACTGTTACATTAACATAACATATCCACACCTAACCCAACCTAACATAACCTAGCGTAGCCTAACCTAACCTAATCTCCCCCCCCCCCACCCTCAGGTGTAATAAATTAGTTTGTTAGGTTTACATTAGGATGGTTAATCTTAAGGTGAAATAAATTAGGAGGTTAATTTTTAAGTGATAAAACTGTCTTAAAGTGAGGTATTGGAGTATACTAATGGAGGTACTGTATACACAGTGGAATATTCTAGAGGGCATGATTGCATGCTGTAGATACAAATTATGAATGAAAGTACTGTACAAGAGTCAGTTGTTAGAGTCCCTCCAGTGAATCAACCTAAGTTAGTTTTACTCTATTACTTGTAATTGTTTTACTGTTTATTTTCTTCAGCCCGGGGAACAGTGCCAACAGTCCAGTTATGTATTGGATGTTATTGAGGAAGAGCCTGAAGATGACATGGAGGAGGAGGAGGGAGAGTTCTCAGAAGACTCCGAGAGTGGGGAGGAGGAATTCACTCCATCCAAGTGGAACTCTGATCTGACTCCCTCTCACTCACTCCTCAAGAGTCCACAGAACAGATCCGTAAGTGTTCATTTGTGTGAGTGTATGAGATTCAGTGTTGGGTTTTATGAAGATACAATATCTATGGTCTGTGGATATTGCCAACCCTGAAACAGCTTATAACACCTTGTGTACAGGCTCCCCTCTGAGCTGAATAAAATTGTCTGGTATTTGTCAAATCAAATATTAAAAGTAGTGTCCCCATAGTGAAGGAGTTACTACACCATATATCATATTATAAATATCTAATTGAAATGTGCCTGCATATTCTTTTCTTTTTTTTAACTGCATTTCAATTCAAATAACATTTATGACATCAGTATGAATGGCATAGCTACACTATAAATATATTTCTTCTGGAAAATTGTCATACAAGTTTACAATTATTGATTCAGCATGTATAAAGGTAATGGAGGTACAGTATACAGACCAGCATTACCTTTTAAAGTGAAAATCTTATATATACAGTACAGTATAGTTAGATTCATTAGGTACAGTCACAAACAAAAGTCCTGTTGCTTCTTCTACTGCTCCACGAACCCCGAGATTTAGACTCGTTAATCCGAAGCATTTATGGACAAAATAATGTATCAGTGTCTACTGCTTAGGGTTCACTAGTTTGATTCTCAGGGTTCGTGGAGCAGCACAAGAGGCAACAGGATTGTTTGCAATAAAAATTGTGTGTATTATAAATTCTTCCTAAGATACAATAAATACAATAATACCATTTCCTACACAGAGCCTCAAGAAAAAAGTTCGCTGGAAACGTCAACGTCATCACAGAGTGTACGAGTATCCCCCAGAGCCGCGGTCGTGGGAGCCAACACCCACAGAACCTCACCAGCGGCGCTCCTGGGGACGCTCCTCGCTAGACTACCTCAGCCTTGCAGGTTAGAAAATCAGATACAGTTTTTACATTTGTCAAAGTTCTTCTGTGTTAGATATATTGTTCACCACACTTCAAAATTTCCTAGAATATTTTTGGTATTTATCCTGTACAGTACTTCATTTGTAGATTTAGTAGTAAGAACAAATGGTAATTACTCTTATTACACTGATATTTACCAGTTATCAGCAATCTTTAAAGTTTCCCAAATGATAAACATACATACTGAGTGAATAAAAAATCTTGGATATAAATCAATGTGACAATACACTTGGGATGCTTCTATCCATCAAATTTTTACGTGATTGTTGAGTAAGATGAGGACACTACTGTTTCTGCTTTTTCTAACCCATATTCTCCCAGGTCCCTGCTTTTACTACTGTTGCTTTTCTTCCCATAACAGAAACCTCAAGCAGACAAGGTAGGGCAGGTTGGTGTATATTATTAATACAACAGTTAACCTTTCTAATAACACTTTTCCTCTGCTTCACCCATTTTCTTTCAAACTAGAATGCATCATGGTGCTGATTCTCTCTTCCCCTTAGTGGTAAAAACTGACTTTGCTGTCATATTGATAAATTTGTTTTTAGATAATTAGGTGACTAGTGAGATGTGCACCAACCAAAACAACTTTACCACTAGTAATAGGGGACCAATTTTTAGGGGCATTACATCTTCATTGACCTTCTGGTAGAGGAAGGTCCTGGCAGTGAGTCCTACTGTGAAGGGTTTCAGGTTCAGCTGTGTCCTGTGTTAGTTACTGCCAGGATAAACTAACATTGCTCTGAGATTTTAGGATGGTGGGGTTAGTCTTGTTGGGCACAATACATTGTTGGTTTGGCCTGAGGGGATTATTTTTATCTACTCCTTCTTTTGCTTTTCTTCCCATAACAGAAACCTCAAGCAGACAAGGTAGGGCAGGTTGGTGTATATTATTAATACAACAGTTAACCTTTCTAATAACACTTTTCCTCTGCTTCACCCATTTTCTTTCAAACTAGAATGCATCATGGTGCTGATTCTCTCTTCCCCTTAGTGGTAAAAACTGACTTTGCTGTCATATTGATAAATTTGTTTTTAGATAATTAGGTGACTAGTGAGATGTGCACCAACCAAAACAACTTTACCACTAGTAATAGGGGACCAATTTTTAGGGGCATTACATCTTCATTGACCTTCTGGTAGAGGAAGGTCCTGGCAGTGAGTCCTACTGTGAAGGGTTTCAGGTTCAGCTGTGTCCTGTGTTAGTTACTGCCAGGATAAACTAACATTGCTCTGAGATTTTAGGATGGTGGGGTTAGTCTTGTTGGGCACAATACATTGTTGGTTTGGCCTGAGGGGATTATTTTTATCTACTCCTTCTTTAAAACAGACTGATTCTTTTCTTCTTTTCATGTAATAAAGATACAGTACAGAATTAGAATCTGAACTTTTTGGAGCTTTCTGTTATTTTTCAGTAAATGGTCATTTATAAAACAAATTTTACCCAAAGTTTCAAAATACTCTTAGTCACTCCAATATGCACATTATTATGTGGCCGACAACTGTGCTAATTTGTCTAAAACTTTTGCATGTTGATTCTAGGTAAATACTGTAGTTTCTGAGTTATCTGAATTCTATATATTGCAAGCTTTCATTGCACCATCACTGCAGAAGCTTTGTAGATTGAAGGACTTCAAGTATACTGTATTATTTGTTGAGAACTACATTTTATATATATATATATATATATATATATATATATATATATATATATATATATATATATATATATATATATATATATATATATATATATATATATATATATATATATATATATATATATATTAGCCTGGCAGTTTTCCAATTTTCTAAACATAACCCAATCCAAAAAATATATTCAAATCAGAAATTTAATAAATGTATAAAGTAATGAGTCACTTTGTTTTTTTAATGCAGTTGTTAAATTCTGTGTTGGTATTTTAGCCTGCGATCCACACACACAGTCCACACTATGTTACTATTTTACCATATTGGGATGACTTCATTACACTTAAGGTCAATTTTGATGTGAACTGAATTATGGCTGGACGATGGCCAAGATCTGACTCTTGGATTACAAGCTCATTTAATGTCCAGACTTGGCTAAGAACCAAATCTGTATATTATATCTCTCAATTCATTTACTTGGGTATATGCAGGTTTAAGTACACTGATCATAGGACTACAGTGATTGTAGGACCACACTGACCAAAGGACATTACAATATCTATTTAACAGTAAAATGTCCCTTAAAATACCATTAATTTTATATATTTACAGTGTATATTTTCTTTCCCATCCATAAAGCAGACTGGGACCTCGGAGCAGATGAATTTATAGCAGACGATGGTGGAGACATGGAAGATTATGTGTACCGCAAGCCCAGTCGTCCTGCTCCCCCGCCCCCAATTTACACTCTGGGGTCTGTTGCCTACGATGATGCTCCTGAAGGTGGGTCCTAATGATTCTTACCCCAAGATGATACTCTTCAAGGTGGGTCCTAATGATTCTTATACCAAACATGGTGTACTGTACATAAATAATACTGTACTACAGAAGCCTATTCATCTGAAATTTATGATAATAGTATTTATTTTGTCTTTCAGGATTTCTCGTAGACAATGGAGAATTTTTCATCCGGTCATCAGGTTCACCCTTCACATTCACGAGCTCGTCATTCTCTGCATCAGACTTTTTCCCAGGAAGTCACTCTGCTTCCGACTACGACGTCATCTTTGGTGGCCCCGCCCAGACTCCCGGTTTCTCTGATGCTTTAACAAGTAATTCAGTGGATCATATAGGAAGTGAAAGTGATGTGATGCAAGAAGATGAACAAAGACTTAACAGATCTGGTGCAGAAGGTCACACTTTAACTGCTGATATTGGTCTCATTAACCCAAGTTACCCAATAACAGAGGAAAGTGAACAGTTATCCTCATCTGGCACTGGTCTTGGCCAGCTCAGACATACCAGAGATAAGCTACGGCTAGAAATACCTACAATATCTCTGGCAGGTGATGCTGCCAAAAGCACAACAGTTACACTTGAAAATGGTGAAAGTGGATTAGAAAAATATAATGGCCAGAGTTTTTCAAGTATAAACCTTAAACGAACTGAACCAGAAGTGAGTGAAGTTTGAGTTAAATTAAACTTAGAATATAATTGTTAACACAAACTGAAACTACGCTTAAGACTGTATCATAAAGTTTAGTGCATATAACTCTTGTATTTATATCTCAGGACATTGAAATGAAAAAATAGTACAGTACTGTATAGATGTTACAGACACATGTACTGTAAAACAATGAGTGGCATACCATACAGTCTAACACTTCTCTGTCATTCTCGTGTAAGTTGGATCAAGAGGTACAGAAACCCAGAAGAAAATGATAAATAATCGTAGTGTTACAAGACAAGTGTAGAAAGTACCAGGTGTACTGTAGTCAATATAGAGATATAGTAAGGTTATGTCAGGTACTGTACTGATAACTATATGGTACATACCTGATCAATCACTGCTTTAATTTGTAAGAGAAAATGCTTTTTTTACTGTACAATCACTTCATTCATATCACACAGAACTCTGCATTTGAATCAGATAAGCAAATCTTGCACATGAATGAAACATTTTTCTGAGTATTTTTTAAACATGCCGAGTGAAACTCGCTTTGTTAGCCGACTGAGAACTTTTATAGACAAGAAAAAACAATATTGTCTGGGTGTTGAATAGGAAATTGTTGGCATGTTGTCTGGTCCTGATATTTACCTCACAATGGAAGAGAATGACATACCCGGTATGACCTGGATGTACTAGTGTTAAAACATTATTTTCAGTGATATCAAATATGATATAGTGTGTCATGAAGTACATACTGTAAATACCTTTACCAAAAATATGGAAGATTTATAAATACTGTATAAAGTGGTGATAAAAGAGTGACTTTATCATCAGTTTTAAACAAGGAAGCAGATTTTTTTTCCCCAAAATATAATTAAAATTGGCCTTACAATAATGCTGCCGAGGTTTAGAACTGGTGGTGAGTCACGCACAAAGCACACCCAGTGCCTCTAATGTGTCTTAGGAAAACAATGCTGCCGTCCACAATGCCTGTTGTATATTTCTCTTAAGCATTGTAATAACATGTGCTTCAATATGCAATTCTTAGAATCATGGAAGTGATTTATTTCAATAATGAATGGAGGAATAATTAAGCAGGCATGTATTTTACTGTACAGTACAGTACTCCAAAGTACCGGTACATCAAATGTATATGCCATGTAACTTTGGTTGTATTAAAATGAGTTTAACTTTATAATTTATTATTAATTAGTAAGCTGTTACATCAATCACATTATAATGTATTTCTTTGTAAAATAATATTTTTTTCATTTAAAAGTTTGGCCTTGAGGAAACTTTAGTTAGTTATATGTATATAATACACAAAGTATCAAAAGACAGGCAGTAGTTCACATAACTTAGTTCCCAGCAATGTCCAGATATTTGTCCACCAGGTAATAAGAATTGGGGGTTTAATTTAGGGTTCCCTTTTCCCAGACCAGGAACCTTACCTAGCCTAAAGTAACCTAACCACATCTACAGTTTTAACAGCAGTACAGTAATTAGACCCATATACAGGAATTAGTTTGACCCTCGTAAATTCGTCTTGAATGATGTCAAATCATAATTTTTTTGGACTTAAGGGTTGAACTGTCTGCTATTTTGATAGTTCTCCATCCCAATGCTTTAATTTTCATAAATCCTGATAGCTTGGTAGTTACTGCTACTTAACATTTACTGGATATGCCATATTGGTAATACCAGCACATGGACCATGTGAGTTGTCTGGATTTTATTTGCCTAAATAATTACTTTAATATTTTGTGCAAATTGTTTAGGAATTTGTCAAAATCTAGATACGGTATGTTGATATTAGGGTGTGGTTTGGACAGGTTTAATAGAATTTAATTGAAAACTAGCATTTGTGAAATCTTGCTGTACAGGAGCCAACGTACCTCCATCTATGCTTCTGACTGTTAAAGTACGTCATGCAACAGACATTTTTTTTTATGAACATAAAAGATTATATAGAGATTATCCTTATATTGTACCTCACCTGTTGTAAGTCATAGTAAATATATTGTAAATATCCATTCCTCTGTTAGAGTCTAAATCAAAGTGCTATGAATTTCTATTTATTGCAGCAATTGAAAAATACTTTACAGGTAAATTATCAGTGGTAGTTTTTTTTACAGAAAAGTTTAATATGCAGATTGTTTAAACTACAGTAGTTGTGTTTGGTAAGGCTCTTGAAATCTGATGTATATAAATCAAGACATTGTGAATTATAAATTGTTCACATATTTGTACATTGTTTCATATTGTGTATTTTGTATTTATTGTTGTTACTAAATGCATATTAAAGATAGGAGTGAGGATTTATGTGCAAGTAATAGCCAATGGAGCCACTACCTCACATTATAGTAGTGAGTGACCAGGTACTAGTTGAACGATACCTGTACATATCCTCAGTAACCCCTTATAAGGTTAATGCATTAGGTGATGGTCATAGGGGCCAGTCCTTAAAAGCCCCAACTTAACCTAAGCTATCAATCAGCTTCAGATCCTCAGGTGTCCTAATTCATATACACCCAAACCTAACCAAGATACCTGGGGTCCAGACCTGAGAGTTATATTAGGTGAGGTTGGGGCTTATTTAGAACAGAAAACAATATACATACACTAATGTATTTCTCAACCTTAAGTATGAAACCAAAGCAAAAATTTTATATAACTGCAATTTGCATATATTTCCATTCACAGTGTTGCATGTGCACCAATGGTAAATATTTTTGTAAATCCATTTTATTATTATTCCTCTCCTACTTTTGTTGTGGGGGAGGACCAGGGTACAGAAATCTCAAAGAATAAGGGGGGGGTAATTAGGGCAGACTGGCAGAAAACAAGTGGTGTAGTAAGTGACACGGAAGGAACGAGACAACGCTGGAATCATTTACATCCCCACCTGCAAATCCTTAACCTCTACATCAGTTCATTGTAAACCATACCAGATATTTACCCCACATTTGTCCACTATTTCTCAAGTTTCAAGAATTCATAGACTTCCTGTCTTCCCCATCACTTTTATTTCTTAACTGATATAAATGGTTGTGCTGGAGACTGCTTTGTCCACTCTACATTGTGAGGCCTGGCATTGTTTATTGAAATTTAGTGATGCTGTAGCTTTAGTAATGAAAGATTAAAAAAAAAAAAAAAAAACATTAAAAAAAAATATGTGCTGAAAACTAGTAAAAGTTGTCACCCAAATCTGGATCTTTTTGTACTGTATTTGATTATTCTCATGAGCGTGTAAAATTATCTTTGTATCAAACACTGTTGCCCTAAACTATAGTAATAATTTAGGGTTCTCAAATGAAAAAAATGACCCTGTAGATGATGACACTGAGCTCTCTGGTGTAAATACTAAAATAAAACATTGAAATCAGACCTAACATGATGGGAGATATATATATATATAGTGTACTTGTGAATGAAGTTAGATAATAGTTGAACTTTTAACTATAAATTTTCATGAGACTTCAAGATGATATCAGATTTACTTTCAAATTTCATTACATACATTTTTATAAGTACAGTATAGCTAATTGTTATGTACCCGGCATCACCCTGTACTACTATAGGTGCCACCAAGTTGTAACATTATTTTTATGCTCGGTGAACATCTTTGTGGTCTTATGTAAAGTAATTTATCCATATCAGTACAACATAATGACAACAGACACGAAGGTGTTCACTGATCCCCACAAGAGGTACATCTCCATGATCATTATTTTGTTCTCACTCAACATTCCACTTACAATCTAGTCCTTCAGGTGAGGTACAAGGTCCCTCAAGTGAGTTACAAGATCTCTAGTGAGGAATGAGATTCCTCAGGTGAGGTGCAAAGTTCCTCAGTGAGGTACCAGGTACAGGACTTCAGACATGACCCCAGGTACCTCATATGAGGCACCAGCTTGTGACACATATCTTTTGTGATCTGACATCTAGCATTTGTGTGCATAGATATTAGTATACATATTATGTATTTTATTTACCACAAAAATTCTAATAAAATATACTAAGATTCACAAATATGGTAAGGTGGTTGTGTATATTTATTTGCTGTCCAGTACAGTATTCTGGTGTAAATGTTTCGGAATTAAACTCACCAAAATAATAGTTTTTAGTAACCTTATGTAGGTTTTTTTTTTAGCCGACGAAGGTACTGCACTCGTCCAAGAAGCCCCCCAATTAGCTACAAGGAGGGAGGGGCTTGTACTGTTAATTAAAAAACAAAACAAAGTAACTGTACTAGAAAAGCCTTCCCACAAACCATGGCTTAACAGCTGTGCAAGAACACTAATCACAGCAGTTGTGTTCTGACCTCACTAGGGGAAAGGTCACGGCAGGGTTAGCTCCCGAGGGATAATTATCAGATATGGCCAGCGTTATGTGTGGTCTGGGGTCTGCGAGTTTGTTGGCCAAGCTGGAATGGGCCATGGAAGAATTGGAGAGGGCCAAGGAAGAAATAGAGAGGGCCACGTTGGAGAACCTGAAATTAAAAGGAGATGGCGAGATTGAAGGGGGAGGCAGGACAGGGAAAGCCAGTGTCTGACGAAAATTCAAGCGAGTGGAAGGTTGTAAGGAGAGGGATGACCAAACTGGTGATGAAGAAACACACCAAGGATACGTCAACAACGACATCAGCAGCTAAGTGTACCAACTCGTTCAGTCTCTTGATAGACGAATTGGACGTTAGTACAGTCAGGGACAGGGCTGACAAGGAAGGTATAAAAAAAACTTTAATTGTTGGTGACTCACAGGTAAGGTACTTGGACAGGGCCTTTTGTGGTAAAAATATAAATAGGATGAGGGTGTGCTTGCCAGGAGCTGGGGTGGGGGATATAATTGACAGGATGGACAATATCTTGTCTGGTAATGGGAACAAACCCATTATCTGCCTCAGTGCAGGAGGCAATGATATTGGCCGGTGTAGGAGCTTCTTGATAAGTTCAAGGCTGCTATAGATTGTATTAGGACTAAGGGAGGGATCCCTATCATATGCGGTGTCCTGCCTAGGAGAGTTGGCAGTGAATGGTTGTCAAGGGCAGTTGGTGTCAACGACCGTCTTGACAGATATTGCAAGTCAATATCAGTCCCATTCATTGACAACTGGGACAACTTCTACAGCAGAAGGGACCTTTATGCTAGGGATGGGGTGCACCTGTCTAGGGATGGAGTAGTAACCCTGGCTGGGGCTCTAGAGGGGGCAGTTCAAAAGATATCGAAGTCTTTAAACTGCTAGGAGAACATATGAGCACGGGGGTGGAGGAGACTGCAGTGGGAGCGGGTAAACAAAGTGAAAGATTACAGGGAAATAGTGTTAGGAATGATGACAAAACTAAATTAGACAGGGAGTTTAAAACTAAACGCGGTAAGGGGAGGACTCAGAACACGACTAACTTAAATGTATACTACGCGAACAGTAGAAGTATGAGAAACAAAATGGATGATATTAGGGCCTTGGTATGTAACGAAAAAATCGATATAATAGCATTCACTGAAACGTGGATCAACCTAGACACACGTGAGTTACCAGTCGAATACCAAATTGCGGGTTACAAACTGTTCCATACCGATAGGCAGACCAGGAAAGGAGGCGGAGTAGCAATCTATGTTCGGGATAATCTGAAGTGTGAAATAAATAAGGAAATAAAAACTGAGCGGAGTACAGAAACAATTTGGATAGAATTAATCGACGGTAGGGAAAAATTAAGCACAGGAGTAATATATAGACCTCCCAATATTGATAGAGTCAATGAGCGACTTATCTGGGATGAAATGCGCAGGGCTTCCATACACAACAAAGTCTGTATAGTAGGCGACTTTAACCTTGGCCAAATAGATTGGACTGACCTTACAGGTAACTCGGAATCAGAGGATTTTCTCGAGACGATCCAGGACTGTTTTCTAAGTCAACATGTAACTGAACCCACCCGGGGTAATAATATACTGTACTCGATTTAGTTCTGTCAAACAGAGAAAACCTCATTAACAATGTCGAGGTAGGGAACGAACTTGCAAACAGCGATCACAAAGAAATTAGATTCCAATTAGATTTTCAGGGCAGACGTAAGGAAAATTCCACTAAAGTACCAAATTTCAGAAGGGCAAACTTTGACAGTTTAAAGAGGCAGCTGGGAGAGGGGGTGTCGTGCTTGGCCGTGAACCTGACAGATGACACCGACCTGATAACGAGATCTGAGATTGCCGAGTTCCACGACAATTTAAATAGCGAGTTACTTAATGCACAAAGGCAGAACATACCATACAAAAAACTCAGATCAGACAACAATGACCCTAAATGGATAAATAATTATTTAAAGAACATCATTGCCCAAAGGAAGGCTATAGGTAGAAGGATAAATCGTGGCGAAATTTACCTCCGGGATTATTATAGGGTATTGGCGAGTAGGGTTAAAACCGAGATAAGGAAAGCCAAGAGGAATAATGAGGTAAGGATAGCAAGGGAGGCAAAGACAAACCCCAAAGGATTCTACCAAATGTATCAAACTAAAACACGAGAAAAGATTGGACCAATACGGTCAGACACCGGCGAGCTCACTGATAACGACTGAGAAATGAGCAATAATTTGAATAAATATTTTTCAACAGTTTTCACCACCGAAAATTTAAACATGATACCCGAGGCACCGACTCTATTCAGAGATAGTGAAGAAAACAAATTAAGCGAGATAGTAGTGACTAGTAACGATGTTAGTAAGCAAATAGACAAACTAAAGCCTAATAAGTCACCGGGTCCTGATGAGATATTTGCCAGAGTATTAAAGGAATGTAAGGAAGAGCTTAGTATGCCCTTAGCAAAGTTGTTTAACATGTCCTTAAAAACAGGTGTAGTACCAGAATCCTGGAGGATAGCGAATGTAATACCGATTTTCAAGAAGGGGGATAGATCACTATCCTCTAACTACCGCCCAATCAGTCTAACATCAATAGTAGGCAAATTACTGGACGCAATCATTTCAAACTCTATTCGAAATCACCTGGAGAAGCACCGATTGATCAATGATTCCCAGCATGGCTTCACAGGCGGACGTTCCTGTCTAGCTAATCTATTAACATTCTTTTCATCAGTTTTCGAATCGGTGGACAAGGGGCACAATTATGATGTGGTATATCTCGACTTTAGCAAAGCCTTCGACAGAGTCCCCCACGAGAGACTAATTAGAAAGGTAGAAGCACATGGCATCAAGGGTAATATCCTTAAATGGATTAGGGCGTGGTTACAGGACAGGAAACAGCGAGTGAGCATTAATGGCACTAAGTCCCATTGGAGCAACGTCTCAAGTGGAGTTCCCCAAGGCTCAGTGCTTGGACCATTATTGTTTATTATATACATAAACGACATAGATATCGGCATAGACAGCAACATAAGCAAGTTTGCTGATGACACTAAAATAGGACGTGTTATTGAATCTGACGAGGACTCCACAAAACTACAGGAAGATCTAAACAAATTTTTCGAGTGGTCTGAAAGGTGGCAGATGAAATTCAACGTGGACAAATGTAAAGTACTCAGTATAGGAGATGTAAACAGGGAAACGAGATACCAGATGAACAACGATGCCATAGAGAAATCCGACTACGAGAGAGATTTAGGAGTAATGATAAGTAGGAACCTTAAGCCAAGTAAACAATGTGTTTTTGCTCCTAACAAGGCTAATAAAGTACTTAGGTTCATACAAAGGAGTGTTAGTTACAAGACTAGCGAGGTCATCCTAAAACTGTATCTTGCTCTTGTGAGACCACACCTGGATTACGCAGTTCAGTTCTGGTCACCGTATTACAGAATGGATATAGAATCCTTGGAAAGAATTCAGAGGAGAATGACAAGACTAATCCCGGCATTAGGAACCTTGAGTATAGAGACAGGTTAAAAGCATCTTAATTTGCACTCCCTGAGAGACGTAGAGCGAGGGGGACCTGATAGAGGTGTATAAGTGGAAGGCAGGGCTAAACAAAGGGGACATTACAAAGGTACTCAAACTATCCAACCAGGAGCGAACTCGTAACAATGGTTTTAAATTAGACAAATTTAGATTTAGGAGTGAAATAGGTAAACACTGGTTTGGAAACAGAGTAGTGGATGAATGGAACAAGTTACCAAATATCATCATTAACTCGAATACACCGAATAGCTTCAAACATTGGTTGGATGCTTACATGAGCAACAGGGGTTGGGTGTAAACGGGACTGCCCAGTATGGGCCAATAGGCCCGCTGCAGTTTCCTCCATTCTTATGTGGATAAGGCAGTAGAATACAGTGCTGGCCATGGTGTGTCTGTGTACCGAGTCTCAAGTCTTTAAGTGTGCTATATCCATCAAGCCTTTTGAGTTTTTCACACCAGTTTATTAAAATGTGAAAAAATAACAAATATAATGCAACTCCATTCAGTAATTAGTGAGACCTACACATACAGTATATTAAAAACATAATTCATTAAATATTTTTATTATACATTCATGAATTCAGTTGCATAACAAAACAGCCACTTGAAAAAAATGGCTCACTAACAAGGCCAGGCACATGTGACCATAACTGATACAAGATATCTTTGCACAAATTAAGATAAAAATGATTATATATGTTTAACTTTCCTCTTAGCTAATCTTACCCAAACAACTGTAAATTCCTGTAGATATCAAAATAATAAATTTAAAGAAGATCAAAGAAACCAAACATTTGTTGATATTCAGTATACTGTACAAAATATACAGTACAACTAGACAGAAATACTATTGAAAAACTGTGACTATTGGTAAGTCTGCATACAGTATACATACAGTACTCTTATATGCATACAAACTTGCACAGTACATTATATCGGACATTAAAGGAAAGGGAGAAAGCATGAGTGAGGGAAAAAGAAGACATTTTAATCGTTAGTTGTCTTGCTGGAGAAATGGAATAAGACGTAAAGCAAAAAAGATTGACAAAATAATTCCAGTTAATTAAACCATGTAAAAGGTGCTTCAAATATTTACCTTGTATATATAAAAAAAAAAAAATACAGAAAGATGCTGAATTTTCATAACTGTATACAATATGAACAGATATTTCAATTTATAAGTCCACCGCCAGTATTAACAAATCACAAAAATAACTGTTATCAAGTTTGTGCACTGACTTTGAACACCATTTCCTTCACACACCTCTCCAGGGAAATGCAGAAAACAAACTACAGTTGGTTTAGTCAGAATTGTCTTTGATGTAGACTGAATTGCACACATGAAAATTTAGTCAAATGGCTAAGTCGTTCTTTGAGACCATTTCCTGGGAATTCTTACTTTGAAAAGTGTTTTATTCTCCCATAATAAAAAGTATATTAAATTTACCTAAAAAAAAAAAAAACAAGATAGCTTATAGTTTTATACCTGTACTGCAATTTGCTGTAAATTTAAAATACAAACAAATAGCTAAATTATACAGATACATATCATGCTAGCCACAAGATGGCCCACTGCTAAAAGGAGCAGCACACCTCATTACAACACAGTATGTATAGAGCCGTATATTTTTTAAGAAAAACTTCAACTAAACTTAAACTGATTAATCTGAAACTAACTTGTGATTTATGTTTCATTAGTGTGGTCAAATTAAAAAAAAAGTTTTTCATCCTGTTCATTGTAATTGCTCATTAATTATCTTGCAGTAACTATTATTACTGATTACATAATATATCTACTCCAATCTAACAATATTCATTATGCCATATTTTATACAAACAACTGCAAATCAACTACTGTACTGTATACCTGTACTCGGTTATAGGTATTAAACTGTTGAATGCTAAACAACCACTCCTTCAAATATTACTGTCTTGGTAGTGACCGGTTAGCATGACTGTTCACTCTCCTAAGGGCCCCGTGTTCAACCCAAGACCTCACTCGACAGCTTCTGTGACTCGCCCTCGCGACCGTAAACTGACGAGCCAACAGGGACAAGCATTACACTTTTAATACGACATTTTATGACAGAAACCAAGATGAAACGATCATTTAACACCCCTATTCGTCTTCTTCTTCATACATAAGATGACCCAGTTTGACCTCCTTACCTGAGGCTTCTTTCTCAGTCTTGTCTCCTCCAGCACAGGTTGTAGTCGTCTTCTTCATGTTTTTCTTACGGTTTGGTTTTCCAACTTCATATTCCCGCAGTCTTATTTTCTTGGCCCCTCCAAAAATCTCAGCAGCGGGATTCTCTTCCACGGCGTCGTCTTCGTCGTCTTTATCGTCATCATCATCATCTGAGGATTTTGTGGGTTTTTTGAACACTATTTTCGAACACCCATCATCACTCGCGCCCTCTTCCACCACGTCATCATCCTCTTGTGCCCTTCTCGTCCGTAGTTCATCAAACAACTTTAGCCCTACCTGTTGATTCTCCCGGTTAATCAGCACCTTGGTATCCTTCATGCTGTATTTGGTCCACTTTTGGGGATTTTTTACGTAGTCTGGGGTGTCATTCCTGGGGCCATGTAACCCACGCCCTCGCCCACGCCCACGCCATGTCAACCCTGTGCCTTGTGGTCTACGGAACTCACCTCTATCACCGTCATTACCTGCACTATCATCCTCCTTATCATCTGAGATCTCGTCAAAGGAACGTTTCAGCTGAGGCTCGAGGTCTACTGCAACAGTTTGTAAGGAGCTGAACAAAGCGTCCACACGACTATTAAAGCTTGAATCACCAGACTTAAGCTTGAAGGACGACATGACAGCACGAGAGACAGACCTTCCTACGCCTTATTTTCTCTTCTCTTCTCGGCTTACATATTAAACCTTCCTTTGTGAGTATAATAATGTTAACATACTCATTCACAGCGTCGTGGGAGATGCTATAGATATTAGTGGTACAGTATAAACAATAAATAAATCATCAGTTATAAAGATTTGAATTAAACAAACTTTGGGTTGGAAACTTTATAAACTTACTTAAATTGACTTATTGTTTACCAGTCTTGCCCATATACCTGCACTTATACTTTATATACCAATAATACGAATATTATTTAATTTCACTATTTGTTAATATAATGTAAATATCTAAACTTAAATTTCGATTTAAATCAATAATATGCGTTATTGTTAACCACTAAAATACATGCTGAATGTTCCTTATACCTGTATTGTCTCTCTACACATGATACCTGTATTGTCTCTATACACATGAAACAACAACTCTTAAGATAAAATTATTAAATGTCTATCTATCTATCTATATATCTATTATCTATATCTATCTATCTATTACCAGGTCTGGCAACACTGTCCCTCATCACCCCAGTAAAGACAACATGGCGGACTCAGACGGTATCACGGTCGCCCCTCTTCGCTCACTTGACGACTATTTGATGGAATCTGCCAGGTTCCAGGTCCCAAACTTTAAAGATACAGATAAATGGGGGAACAGAGTTATTCAAAACCTCCTTTACTACCAGACAAACTACTTCTTGACGTACTTCGTGGTCTTCACTGTGGTGGGGTGAGTCACGTTCAGTTAGTGTTTTATATGTGGTGGTTTTATTTTACCACAGACATTGACAAGACGTTGGTGTAGAGGAATTAAGGACCTTATGTCATTAAGTTTGTCATTAATTAAGTGTGGTGATCATTACTTCATTAATAAGGGTCAAATATAATGGTCACATGTGGTGGCTCGCTGGGTGACTTGACCTTTCATCTCTCCCAAAAAGTTGTCTTAAGTTGCGGTAATTTTACGTTTAAACACATTTTTGTTTTACAGTAATCCGTAATTATTTATCGACTTATTACAGAACAGTTGTATGTCAGGATAATTGTTATTCTAGAAGGGGGAAAGAGTAAAGGGAGGGTCACCACTTTATTTTGTGATGACATTACAGGTTCATTTGTTTTAATTCACAATATACCATAACTCAAGCTTGACAAGATATATTAAACGCCATCACAAAATGCTTCAATCTATTCAATAACTATAACTTGGGTGAGGTAAAGTCTTAATGATAGAGGGCCAAGTAGTGGATCTTTATGGGGAGTGAGTCAGCAGTGTACCTCAAGTAAGGTGGCCAGAAGTACACTGAAATTTGGCCGAGGCTAATCACATGGACAAATCTCGTCAGCTTGTCTCGTGGTGGCCTAGAATTGAATGAGTTGGGAAACTAACCCAATCTGACCTGACCTAACCTAAAATAACCTAACCTCGAGTGAGAGACTATGGTGATGAGTGCCATTGTGACACAGTGTGATGAGATCTGTCTGTACGATTAGCCATAATGTTTAAATTTTCAGGTGGCAAAGGCCGGTGATATATTGTGGCCATTTTCTTGTTCCGTGACAAGATGTTCCTGACGTGGGAAAACTGAGGCATTAGTGCTATAGAGTGTTAGTTGTGGGTCCACCACACAGTCTGTTGGAAGAAAAGTGTACATGGATAAAAGAAAAACTAATTGGCCATTTGACTGGCACTTGCAGGGATTCTGTATGATTTTACTGTGATTTTAATGGGATTCTGGTCATGATGGCTTTGGGCATTACACTATTATTTAAATTTTAAATGCTTTATCACTATCTTCGTCAATCGTCTTCTGATACTCCGAGATGTCCCACTTAGTACTTTCTGTTTAATGTGATTGGGGGTCTGCCCCCTGGCTATAGGAAGTTAGGTAGCCAGATAGTTGTACTGATTCATCATCTGGTTCTTAGGGAGGATTACCAGTTCACCAACACCATAATATGAAAAGGAAGCCCAAACCATAAGCGTGGTAGGGTGCTTAACAGTCTTTACAGTGTACTGTGGGAGGTGTGCGTCTGAGTGGGGCGGGCGGTACACCCTCCCACCACTACTCCCAGTCACAGAAAACGTAGCCTCGTCGGACCACAATACACTTCCCCATGTCTCTAAATCTTACACTTCATATTTCTTGCAAAATTTCACTCTATTTTCCTTGTGTCTCTTCGTCAACAGAGGTTTACGGTGGGCGGGCACGAAAGCTCTTAAATCCCAGGTCATCGTGCAGGGCTTGTTGAACACAACGTAACGAGACGTGACTCAAAAGACGGGGGTTTCTCTCTTTCACTTCACGTGCTGTGAGTGAGGGATTGGACCGAACTTGTCGAGAAATAACCTTAAGTGTCCGTGGAGACAATAATTTAGGCCTATCAGACTTAAGTAATGGAACTGGTAACTCGTCCTCTCCAAGGTCATGGAAACGTTTGACAAGATTTTGAACAACTCGTAATGCCACACTAGTCTGAGCCGAAATTTCTCTCAGTTCATGGTTCGCTTTGTACAGTTGACCCTCGTTAATTCGGACCCCTTTAATCCGGATTTCGGATAATTCGGACAAAATCTGAATTTTTTTTTTTTTTTTTTAAGATATGTAGGAATATTACCTATGCGGACCTTAAGCTATAATGCTGGTCCACCCACTGCTGGGATAAAACACCAGCGTCTTTTTGGTTAAATGTAACATCTCCACCACTAGTGTGGGGGGGGGGATGCAACTTTTAGCTTCAGACATGAAAAATATTTACCATTTACTGCCAGTAAACAATGGAAACGTAAAATATGTACCAAATAGTAATGAAAAGTTGTGCAGTTCCTTCAGCAAATGAAGCTCACCAACTTACAATAGGCTAAATTACCTTACAACGTGTTTTCAGTAGTCTATGTTGAAGTTCTTAGCACAGGCTAACTTATCATATCATATACGGTATCCTCATTGATCTACAAAAAATACCGGTAATAAAAACCTTTTCGATATTTCACGCTTAATATAATACCCGGTAATCTACTTCAACCTCCTATTGTTTACAACGACGCATGACGCACCACCAGCTGTTGAGTATCAGCTAGACCAGGGGTTCTCAACCAGGGGGGAATTCAGGTTTTCAGGGGGGGGGAAAACTGATTCGGGAGCAAGAGATATGTTCGATGAGAAATCAATCACAGAATTTTGGCCCTTGATGTGCGATTCCTACCCAAAAGTGGCAGAAAGAGCTATCCGTGCATTGCTTCCGTTTGTGTCGACATATCTTTGTGAGTCAGGCTTTTCAACTCTGTTGCAAATTAAAACGAAGCAACGTAGTAGATTAGAGGTAGAAAATGACCTGCGTTGTGCCCTTTCAAGCACTCCTCCGCGTATCCCAGAATTGGCGAAGAAAAAACAATCACAGGTTTCTCATTGACTGTAATCTTCATCTGAATAAAATTAATTACAAATTTACAATATCCTGGTATTCTATTGAACTTTTTGTTTATTGCATTATGCTTCAATTTGGTCTGTTAAGTAATTCATTATAAATAAAAAAAAACTATTTTACTTTTATTCAAGTTTTATAAATCCATCAACATTTTCAATTGGCATTTAATTTGTAAAACTCCACTATAAAAATAATCCATGTAAAATTGTAAATGTATATGTACTAATATGGAAAAAATAAAGGATTTTCAGTATTATATGCATATTATTTGGAATGCACTTTTTGAGGCAGACAATCTTGGAAAGGAGGGGGGAATGACATTCTGACATATGGTGAAGGGGTGCATGGGGCAAACAAGGTTGAGAACCACTGAGCTAGACGGTACACGTGTTTTTCGAATCTTTTTCAGTTTAAAAACTATTACATCACATGTATATTTTACCTTAACTGTGCTTGCATGAATATATTCTCGGAAATAAATAGTAGTTTTGCTGAAACGTGATGTATTTTAATGTAAAATAGGATAAAATACATGACGAAAACAAAAGATTTTACCTAACCTTCCGATGTTCAAGAGAAGTTATTCGTTTTTTTAATAGTTTTGGGTTAAAATACTGTTATATTACAATGATATTCTATTCATACTGTGCTTGACATAATGCATTCACGGAAATGTAATATTTTTGCTGAAATGACGTGTGTATTACAGTGGAAAGTGGGATAAAATCGTGACGAAAACAATGACTTTTGCTTTCTTTCGTTCAAAAGATGTTATCGTAATCGCTTTTCGATTGGTTTTCAGTTAAAAAACTGTTGTATTACAATAATATTCTATCCAAATTGACTTGAATAAATACTTCGATACCATATTTCTGAATATTTTCATTAAAATCCATCCAAATCATTTTCCTTGTCATCGTCTGCAGCACCAAACAGCTTCTCCCAGTCCTCTCCTTGAACAGGGCTAGAGGGTACGTGTTTTTCGAATCGTTTTCAGTTAAAAAACTGTTACATCACACGTATATTTTACCTAAACTGCGCCTGAATGAATATATTCTTAGAAATAAATAGTAGTTTTGCTGAAACGTGATGTATTTCAATGTAAAATAGGATAAAATACATGACGAAACAAAAGACTTTACCTAAGCTTCCGATGTTCTTGAGATGTTATTTGTTTTTTTAATATTTTTCGGTTAAAATACCGTTATATTACAATGATATTCCATTCATACTGTGCTTGATATAATACATTCACGGAAATGTAATATTTTTGCTGAAATTACGTACGTATTATAGTGGAAAGTGTGATAAAATCGTGACGAAAACAATGACTTTGAAATATAATGCAATATTAACCCCTAAATCGGTTAATTTGGACAATCGGCTAAAACGGACACCCCTTCCCCCCCCCCCCTATTAGTCCGAATTAACGAGGGTTGACTGTACAATGCAATCACTGCTGCAATATCGTCTCTTGTAGTAACCCTCCTGGACATCTCTGATGGCCACTGTGTTGGTTAATGCACCTTAGACAAAACATGGCCACATGGAGCGGGAACCCGCACAATAAATGTTCCCCTCACAGTTGCCAGAGGCGCACTGACTACAATCCGTGACGTGTTCTCAGTTGCCAAATGTCACCACTTGCCAGCAAACCAAGCATTTTGACATCTCGCATCCCAGGACAGCCTTCACAACATATGATCTAATTTTTCCGAGAACTTAGTTCGTTTGCCCTATTGCGATTTAATATTCCGCGCAGACTGTACTGTACTGTACTAAAAAGTGAAAAATTAACTTCTGAGATAAATCTTGTGTTTAAACCAAGAGCATTTATTGATTTCAATTTGAGTCTTACTGTTGACACAAACATTAATTTTACATTTCCTGATCAGTTATCAAGATGTTCAATATCTGTATAATTGTCATCATTTAAAATATGGCTGCTTGAATTTCTGGGTAAGAAATGCAATAAACTGTAAAGTCTTTAAAACCGCATCAAGTGTATGTAGTGCTACAGTATCTTGCTTGAATCATCTTAATACTGTAATATACTGTACTGTACCTATAATTATCATACGGGTATTTCCTGAAGTAACTCAGTTGGCACACATAAACTCAAGCCAGATACAGTGTAACATATTGTATAATAAATTATTTCTACTGTATACTGTATCTTTACAATGTACTGCATAAAAAATATTTATGGAATACAGTTGTACCCCACTTAACGCGGTCAATAGAACCCAGAGGGTCCCGCGCTAAGTGAAATCCGCGTTAAGTGAACAACAGAACATATGGGATTAATTCCAATAGAACCCAGCCCGACCCCCAAACTCCACTTTTTGACGACAAATAACTATGTTGTAGTAAAAATTCTATCTTAACTTTATGGTGGCATGAAAAACAAGTAATATAGAAGAGGTTAGGTTAGGAAAGATAAAGGTTAACATAGGAAAAATAAAGAATAGGTTAAAAAACGAAAATTTTTGCGGAACACTTACGGTAGTAGAAGAGATGGGTCGGCATACGGGGATGGAGGCTGGTTCCGAGGCAGAGGGCAGATTACTGCCCCTCAGGTGAATCACCATTACTAGGTGAATCACCATTACTAGGTGAATCAATATCACTGTCACTTACAGTTGTCATGGCTTCCCTGACAAATCCCTCAAAATCAACTTCACTCTCACTATCACTGGCTTGGACTAGCTGTGGTGGGTTGCGGGCGAAGAACTCGGTTATGCTTTTCTGACGGCTGGTGTTGATGTTGTCGTGATACACCTTGATGTACGGCTCCATAGCCTGCACCAGTCGGGTATGGAAGACGTCATGGCGTTCATCGTCATTGTCGCGGGAAACGATGGACTTAATTTTTTCTGTAAACTCTATGAGACACTTAATATCACTATGACTTAAACTAGGTTCTTCGGAGAATGACGCACCTTCTTCCTCCTCTTCACTGGCGGGTTCTTCTTCCAACATCTCGTCGGCAGTCACTTCAGGATCTCTGATCACCTCCATGATGTCTTCGTTGGTGGTCTCGGAGAAGCCTTCAGCTGTAATACTGAGCGCAGCTTCTCTGGCAAGGTCCACTGCTACTGCAACAGTCTGAACCTGACCAGTCACAGGTTCACTCCTCCTCTCACCTGGTATGCCATGCAACACATGTCTCCATGCGTGACGAATCGTAGCAATAGTCAGCAGATCCCATGCCTCCACCAAGAAGTCTACAGCTTGTTTAACGTTAAACTTCTTCCAAAATTGTTTGACGAGAAGTTCTTGAGTCGCCGCCTCTTGTTCCTTGTCCTCGTCGCTTTTACTCTCGCTGTCGGTGTCACCCAGCTTACGCAACTCATCCTTGGTGTTGGTAGAGTCGTTCAGGAGCTTGAACTTCTTTGCAGAGTACGCAGCTTTCACATTGCAGATCAACTCCTGGTCCATAGGCTGGATTAATGACGTAGTGTTGGGAGGAAGGAAGACCACTTTTACGTTGGGGTGACGATCCATAAGTAGGGGCGAGTGTCCTGGTGCGTTGTCAAGGAGCAACAAAATATTGAATGAAACATTCTGTTGCTCGCAGAATTTCTGCACGTCAGGAACAAAACAGTTGTCAAACCAGAAGAGGGACAGAGAAGAGGACATCCACGCCTTACGTGCGGTTAGCCAGTGGACATTAAGCTTGTTCATGTCCATATTCTTGTAGGCGTGCGGCTTGCGGGCTTTGTGAATCACCGATAACTTTGGTTTACAGGTACCGGAGGCATTGGTGGTAAACAGGACGGTGATGCGTTCCTTCTGCATCTTCCGGCCCCTTACCTTGCTCGCAGACTGGACAACGAAGGTCTTGGAAGGTAACTTTTTCCAGAAAAGACCAGATTCGTCCATGTTAAACACCTGGTCGTCACTGTACTGTCCTTCCTCCATAATCTCACGTAAAAACGGAGGAAAATCTCTAGCCGCCGCACGGTCAGCACTCGCTTCCTCACCACCAATGTTGATGTTGCTGACCTTGTTCCTCTTCTTAAACCTATGCAGCCAACCAGAGGAAGCATTGAAGGGTTTGGGCTCTGCAATTCCCAGTTTACGTGTCACTGCTGCGTATAGCTCACGTGCGTACTCCTGCACTGAGCGCGTGTCCACCGCCATGTTGCGTCGCGCCTGACGCACCAAATAACTCACCAGCAAAGTTTCCACTTTTGCCAGCACCCTGTTCTGGCAATACCTGATAAATGAAGCACCTGCAGACTTTGTGATTTTCATGTGGTCTTTGATCTTGGCTGCATCCTTCTTGATTGTACGAATCGTAGATTCGTTGACGCCATGCTGGCGCGCGAGATCAACTTGGCGTCTTCCTTTCTCCAAATCTTGAACAATTTGGTACTTCACCTCGTAGCTTAATGAACGTCGTGTCTTCTTTGGTTTAGTGCCGCTGGGTCCAGGTGAGGAAAGGTCTCTCTCTGGGGGCGGTGGTGGTCCGGCGGAAGCCATTTTACGGAACAATGGATGCGCGTTAACCCGGGGTGGCCTTGAGGGATGAAACTGCCGCGGCTAGGTCAAGCGTCGTCTCTCCTCCCTCCCTCCCTCCCCGGGGTAGTCACGTCATAATACTTTAAGCCAATTACAGCTAGCAGCAGAGGGGGGTAGGGCTGCATGGCCAATCACAGTCCGAGACGTCATATGACGTCAGTGATAACGCAACAAAGACACACACTGCGCAACCTTACCGCGCCGCTTGCCCAAGCGGAGGGAGGAGGAGGGAGAGGCAGGCAGGCAGGCGGGTGGCGCGTGGGCAAAATCTAAAAATAGCATCCGAGCCGGACACTCACCGCGTATATGTGGAAAAAACCCGCGTTAAGTGAAAGTTCAGCTTTGGCAAGGCACCGCGTATATGCGAAAACGCGTTAAGTGAAACCGCGTTAGGCGGGGTAAAACTGTAGATAAACATTATAGAGCATCATCCCACAGTGAGGTTCATTACGTTCAGAGACAACATATTCATGCATTCCCAGTTATATTACTAAAGCAAAACTGTATAATCAAATAGCTCTTATAGCATATGCCACTGATGAGAATGTGTGTGTTATACTCTAATATGATTTTATATTTAATTTAAAAGTTACCATGAAGGAATTAAAACATCAAATACTGTAAGTTTTAAAACACCCTTATTTACATTTTCTCAGAAATATAGACTATCTTTAAGGTTTAAACAGGTTAGTTTTCAGTTTCCAGAGAAACTGTGAGGTAAAATTTTGGATTTTGTTCCAAATTCATACAAAGGTACTCTTGCATGCTGGTTAAGGATCTGGGTTGAGAATTTTAAAATTAGAGTAATTAGTGTTAGTTAATGAGCTTTGAAATAATTTAATATTATACTTACAGAAGATATAAAACCGGGGGTCATTACTGCTATGCTACCCATCTAGTTAATCCCCCTGTCAAACACTGTAGTGTGGTGTCCATCGTGGCTCTAGTTGAAACACTGGAAGAGGGTGATTAAAACTGGGCGTTATTAATTTCTGATTCATAAAAATCAACAAAATTCAGTGCCTCTCAGGGTGACATTTTCATGGAATGACCCTATATCGTACAGTACAGGTATGAATTTAGTACTATAGAAGCTCCACTTTGTTAACAATGAGAAAAGTGAGGTATTGTATGTGGGGGTTTATTGGGATTGGGGACTGTTGAGAGCAGGGCCCATGAGGAATGGCATCTGCTCAAAGAAATGCCTACTTAATCAGCCATCCCCTTATCAGCTTGGTCTAGTGCACTAATCACAAGGTAATGAACCACACATCCCATCATCCCTTTGTTGAAGCGTGACTGGGGATACACCTAAAAATGGTGAATTATTTTGGTGTTAACTGAAGACCAAGATATTTGTCCTTGTTCTTATGTTGTGTTTTCTGATAATGCCACACTTAATACTGTACTAACACTCAGCCAAGTGTTTAGTGCTCATTATATATATATCCTGGTCTGAATTTCATCACTGCATTTTCAGTACAGTACAATATAGTGTGGCAGTATGGCATGTTTGTATGGTGCTTATTTATGTAGATTTCTCAGACATATACAAGATGAAACTTTTACCAGCCAGGAGCACTTTCACATCTCTTACTCATAGTTTTGTGTGTCTTTTTCTTCTTAATGGGTAATGTAGTTGTATTTCCAGCATTTGTAGCCACTACCTGTGTGAGGTGGATCAAGGAGAACAGAAATCTTATATAAATTGTGAAACATCCATGACAAGTAGTACAAAGGGACAAAATAAAGAAGTAAAAATTGGCCAAACGTACACATCCTAAACAGGCGTTTCTGGTAACTATGTAGTCACTGGGCTCCTCATATGCCACTAACAATTACAGGGGGTATTTATTTTTATTCTTCATTTTAATATACAGTATTCCACAATGTCCAGATAAAAAAAGTTAATGAGAATTTCTCACTTCCAGCATCATACACCCAACAAAGATGTTCTGTGGCATGACAGCTGTGGGCATAGCTTTTGGCCTTTTCTACTACCTGACAAACAACAAACAGCCGGCCGTTGATTTCAAGAAGTCCCATCCCATCCTCTCACTTATCATCCTCGTTCTCGGAGTCTATTTCATTGTTTACTTGTTGGGGTCAGTTGTGGTGTTCCTCATGGGTATACTTCTACCTATCATGGGTAAGTTTTCTTCTATACAGCATAATCAAAGGTTTCGAGATATGAAAAACCATACACTGTACAATACCCATACAGTATTTTCTCTTCATGGCTTATCCTTCATAATTCAAGAAACCACATTGATGAATAAGTTACAGATGTTGTTATATAATTTGACTTGTTGCTTCACTCTACTGTATTGGGAGGTCATTGCAAAATATGATGCAAAACAATTTCTGTACAGGTTGTCTCAGTAAAATGTATCCACACTGCCTCACACATCATCAAGTGAGGACTATGTTGCTGTTGTAATACAAACATTCACGCAATCTTCAGGAAAATCTGTAAGGTGTTGGTGTGCATATATATTTTTGAGACAGTAAAGTACAGTATATGTATTTATTTTCATTGTACTCAAATATTTTCTTTCTCTTGCTCTCCTCAGTGATCTTCGCACATGCCTCCATGAGACTGCGAAACCTGAAGAATAAATTGATGAATAAAGTGGAATATCTGGGGTTCAAGCGCACTCCCATGGGTGTGATCCTTGACGCTTTAGGCCTGGAGCAGGACTTCCTCATGTAGGCAGATAGCTTCAGTATTACATATTGGACGCTTCTCAAATACCTTTGTACTTCTTAACTTGTCATAATTGTGTTTTTTTTTTGTGGTCAAGGTACTGTAGTGGCCCCTGGATGAGGAAATGTAAATGGACAAAACTTGAGCCAGCTGATGAGAATTTTTGGTGACAAGCATAAATTTTTTATACAATATGTTAGTTACAAGTAAAGTTGGGATGGATTATCGAGATTGAAAAAAGTTACAAGGTATACAGACTTTCTTTAGACAACCAAATAAATTGCCCTAATAGTACTTAAGTTATTAATTGTCTTGTTTGAAATTCTTCTCAAGCGAAGTGTTGTAATATTTATGACTCGTGATAAAGTTTTACGATTTTTATTTAATTTTTTTAAGTTTTAAACTTTGTTTGTTCCAGAAACAAGAAGATTTATTACTATTTCCTGGGCCATATATAATGATCATCAAAAACATACCCATTTCTAACACTGGTTTATAGGATTTACCATACAGTAGTTTTCAGTAGTTCAGGTACACAGTCCAGTTACGGTTCTTCTCCAGTGTGAATTGTGATAGATCTGAAAGAGGGAAACACGATATAATATTACAGTACCTATTTAGACACCCTGTAAGTTCTTGGTATTAAACATAGCTATAGATGTTGTCTCATCTTAAAATGTAGGTTGTCTTTTGTGATTACAGTACAGTACTTGGTTGTTCAAATACAGTATAAGGACTTACCATACCGGAATCCCATAAATATTTCTGGACTCGAGTAATTGGCAAAATTAAGGATTTATTTAGTGATTAAAATACCTGTTAGTTAGGGTGTAATTAAGGATTATTTGAACAAAATAGTGTAAGTCATTTTAAACATTGAACCATTTGTTACATATCTTAATACTGTTTCTTCGTGTTGTTTTAGGGCAAAGGATGCTAATTTTGATTCCTTTCAAGTGATATTCGTTCCCATTCAGTAATTTTTTTTTTCTGATACATAATTATTTTAGAACAGTTTGTGCTATGATCATGTTAAGAACTTGAAGCATCTTCATCAAGGTTAATGGAGAAGTTGTTTTAAGGATATTGTGGAAATTCGGTTGTAAAAATATTGTTTAGTTTTTTGCCAACCTGTGGTATTAATAGATAAAAACACTGATGTTCCATGAAAGTTGAGAATAGATTCTTGTAATCCCCTTTAAGACTTAGTACTATAGACCTATTTTGCTGTTTTCATTGTCTCGATATTTAGCACCACAGAGGAGTAAGATCTGATGGGCCTGATTCTTTTGCGTGGCGTTATTTAGCTTTACTGCATATAGTTACTTTTTATGGTATTTTGGAGTTATGTTTGTGGATACAACCATCATCACAGTACAGTAGATGTATTTTGAAAGTTAAATACGGTACTGTAGTAATTATCATTGACTCGGTTTCAAAAGAGGTGGTGCGAGGCTTCCCTGTGCCTATTCAGAAGCACTACGAGCGCATTACGTAGTTTTTATTTTTCTATCAATAAAGAAATGAAATTACTTGAAACTCAGAGTGGAAGACAGAATATATACATGATGGCTGCAAGTTTCTGAAATATGGAAATTATAATATAGGCCTCACAGAGTGTTGTAATTACAGACATTGAACCAGAGAGATATTTAAGTGCATCTGTCAAACTATACCTTACACCTTGTTGCACAAATGTATACTGTTGGTGTATACATATGGTCAGATCATTATCCACCATGGCTGTTAATCTCCACCTTAAGTTGCTTATTTTTCACGTGCAGTAACATAGTTCGTGTTAAACGATTTGTACTGATAGCACTAGATTTTATTTTGGGTTTACAGTATTTGCTTACTGTTGTTTGTCACGCTGCTATACATGCAATCCGTGATTTGTGTTGTGAAATGATGATTAGAATCGATCAGCTTATTGGATTTATTTTCATTAGGGCAATAGTGATGAGTGTTAATGAGAGCAATTTGTCTTGGTGATTATTATATATATTTTTTAGATTTAGTTTTAAGTAAACCTTGAAGGTTCTATTTAAAAATACACATAATCTCTCTTTCCTTTTCAGGATTTTATAAAGCTTTAAATGACAGCAGTCCTGAGAAGGTGCTTCCACCTCCTCCTTAATAATTTCACTTTTTTTTTTTAAGTCTTGTTTTTACAGGAGCTAACTGTGATGCCACTCATTCAAGCCCTATCCCTGCATGACACTATTATATTATTATTTTTTGAGTACAGCACAGTGGTTTTTACATAGCTTGTTTCTTTCTGTTGTCCTGTTTTTTCCTTAGGTCCAGACTGAATCTTGATGGGAGTTCTAAATTCCTCGACTCCTTCGTCAAGATGTCTGGCAAGGTCAACTAACTTCAGAAGCTATCTTGACTCTGCATGTTTGTATAAACCTGCTACCCCCTCAACCCCTTCTTTAAATTATTATACACTGCTTTGATTGGGTAGTTCTCAACATACATTTGGTATGTTGCTAATTCTGAGATAAAATAAGATCTGAGTCCTATAAATATGCATCGAGTCAAATAAATGATTTTGTTATAACTACATGCCTCAAGCTTGCTGGCACGACACTTGTGATAAATTGCATGGGTTCCCATTGCTGTGTAATCATCCCAGGCTTTCATAAGGGTTCCCACTGTTGTCTTATCATCCCAGGCTTTCATAAGGGTTCCACTGTTGTCTTATCATCTTAGGCTTTCATAAGGGTTCCCACTATTGTCTTATCATCCCAGGCTTTCATAAGGGTTTCGCCATCAGCTTTCCATAATTTTAAAGGCTTTGGTGTTGTGGTGACTGTAGTTTCATCCTCCCATCTTCCTTAGTGAAGGATATTGTACAACTGTTGAAGATATTAAGTGAGACTATTAGATTAGCAGTGTAAGCTTTGATTACATTGTATTATTTTTGTATTGGGATCAGAAGTGTAGGTAAAACAGATTTTCTTGTTAACTCCCTCAGCTTACTGTACTGTACCAAGGTGCCATCATTTTGACAGTGTGATCTCAGACTGTGGATTTACGGTATATACTGGTCCAGATTCTAGTACTGTACTACAATATTTAGTTTCTATTTATTTTATTTTTATTTATTTTTATCAAATTACTGTACATGATAACACGGTGCCTTTAAATAGCCCCATTAGTGTGATTTTAGTTTTGTATTTATAATATGTATAGGTCAAAACCAACAATTTGATCACTGTAGCTGATCTTGAATAAATTATTGATGCACACTGCATAAAATGAGCATCACTTGTCGAATGTTAATTATACTATTGATGACTCCATTCGCCTTCCAAGGTACCGTAAATGATAATAGTGGCCAGTTCTAGAATATTTAGTTACTGAAAGGTTGTCATAATTTTAAGAGCTGCTATTTACTGACAGACATATCTTAACCTTTTGAGACTGACGTATCTTTCATGTCTTTAGGCTAGACAGCGTAAGTTTACTGAATGGAAAACCAAGTGTTGTAATGTGACTGGCTCCTATGTGTACACTATTAAGCTGAGGGGGTCGACTGTCTTAGCATGTCATTTGTTTAAATGAAAATAAAAAATCCACTGTCATCAGATCATAACCTAACCCCATCCCTAGTCATTGCTTTTATTGTGCAGATGTAAATAAGTGATTGATAGACCCGTTTTTGCTAGGTAAAAGAATAGCAAGCCTTACTTCATAATAGCATTTTCTCACTTAGCTACTGCATAACAGGCAATTAGGGACCGTCTTCCACAATGATGATGTGAGTAGGTAAAAATTTATTAAATTATTAGGACACACAAGACAAGTAAATGAAGACTATCACTTACTTTATTGATTTACACATACCTAAATTGAATGGACCATCTAAGCATTACAAATTGTATTCCCCAAATTTGAAGAAAAAAACCCTAGATAAAACAGTTAATTTTTTGTCCCAATTCATAATGAAATCTAAGAATATAAATACCATAAGGTGCTTTTCTCTTATGATGTACACCCACCAATAAAAGTCCTGTCAGTTCTCCAACCCACCCATGAACCCTGAGGCTCGTGACCCTGTGAATCCGAGACGTCGCACATTGTTGGGTGCACTGTGTGATGTCTCGGATTCACAAGGTTCATGGATGGAGGAGAGGACTGAAAAGATTTTTATTTAGTTTTTGGGTGTATATAGTATTGTCAGATTGGGTTGTTGATCTGAAGACAAATACACTACAGGATAATTTACTGTTAGCTCCCTAAAGTAGTATTTATTAAGTGGTGGAGGTTATATTAGGCAGGAAAGACAGAGAGTACAGTATGGCAGGAAGTTCCACACATTAGCAGAACTCCCCATCCAACCAGTAAGTGAATCACCCTGTATAGTATTTCACGTAACCAGTCATAGATGAAATTATTTAAAAACTGATTACAGTAAAGGGGCACAAGGTGTTTTTTGTTTTTTTTTCACCTGCATGATATTATATTGTAGTTTGTCATAATGGTGGTGATACCCATGAATGTCCTGACAGCTTTTTCACACTTTTATTTATTCGTTTGTTGTCATATACCATCATGAAAATGTACAGGGTATTGGGTATTTCATAAATATTTTACCAGTACAGTACAGTATATAGGACGAGTTATTTAATGCTGTATAACTTAAATGATTGAATTGCTCACCAGTTTTAGCTACACATACTACTACAAAATACTTAAAGGCATGTTTTGCATCCATTTCAGTCATCACCCTAAGTATGTTTTTCGCACAGTTCTTCAACTCTCCACAACTTTTTAAATGCTGTACGGTATACATACATTGTGGTAATGTTTTTTATGAATAACCTTATATATCCAGTCTTAAAAACCTATTGATGTTATTATTTTGATTACTTCCTATCCATAGCTCAGTATAATAATGTACACACGTTTTCTTTTTGACCTTGGTGTATAAAATTAAATGTAGCGAGAAAGCTCAATTAGTTTTTGTTATTGTTGTTGTTATCATCTCGAAGGTTACATGTCAAACTTTTCCATTTAATGTAATCTGAGCCAAGAAACGGATCACAAATATCAGTCAATGACAGCCGAGCTTCAACCCAAAAATAAGTAAAAAAAACCTTATTGTCAATTTGGTTATAGAATAGGTAAGTGGAGCTTTGTACATTTCTTATACTTTATTGGTGAATTCTTGAAGGCTTCAAATACATGTATGCTTAGAGTCACAGAACTTGATAATTATTGGTCAAACTCAGGCCCAGAATAAATATAATAAACAAAACCTTAATTATCAATACCGTACTGTACTGTATGGTTATAGATTAGATAAATGTTGGTCTTGCTTATCAATCCATCTTTCTTGGTTTTAAATACATGTAGCTACAGTACTGGCAACACACACTGATATTTGGGTTCTGTTTCATGGATCAGGTCACATGTACTCCATGACATCTAGGGAGTCTCTAATTCTTGGTACCTTAACCTCTTTGCTACGGGACACCATGTAATATTTTACTGTATTTGGTTAATGCCAGATGATTTTATTCAGCTCAGAGGCAACCCAATACACAAGGGGTTAGTAGACTATCTCCACTAACTCCTTCAATATGGGTTACCACTTTTAATATTTGATTTGATTAATTCCGGATGATTTTATTCAGCTCAGAGGTGACCCCGTACACGAGGGGTTAATGCCTGAAATTACACTTATACAGTATCCATCATGTTACACTATGGAGTTTGATTTATCCTCACACATAGTTAATTTTGGAGATTGTTGCACCTTTTAAAAGTTCTTAGGTACCCCTAGCCATGGATATTACATACAGATGGAATACAGGTTTCTTATTCACTGATCTTGGCATTATTTTATATCAAGCATGTGCCATATGATTATACATTTAATGTACTGTACCTCCAATTAATAAAAGAAAATTTACTGATTGAATTGTTTTATTTCTTCATATCACTTCCTTTAGTATGTGAGAAGTGTATGGATGGAGTCGAGGGTGGAATAGCTACACCATGTGAACTCCTCTGTAGACCCTTGACAATATTTTTATTAGTTTAGTAAATTATTAAGTACAGTGATCCCTCGGTTAACGAGCGCCTTGGTTAACGAATTACTTTCCATAAGATTCTTAACTTCGGTTAACGAGCACTCCCTCGATTAACGAATTTCTTACGAGTGCCCACGTTTTCGCTTGCATTTGGCGGTCCACCAGCTGTAGTATTAGTCCACCAATACAGTAATCAGTTCTAGGGCTTAAATTCCTTACTATTTTAGTAAATATCAAGAAGTTTTACTATTCAATAATTTTAAAAGTTTTACATTAAAGTTTTTTAGTCATTTTAACAATTATTGAACATAATTGAAGTATAGAAAGCTAGTTTTTTGAGCGCCAAACAGCCTGTCAACACACCATACAAGTGTCAGTCTCTGTGTCTTTTCAGTGGAGGTAACATCTTGCTTCAGACTCCAACATAAACGCTTTTTTTCTGTGTTTCCAAGCAAATTATTGGTCAGTTTGAAATTTATTTTACATATTGAAAATATATAATGCAGTGCAGTGTTGATTTAAAGAAAATAATCTTGAATTACACCAAGTGAAAAAAATTTTATGGGTGAAATGGTGCCATAGGGTGACTTCTCTTCCACCCCAATGCCTTCTCTTCTCCCTTCTCCTCCACCCCCATTTTAATTCCCATCATCATCATCATCATTCAGGAACCTTCTACATACACACCTCAAAGTAAGTGTACTTTACTACCTTTTTTGTTGACTGGGCAATTTTCGGTGAGCTGGAACCAATTAACCCAAAAACCCATTGAAACAATGGTTTCGGTTAACGAGCAACCTTCTGGAACGAATTGTGCTCGTTAACCGAGGGACCACTGTAATGACATTTAGTTTACATCTAAATTTAATACCGTAAATTTGTGCCAGGATGTCGAAACAATTTTAATTTTATATACTGTAGGTACCCTTTGCTATACGAACGTTCAAGATACGAAAATTCGCTTCTACAAATTTCCTAAATTAACACTTCTTTTTCGTTTTACAAACCACCCTGCTTATACAGATTTGGGCCCCGGCAAAAATTTAAATTGCACTCTCACAAGTCGTAAGGGGTGGCCATCTCGGAGAGGTCTGCAGAAACATGTTCTCGCTAATTGATCATAACAACCCCCCCTCCCCCCTTCCTCCTGTATCATCCACAAGCCTTCATATTTCCTTCCTTCAATCATGTGTGTGTGAAGTGATCTGTCTCTCTTACTGTGTATTCATGTTATGCTCATGTTATTCCTTTTGTCATAGCATCCAAGCATTCTGCTGAATCTTCAGCTCCCTGGAAGTACTAAAACGTCATGAATGAGGTGAAGGTCCTACAATGATCAGGAAACATCCTGGATTGGTGAAAGCAGTCATGAGGGGGGCAGCCTTCGCTGAGTATGGCCCTTTATTCATCCCACCCATGCGGTGAGTCCTGACTGCCCTCCCATAAGGTAATGTACCAACGTTATAGTGGGGTATGCTATAACGAATCTAATTGGTTCTAGAACCTTGTTCGTTATAGCATTCGTTCGTTATAGGATTAATCCGTCCTAGGCCCCCAAATACAACCACTTGACACTGAAAAATATAATATAAAATTGTAAAAATTTTAAAAAAGTGCATAAATATGCCTCTAAACCCCTGAAATAAAGAATATCATTAATACTTGTAATAAAAAACAATAAATTAGTAAAAAAAAAAAAAATTTTTTTTTAAATAATGTTCGTTGTAGGAGTTTCGTTCGTTATAGCATTCTCAATTTTATAGGAATATTCGTAGTAGGATCCGTTCGTTACAGCATACCCCACTGTACTGTATTTTAATAATCTTTTCAATGTATTAGGTAGTAAATTAGAGTAGTTGTGTCCTTTATCTTGAGTTAGGTAGGTTTTTTGTTGTTCATGATCCAATTTCGTGTTTTTTAATATTTTTTTTTGGGGTAACTGAACCCGATTTTTCCCATATGTTCTTTTATTCACTATACCGAATTCATTTAACAAATGGTTTTTCATTAACCTAACCCATTCATATAACAAGGGATACCTGTAGTGTTCTGTAGCAGGTGCAACTGTAGCAAGCTGCCAAACAGACAGTTTTTATTTTCATTCTAATTTACTGCTTTGATGGGAAAGGATGAAGATGGTTGTTGAATACACCCATTGTTCCAATTAAAGCTTATCTAACCAGAATAATAAATGTGTTCATTGATAAAAAATTGAACTTATTCCTTACTATACTGCATTGTCACCTAAAAAAAATAGCAACAGGTTCCACTACAATCTACTAACACACCATCAAGCACTAAACCTCACAAACCATAGTATGATAATTTATTAAATCTTAATCCAATCATTTTATTTCACATTGGATTCTGTGGGAAAGTAGAGATGTTGACGAGTAAGCTGACAAATGGAGAAAAGGGGTAAAGTGATATTATCTAGCCACATGTGGCCGAGTTCCTTCTCTCCACCTGACGTCATTTCTAAAGTCGACTACATTGCATGAACATACTGTACGTATTGTACGCTGTAACGACCTTCATTCCTGTCCCAGTTGCACCATGGGGAGCGAATACACATGAGGTGGTTACTGAAGGGTGGTTTCTGTTCATTATGAAGTATTGACCTCGTAATCGTATTGTCATATGTTAAGGGTCATTTCTAGTTAATGCTATTATTATAATGTTATAACTGCACTTCAACAACTGAGGTTTTTAAGCGCGTAACAAGGTTAGTTATTTTTTTTATTGTCCCCGAGGGGGGCTAGTTTATTGGGCACCCCCTTACATCCTGTGCAATGATTAGTAATTACACTTATCACACGTTTAAAAATTATGAGATGAAACTGTTAGTTTATGGGCTTTAAAGATATTTCCGGTGACTTGCTTTGGTATCGAGGAGACTTTACAACATTGATTTGCTGCTAGAGAAGTTAATGAGCGTGAAGATGGATTCCTGAATTATAGATTATAACTCCCCCACAATGCGTTTGAAAGATAATTATAGGTTCCATGAAGAACCCACAAACCCACAGGTAGGAATCGTTCCTTTAAAATCTGAGTTTAAAGGATAGTTTTAATTGCCCTGACCTCTTCCTCTCTGAGCGGGTCGATCACGTCTGTTTTACATCATATAAATTTATTTTGCACCAGATGCTGTTGGCATATATATATATATATATATATATATATGTATATATATATATATGTGAAATATAACAGAGTCTAGGCCTGGTTTTAGTATCCTGGTGGTCCAGTAGGTAGCGTTCCCCGGTCACAGTCATGGGCTCATGGGCCGTGGGTTCGAATCCTGGCGGATTGAGGTGTTGATTATATATATATATATATATATATATATATATATCGTCCTCGTATTATAGTCTTTCCCCGAACTTGTTAATAAAAATTTACTAATCTAAAAAGGGTTAAAATCAAATGTAAAGATACTATAATCTTAATTACGTCCTCAAGTTTTATCTTAAAACACAAAATAGATTAAAAGCCTCTTTGTCGGAGGCTTGGTCACATCTTACGTCTGGCAAACATTAATCCGGGCATTGATTCTATTAAATGCTTGTGATTTCTCAACACTGAGTTTCTAATATATAATATTATGACAAAATAAAATATAATAATAACTAAAAATAAGTTGAAGAGTTTTATCGTAAAGTTGACAGCTGATATTTCGGACAGGTAGCCGAAATATCGTACAGCAAATAACAGGGTAAACCCACGAGGCAGCCAGGCAGGACCGCCCAAGACCTTGAATACAGGAAGGAATAAGCCTCCACTGGGCTCGGTAGGTGGCAACAGTCTAAGATTTACCACAATGTAACAGTTAACATCTAGTGTCTGAGCAGCAGAGAAGGATACTCTCAGACATAATAGTGCATCGTGTGAGAGCGGGCACCCCCACGAATCTTAACAGGTGAGAAATTTTCGTTCAGCTCTAAAAAAAAAAAGAAAAAGAGGAGAGGGTGAGTCTGGTTAATTCTATGAAGTCATGTATACCGCAATCCCCGATTTCCTTAGCATTTGTTAAAGGTTATGTTTGGGTAATGTTCCTGAAATTTCTGTGCTCCAACCCCTATCTGCTGCTAAATCTCTCTGGAATATTCTGTACTTGTGGTAATCCACAGACTGCCAGTGTTCTCATAAGTTTGAAATAAAAGACTCACGCAGAAAAACAGACACATAAAGAGTAAAATTGCGTTTGTTTCTCGTATTACTTTGAATATGCAAAGTAAATATTAATTCGGCGCCCATTCAAGAGCATACTGTTGTCACCCGTGTATACTGAAACCCTGCCATGCACTGGTTACTTCCACCACCCTGCCAAACATACCCTGGCTACTTCCAACACCCTGCCACCGTCATGTGTTTAAATCTCTACTTTTAAGATATATAAAGATTAAATAATTGGCTGTGTTTGACCGCCAGTAAGAAAAAAAATACTAAGCGTTTATCATAGTTATATCTTCGTTTCTCATACTTTAATAAGACAAAGTTCAACGAAAATATGGATGTTATTAGTAAAGGGTGATTGCTGAAAATTACGTTCGTATTTGTAATGACTACATTTGTATATCACAAGTGTTGGGGGAATGCGATGACTCACAGCTACCCAACTGCTTTATATAACCACCCTCTCAGTCTCGTGTTAAGGAGGGACAACAAAGTCATGTGAGGATGAAAATCATGTAACTGGTGTGGCCTTGTGTTGAGTATCGCTTAGTAAGGCCAGAAGTCCTATGATTTAAGCTTTACTCTATTTCCTTCGTCTCTGGTCGACTCGTTAGCCGTTTGATCGTTATATTACTATTAAAGTGCATAGTCTATAAACTGCACCCAAGTATACATAGGACATTTAGTCAGGAGAAGGAACGATAGTTTGTGAAAATATCTACTGTAGTTAGTGGCGTCACTGGTGATGTCTGGCTGCCTAGGTTTTTTATTGCCGCTTCAAAACTTTACACGAATATTGGGCTATTTATCAGATTTACTAAGAACTTGCATTCTCTATTTACAAGATCAACCACTGTGAACGTGAATTGATATTACTAAATAATGCGATCTGTCGTCTGATGTTCCTCGGTATACTTTTTTTAATCCTCTTCACCACTGATCGGCTCGTTAGCAGCTTGGGCGGTTGGTCATGTTGTGGGGTGTGTGGGCCTGTGTTCACACTCAGGATGGGATGGAGAAAGGAAACTCACAATGTGCTCTCTGTATACATGTTGTATTGGATGTACAATGCAGCTTGGTGCTGGGAAGGCAGCATGGTTACAAGCGTGATGTAGAGAGAGTTAGTTGGTGAGGATGCTCAGAGGAGGACAGCTTGTGGGTCGCCATGCTCGCCGGCGGGTGTGAGGGCCGCCAGGCAGCGGCGGAGGAGGAGGAGGTGTTGCTGGCTGGTTGGTGTAGGTAGAAAGAGAGAGGTCACCACGAGGTCAGGTCTTAAATAGCGGGGGGGGTAGGCGTGGCTTAGTAGTTGACCTCCGTGATGTATGGCGGCGCTGGTTGACCCAAACCACGAGGCATACACTGGGGAATTCACGGGGTCGGCAACTCAGCGACAAACAGCGTTTGTTGGGGAGAAATCCACTACAATGTCTCTTCCGCACTGTTGGCAAGTACTGTACTGGGCAAACGTTTTTTTTTGGGGGGGGGAGGGGGATGTTGCAGCAGCACAGTGTGCTCGCTCTTCTAAGACTAGACTTGAACGCTGGGGCAGGCGCAGATACATTCAGGAGCCAGTACTTGCCAACAGTGCGTATCTGAGACGTGATGATTGATGACCGCCCTAATGGCTTACAGGGCGACCAGTGGCTAAGAGGATAAAATATAATAGAAATTGAATCTGGTTACAATTACAATTTAACTATAAAGTAATAGGTGTCATTTGTCAAAAACTTTTAAAATACTGGTACAGTTGTATGGACGAGCATACAATGAAGGTATTTAACGTGTGAGTACGTAACACCCCCTCCCCCCATTATAACTTTCTTATCTTCATTTTTCACACCTCAGTGACCCTGAGCTTTTACTGTTCCTTAATCAGTATCAATGTTCCTACAATAATGTCATTCCCTTAGACATGCTTATGTTACACCCCCTTTACCCATGGTGTCGACACAATACTCTCTCATATTGACCCTGATGCCTTTCTCCAAAACTCACTGGGTCACACCAACCCCAACTGTATCTATTACTTTTCTGACTCACGAATTAAGGCACCCAGAGCTACTACCACCCCCCCCCCCCATCCCATATGCTCCTCTCAGTCCCAGACCTCTATAAAATATGGTGTGAAGGTGTGGGATAACTTACCCTACCCACCCGATCAAAGACTGTGCTCCTTTCCTTTAAATCATCTCTTAAAAAATATCTATTGTCTAAGTATTAATATTTCTTGTAATACCTACTATATATACCTGCTTTTATTGTACCATCAAACCGTTTTATTAAAAATTATCATGTACAGTAAATAAATAAGAAATTACCATTGTGATAAATATATTTGCCAACTAGACATTGTAGGAATTCGTGGTATAATGTTGTCTAGCACTCAGGATGGATGGAAACTCTAAGGTGGTTTTCTTGTATAATATAAGTTATATGATAGACAGTCTGGTGCTGGAGGTGCCGTGTGGTGAGGAGCTGCTCAGTAGAGACGATCGGTGAGTAGCGTGATAAGGAGGTAGAAGTGCAGGAGCTTCGTTAGAGAAGATGTTGCCTGTTGCTGGCCTCCTGGTTGAATGAATGCTGACAGCGTGGAGCTTGCTGGAGGAGGTGTTGCTTGTTCAAGAAGAGAGACCAGAATGAATCTCAGTGGAGAGACAGAGCTTATATACCCAGCAGCCTTGAGTCCTCTATGAGTCATGTTGGGAAAACCCGAGAAAGTCGCCGGTTCCTGGTTCCGTTGCTAAGATACGGTAACATCTGTTGTCGCCGCTCCCTTGGTTGCTAGGATACGGCGGCGCATCGGAATGCAGATACGCAGTTGTAGGGGAGACGTCCACTACAATACTCCCCCTCCCCTCCCGGCACGGCGGGAGGCTGGATGTTGTCCGGGTTGTGTCCCACACATAACACATACCGGGCAGGTGTATGTACGACTCGATCGCTACGTGTAACAACTCCGTCTAGTGACACAAAACCTGTTGGAGAATTAAGAGGAGAAAGAGGGTTTGGGATTAGAGGAGGTTGTACAAGCAATGGTTGTTGTGCTCCTGCTGCTGCAGGGGCTGCGTCAGGAGGAGGGTCCATGGCAGGAGCAGGTTCTATGATAGAAGGGAGGTCTATTACAGGTTCAGGTTCTATGACAGGAGGAGGGTCTATGACAGGAGCAGGTTCTATGACAGGAGGAGGGTCTATGACAGGAGCAGGTTGTGCATGAGGGTGAAAAGAGGGTGCCCAGAAATGTCGTGGGCGTGGTGTTGCTGCCGGTGGTAACTGCGGGTAGACTGGTGCAGGCGTAGTTTGTTGATGGTGCTGCTGGGCTGGGGGCCCGACGGGTAAGGCGGCTGGTTTGACTCGGTCTATGCTGACGGTGTCATGTCTGCCATTCCGGATAATTGTCAGGAACTTTGCTGAACGGGTAACCACCTGGAAGGGTCCATCGTAGGGGCGTTGTAATGGGTTGCGGTGAGCATCATGCCTGACGAAAACATACTCGGCTGTGAGTAGTGCAGGAGGGATGTGTTCAGGGCGCCGAGTAGGCTGGCGTGGAGCAGTAGCTCTGAATGCAGAAACTGCTTGTCGTAGCTTTTGGAGTAAGTCGTGACGAACGGCTGGAGTGGTTTGGTTGGGATCAGGAGGGAGTGAGAAATCCCCGGGTAGCCGAAGGGGCTCGCCTAGTGTCAGATCTGCTGGGCTACAGTCCATATCCTCCTTGTGTGACGCACGGATGCCGAGGAGCACTAAGGGAAGCGCATCAGTCCAGCTGTAAGGGTCGTGCTGTGCCTTGAGTGCGTCCTTCAGCTGCCGGTGAAAACGCTCTACCATGCCGTTGGCTTGAGGGTGGTATGCTGTAGTGCGTTGTCTAGACGTGCCGAGGAACTGTAGGAGGTGCTGCCAGAGTTGTGACTCAAACTGTACTCCTCGGTCAGTGATTACGGTTGCGGGGGGGGCCAAAACGGGAAACCCAACCGGACATGAAGGCGCGGACAGTAGTCTCTGCTGTAGCGTTGGGCATGGGAATTGCTTCTGTCCACCTGGTGAAACGGTCGATGCAGGTGAAGATGTAGGTGCTACCGTATCAGACTTGATGCCGGGCCAGACGACACGTTGCGTGAGGAGGCGCTGGGAGGCCCGCACACCCGGGTGGCTGAGACCATGGATGCGGTCGAAAACAGCGCGGCGGTGGACGTGAGGCACGAACGGTCTAGGCTGTCCACAGGATACGTCGCACCACAATTTTATCTTTGTGCCAGGAACAGGGAGTTCTTGGAGTATGAGGCCTGAGGGGGATGTCTTGTATGCTGCCAGGTCTTCGTCTTTCTCTTGAGCCGCGGCTAGCTGCCCATAATCAATGGGTGGAGATGAGGGAAGAATGGTGGATATACAACGAGAGAGGGCGTCGGCGATCTCGTTGTGGCTGCCTTTAATGTGTTGGACGTCGCTGGAGAACTCCGAGATGTAAGCCAAGTGGCGCAGGACACGAGGTGTATGTGACTGGGAAGCTGAAGCGAAGGCGTGGACGAGGGGCTTGTGATCAGTGAAGATGGTGAACTGACGGGCCTCGAGGAAGTGCTGGAAATGTTTGACAGCCAGGTATATGGCCAGGAGTTCTCGATCAAAAGCGCTGTACTTGAGGTGTGGTGGTTGAAGCCGTTGTGAGAAGAAAGCAACGGGCATGAAAATTCCGTTGATCTCCTGCTGTAAGACGGCGCCCACTGCAGTAGAAGAAGCGTCTGTTGTGAGAGTGGTCCGGGCGTTAGGTGCGGGGTGGGCCAGGAGGGTGAGGCGTGTAATGTGCTGTTTGATAGTGGTGAATGCCGTAGTAGCCTCTTGAGTCCACATGAGAGACTTGTGAGACTTCTTTGGGCGTCCCTTGAGAAGGTCGTGTAGGGGGGCTAGGACGGTGGCAGCTTTGTCAATGAAGCGGTGGTAGTAGTTGACTAAACCCAGGAACTCTCGGAGTTTCTTCGCCGTTTCAGGTTTGGGGAACTCCCTAATCGCGGTTATCTTCTGTGGTAGGGGTTGTATGCCACTGGGCGAGACTCTGTGACCGAGGAAATCGATGGCCGAGGTTCCAAAGACGCACTTAGCAGGATGAACTTTCATGTTGTTGTTCTGCAGGCGTTGGAGAAGGAGTTGTAGGTGGTGGCGGTGCTCGGCAGGCGTCGAAGATGCGACGAGGATGTCGTCAATGTAGACGGTGACAAAATCGAGGTCGCGAAGCATATGGTCCATGAACCTCTGGAAAGTCTGTGCTGCATTGCGTAAGCCAAAACTCATGAAAGTGTACTCGAAGAGTCCGAACGGAGTGGTGATGGCTGTCTTCTGGGTATCTGCCGGTGCTACTGGGATCTGGTGGAAGGCACGCTCCAAGTCGATCTTCGAGAAGATAGTCTTGCCATGAAGTTTGTGGTGAAAGTCCTGGACATGCGGAATAGGGTACCTGTCAGGTTTGGTGACGAGATTCAGGGCTCTGTAGTCGCCACACACCCTCCACTCGCCGGGTGTTTGCTTAGGAACCATGTGAAGAGGCGATGCCCAGGGACTCCTTGAAGGGCGAATGATGCCGTCTTGCAGTAGTTTGTTGAATTCTACTTTGGCTGTGTTCAGGAGCTCAGGGCGCAGGCGGCGAGGGCGTGAAAAGACTGGTGGTCCTTTGGTTTCGATGTGGTGGAAAATTCCCGATGTAGGTGGTGGGGGTAGGGAGACTCGGGGTGAGAAAAGCTCCTTGAATTCGTCGAGCAGGGAGGAGAACTCGTTGGAAGGCGCAAGACAGGTGATAGTGTCGGTGTGTCTGGCACGAGAACCCTGGATCTTGCGTGCTGTAGGCTCATGGATGAGGCATAGATGACTTGGTTTGACGCCGAGCTTGTGGAAGGTGAGGAAGTCGAAACCAAGGATGGGTTGAGACACGTCTGCTATCACGAATAACCAACGCAGAGTCTTGGGCAGACCGAGGTCTAAGGCGAGGGTGCGTACGCCGTAGGAGGCGATGGAGGTACCGTTGGCAGCGAACAGGTCATACGAGGGTTGCTTTGACTTGTCTCGTAGTGAGGGAGGGATGAGGCTGACCGATGAACCTGTGTCGATGAGGAACTTCTTGCCGGAGGTGCGGTCGGTGACGCGCAGTAATGAGACGCCTGGAGGGACGGAGGCTGAGGCGTCTACCAGCCTCCGGTGTTGCCGTTTCCCGAATAGGTGCAATAGGGCTCACAGTTTCGAGCATTGCGGCCGAAAGTCTGGTGATACCAGCAGAGGGTAAATTTGTTGTGCTGGGGGTTGGCTGCTGTGTGTCGGAACTTGTAGGGCGTAGTGTGTGAGTCAGGAACTGGCGCAGCAGCGGGTATGGAGGAGCAGAACTGCTCAATGGTGTCCATCCTGCGGTTCAAAATTTGCAACAGGTCCTTGATGTCTTGTGAGGTATTGCTCGGCTGAGGGGTGTTGACCCGGCTTACAAGTTCGATGGTAGGTACTGGTGTGACCGTGGCGGCAAGGGGTGCAGCAGCGCACTCGTTAAAAATTCTATCTGCCGCGGTTGCATATAGTTCTGGTGTCGTAGAGTAATCTACTGCGGACAGGATGTTGCGTACTTCTGTGGGTAGCTTTTGTGCGTGAAGCTGGCGCAGGATAGAGTCGGGGAGTCTGTCTGTGTGACGGGAGTTCAGCCGACACATCTCCTCCCAGAGACGTCCCGGGGTTGAGTTCCCGAGGGAGATAGAGGATAGATCTTGCAGGAGATTGGGGCTGGTCTGTTGATAACACGTCTTCAAGGCAGCCCGCAGGGTAGCGAATTTGTTGTCATCTGGAGGGTTGGAAATGGTTTGTGAGACCCGCGTGGCCACTTCCGTGGGCAAGGCACAGAGCAGGGCGCAATACTTTTGCTCGTCGGTCGCTCGTGAGCCGACGAGGGCTGCTTCCACATGGTCTAGCCAGTCCTCGACGTTGTGGTTGAAAGTCGGCAGAGAGATCCGTCCGTCCTCCATCCTGTGTGAGTGCTTATCTCCGAGAGTCACCATTTGTAGGAAATCGTGGTATAATGTTGTCTAGCACTCAGGATGTATGGAAACTCTAAGGTGGTTTTCTTGTATAATATAAGTTATATGATAGACAGTCTGGTGCTGGAGGTGCCGTGTGGTGAGGAGCTGCTCAGTAGAGACGTTCGGTGAGTAGCGTGATGAAGGAGGTAGAAGTGCAGGAGCTTCGTTAGAGAAGATGTTGCCTGTTGGTGGCCTCCTGGTTGAATGAATGCTGACAGCGTGGAGCTTGCTGGAGGAGGTGTTGCTTGTTCAAGAAGAGAGACCAGAATGAATCTCAATGGAGAGACAGAGCTTATATACCCAGCAGCCGTGAGTCCTCTATGAGTCATGTTGGGAAAACCCGAGAAAGTCGCCGGTTCCTGGTTCCGTTGCTAAGATACGGTAACATCTGTTGTCGCCGCTCGCTTGGTTGCTAGGATACGGCAGCGCATCGGAATGGGGATACGGAATGGGGATACGCAGTTGTAGGGGAGACGTCCACTACAACATAATCCTGACAGCTCTGTCCTCTTGCTCAACCTTAATACTGTACTGTACAACCTATGTTGTGCTGCTTCCCCATTATATTTATGTTTTTCAATTCCACTGTAATTTATGTATATACTTATAATATAAATAAAAAAATAAATAAAAAATAATAAATAAATAAAATAAATAAATATTGAAGTGATAACATTCTGAGTTGTTCTTATTACCACCATGCTATGTGTACTGTTCCAGATGTTACTAAATGTTACATAATACCTGTACAGTACAGTACTTCCTTGAGATAAATGTACAGTGTATATCAGGTGCCTAGGAGAGCTCAGGTTCTCAACTGGCTCAGTCATGTTAATATTGTTATTATTATCCACTCCGTATGTGGGTTTTTTTTCAGGCTAAATAAACGGTTTCAATTCAATACATAAAAATAACGTTCACTATAATAATATCAATGTTACATGGACACTTTACCTTAACTAGATATTAACATTTATCACAACCAATCAGAGAATAGAATTAATGTAGACAACGTTTCTTAATTATAACACGCAACCGGTATACTGTACTCTACTATTATTTATAACGCAGGATGGCGGTCCACGAGAAGACTCAGATACCACTCTTACAGAAAATGTCAAGACGTGCCAGAAGAAAACACAAGAAGCAGGCAAGATTTGGATCTGGTGAGTGAATTGATTTTTTTTTTTTTTGAAGATTGGATACTCCAGTTTATTTCACCTGAAGATTAATCATCCTAATGATATCGGAGGGGGGGGGGAGTGTATAGTGGTAAAATTGCAAATTACAGCAACAAAAGATGTTTAGAAATGCAATACCTCTACATGTATTGTATAGGGTTCTGGTACATGTATTGTCACTCCTTAGAAAACATTACAAATAAATATACAGTAGAACTCAATGTGTTACCTGTAGTGATAAAATGTGTACTGTACTTGCTAACCTTCTTTTGTTTTCCAGATGTTGCTATAAACATTGAAAGTACTCCCTCAAATGCTAAGAAGACAAGACCAGTTTATGAAAGATCAATCTCTGTCAGGGAACGTTACAGTAGGTATGTACAGTACTGTACTGTACTGTATCCCATTTGTTATTGTTTTACAGTACAGTACTATACTGTACTGTACTGGAATATAAAGTGCGGTGGCTTGAGGACATGTACAGTGTTCACCTCATTTTTTGCCTGTTTGTTCCGCCTTTTCTTTTTTTCATTATTTTTTGTTTTGTTGTGATTGCTTTAGGTAACCCTCGTCATTATCACATGTTTTTGTTTCTTTGTACTATGCATAAAACTAATAAAAGCCTTATTTTAGGAGAGCCCAAACCATCATTTGAAATTCTGAAATAACAGTCTTCAATACATAATGTTTAAAATGCTAATGGATTTTTTTTCTGGTCAAAACATTTGTAAATTTACAGATGGATAAGATGGATTGGCTAAATATTAACCCCATCTTATTTTACTAAAAGATTAATCATCCTAATCCTAACATAACCTAACCCCCATAGGTATCATTAGGGTATTTAATCAACATGTGAAATAACCTGTTGCTAATCTTCAGGTGATGCAGTAAGACATACACTAAGACAGCAAAAGTATAATCAAGTGTTTTCTTCCTTTGTATAGGGTTGATGACACAAGCAATGTTCGCAAATATGCTGAAGAACTCTTGCAGAAAGCTGTAGAAAATGATTATGATGGCTGTCAGGCTCTGTTGGAAAAGGGTGATAATGTTAATGTAGAGGACAAAGAGACGAAATCAACAGCTCTACACATAGCAACCAAGAATGGACAAAGAGATATCGTTATACTCCTCCTCAGTAAAGGTGCTGATTGTAACGCTCAAGATGGAACTGGACAGTCTCCGCTACACCTCACTGCCACTAAAGACCATGTCGACTGCTGTGAGGAACTTCTTAAATGTTCTAATTTAAAAGTAAACATACCAAATAAAACTCATGACACTCCCCTCCACCAGGCAGCAAAAGAAGGAAGAATAGATATATGCACTATGTTACTTGAGCATGCAGATATTGATGTGAAAGCCAAAAATAAAATAGGAATGACTCCCCTTCATCTTGCTGCTCACGAAAACCATAAAAATGTGATACAGCTTCTCATGAACAAAGGTGCAAATTGCAATACCCAAGACAGAAACTTTCATTTGCCATTACATTATGCAGCCCAGAAAGGCTTTCCAGAGTCATGTGAAGTTCTCTTGTCTAACATCAAAAGTGCAGATAGAGAAAAACAGTTGAAAACGCATTTAAAAAATGGAAAAACCCCTCTCATGCTGGCAGCTCAAGGTGGCCATCACAAGTGTTGTGTTAAGCTGACAAACACATACATAAATGCCAAGGACAAAGTGGGAAACACTGCTTTACATCTTGCTGCTGCTGGAGGGTATGAAAATACAATTGCTGAACTTCTTAACATGGGGGCCAAAGCCAACACACAAAATATAAAAGGAAGTGCCCCAGTACTTGATGCAGCAAGTAAGAAGAATGCTGGATGCCTCAAAATTCTTGTTGAAAAAGATGCAAACCTGTTTTTTGTAGGTCAACAAAATAAAAATGTTCTTCATTATGCTGCTGAGAAAAATTCTGTGGAATGTCTTACTTACTTGTTGTCTCTCCCTAACATGAAATCTCTTCTTGACAAGAAAGATGACAATAATTGTACCCCACTTCATATTTCTATCAAACGAGAAGCTGTGGAATGTGCTCACATTTTGCTTGAGAACAATGCATCGCCAGTAGAGCAGTGCATAGGAGGAATGACACCCCTTCACTTGGCAGCTGACAAGGGCTATATAAGTATCTGTGAAATACTTCTTGCAAAAGATGAAGTGAAAGTTAGTCAGGAGAATGATTCAAAGGCAACACCACTTCATTTAGCAGCTCTCCATGGATCAGCAGAGGTCTGTCAAATGCTCTTACGTAAAGGAGCTCGCTTATCAGCCACAGATGGAGAAGGCCGAACACCTCTCCATATTGCATCACTAAAAAATTATGCCACTGTGGTGAAGCTTCTTACTAAGAAAGGCGCACCACAACGGACCAAAGACGACACTGGGTCTACAGCCTTGCACCTCGCAGCATCTAAGGGTTCACTGGAGTGTTGCCAGGTGTTGGCTGCCAGTGCCAAGGCTGTGTGCAATGATTTAGATCACAATGGAAACCGTCCTTTAGACAGAGCATTTGAAAAGAAACATGACAAAGCATTTGAATTCCTACTTCTGCATATGCCATATAGGGAACACCAAGAAGAGTTTGTGTTATGTCTTCATGAATACATGCATACAGCCTTGACTGGAAACAGAATGTAAGTCCTGTACTGAACACTTATATTGGTTAGGGATGTGTATAACAGTAAGTGCATTCAAGTATGGAATATTTTGAAGCATAAAGTTAATTTTACAGTTAGTTACTGTATTTGTGAAACTCTTACGCTTGTAATCAATTTAAAGGGAACACACAATTATTTGCAGAACTGCTGTAAAAGCCATCATTGATAGCTCATGGTGGGAGGCTGGTTTCACAGGAGCAAATGGACATCACTGTCTAAACTTCAGGCAGCTTGTAGAGTGTCACCCAAGTCTTGCCTTGAAGGTGCAGGACAAGTGTGTGCAACATATCAATGATGATGCTGAAGTAACCTATGACTTCAGATTTTTGGAAGACAACTATTATATTTTATCAGGTACCTGTAGTGAAAGTCTGTTTATATTATTCTTTATACAGTAGATGTAACTTATGTTTTATTTGTCATTTCACCACTTATAATCACCCTATCCAGTTGGTCTGTTCTTTGTAACTTTGTTAACTTTGGTTTTTATTGTACAGTGTTCGGTAGTGTCACATTGGATAACAGCCTTCTCACATCTGTCTTGGGTAGGGGATTGAACCCAGGACTTAATTGAGAGATATGTACGTACATTATCACTGTACCACCATCATTTATTTTATAATTATATACAATATACCCGAATGTTTTCTAGCCACAAGTAAGCTGGCCAAGAGTCCATATGAAGAGAAAAGTGGGAGGGTGTGTCAAAATGCATGTCAGTTTATCGAAGACAGCCTGAAATGGAAGAATGACCACCCACTATCACTGATGATATCTCACACGCGCCACCAGCTGCTCCACCACCCACTCGTCAACGCTTGGCTCTTGCACAAATGGAGATCATACATCTACATCGTCTTCCTTGCTTGTCTTCTTCTGGAGTTGATCTTTGTTACCTGTTTGATTATCTTCATGGGATATATCGAGTAAGTAGGCGTAATATGTCCTGGTCTTTCTTCTGTGAATATGAACTTTTTTAACTACTTTTATATACAGTACATGATATGATCTGGTTTCCCTTATCTGTCTTTGTTGATATGTCCAGTTAATTACAATCCATGTACAGTACAGAATTTACCTGTTCTGATTACAGTATTTTAGTGGCTGGGGAGATTAAGAGATTCCCCCTACACCTGCTATTTTAGGTCGAATAACATAATAATACTCTTTGGTTGGATATGCCTACTGCGCTGTTATAACAAAGATCTAAGTGGTAATGTAGGTTCTGTGTCTAGTTGTGCTTTAATAACTACGGTACTGAACCACTTTTTTTTTCTTTACAGTAATTGGATGAACATAGAGAGACGGTGCAACTTTACCAGAGAGCAGTTTTGTGAAATATCAGACACACTTTCTCAAGTTCACGATCTGGGTCTCACATCACAACCTCTTCATGGGGATGTAGTGACAGGAGGAAATACAGAAACAATTACAAACAGCACTGACAATATAGCCATAAGTCAATTTACTGGTTTCCCTGACAATGCAACCTTAATTGAATTTGCTAAGTGTAATACAGGAGTTCCAGTGAAGAGAGGAATTTCATGCGTACTGGTGATTATAATGTTCATGACACTCCTTTTGGAATGCAACTATATTTATAGAGTAAGTACAATGACTTTTTAACTTGATATTGTCTTTATTCCAGGACTGGTAAGCAGGTTCTTGGATACAATTTAGATAAACTATAGGTTGTTACTCCTTCAAGACATCTATGATGCTTCCCTGTACTAGAGAGCTGTAATTGGTTGGAATTATACTGTAGAGAGAGCTGTGATTGGTTGGAATTGTTTTGTAGAGAGAGATGTGATTGGGTGAAATTATACTGTGGAAAGCTGTGATTGGCTGGAATTATACTGTGGAGAGAGCTGTGATTGGCTGGGATTATACTGTGGAGAGAGCTGTGATTGGTTGGAACACCCTCCCAACAAACTGACATGATGACAATACTGAGCAGCACCATGATCAAAGAAAAACCACCAGTTAAAATACTTCTTGCACATGGAGTAAAAGGCTTCAGTCTTTGAGATATTGCAATTGCAATTTACTGAATAGTCACTGTCGTATTCTTGTTACCATAATTTTCATATACAGAGCATGTGACACTAAAAAAAGAAGTGATTTCTTAGAATATTCTAACCATATTTCACATTTCACAGCTGAAGAAGGAATACCTGTTTGTGGAGAACCTTATGCAGATCCTTCGTGTAGTGTTCACCATTGTTGTCTTGATACCAGGAGGGAGCTGTGAATTTCATTATAATGTGCTTGGTGTAAGTTAACTCACATTTATTAAACCTTTTGGCTTGTGATAATCTTTAGTAATAACATACCATCGAATAATGAGATTTTTTGGTTGTTTATATTTATTTCATTTTAAGTGAAATATTTTGTGTTCCAGGTTGAACAATGGGAATGTGGAATTTTGGCCCTGCTGGTGGAATGGTTGTACTTCATCAACATGCTCAACCAACTGCCGATGATTTCGGTATTCATGCCGATTACTCGCAGCTTTCTCAAGAGTTTCTTCAAAGTGCTCTTCTATATTATAATGCTTGTATTTATCTTTGCCTTCATCTTCCATCTGCTTCTGAGAGACCAAGCTGCTTTCCACACTGTGCCACAAGCTATGGTCAAGACAATTGTGTGGATGCTTGGTGACCTGGCCTATGATGACACTTTCCTTAATGATGTTCCACTTGTTTACCCAGTAATGGTGAACATTCTCTTCGTATTGTTTGTCACTACAATTGGAGGCTTTATTGTAAATCTGGTTGTCGCACAACCTTCTGAAAAACTGAATAGTTTTCGAGACAAGGCTGCCTTTCACAGGGCAGCAAGCCGGTGTAGGCTGTTCCTTAAACTAGAAGTCTGTTTTCCCTTTTTTCGTAAATTCAGGACAAGAAGGTTTTTTGTTGGTGAAGAAACTACATCAAATGGATCTATTTTTCTAACAAAGAAACTTTTGAGGCTTGATAATGAAGTGAAAGAAGCAGAACCCGAAAATTCCCTTCAGTTACAACTATTAGAACAGAATAAGCAAATGACCGCTATGCTGAATCTTCAGAAGGAGGAGATACATGACCTCAAGCAACAGCTAAACATCATAACTAAATATCTACCGGGACGAAACAGGGACAGTATTATGTAACACATCAAGATGAAAGTCATTCATAGGTCTCCTTACTTTGATGAATAGGTTGATATCTAGCATGGCATGGAGTCATATAACTGGACTAAATTTTTCTCTATGAACTCTTATTCTCATAAGTATATTAATTAGCAACATTCAAATTCCCAATTTTGGATAACAAAACTGACTGGTAATTGGTCAGTCGCTGCATAGAGTATGTGTGCCAGTTGGAAGAATGCACAAGGGCACAGGAAGCCCTTTTGATGGTTATGAAAAAGACGGTGTTTATTCACATTATTTGTTTTAACCTTACACTTAGTATGGAACGGTGGAAAGGTCGCCACTGACCAGAGTGTAGAGAAATGCTGCAAAGAAAAATAGGTAGGTGGTGTTAGTTGACTGTTAAAGAGTGCAAAGGAGGTGTGGTAAAGGAGTGTAGAGAAGTGTGACTGGAGGATTGTACGTCTAAGCTACTCTGCGTTTCACAAAATGATGGTATTACAGACATACTGTACACAGTTAACAAGGCTTTAATTTGTACTTCAGGGACCCATCCATGACCAAGAGTTCAACAATGATGTGTGTGTGTGTGTGTGTTTTAAGATATTTATGTGTCTATTGGGTCAAAGAATACAGTACTGTACTCTACAATTGTATCATGCCAAATGGGAACCTGAGAAATTCAAGGGTTCTAGTTGGCAAGACAGTGACATATACACTAGACTGAGAAATGACTGTCGAGGTGCTTCTATATTACTCCTTATTCACCCTTGCCCACCTGTGGTACGAACTAAGCAATTGTATACATTCAAGTCTAGGTATTAATTATACTGATTTGACTATTAATATAAGTTAATATTTGTAAGAGCTTTAATTTTGCTGTAATTAAATGCAGACTGTTCAAGGAAATGAGTACCGGTACATGACAGCTTTGTTGGCTATCCTTGGTGAAGTTCCATACTGTTTACCATTGTTGTTTACCTGCACTGTCTTGGCACACAGGAAACTGTACACAGTGTTGTACTCTCACGGCCCATGTGTACCATATACTGTACCTACATTTTCTATATTCAAGCTGCACAGCATAATTTATAAACATGCCTATGCAATTGTAAACCTGTTTGACAACTTTACTGAATAATTATTATTATTATTCTCCAGTATGCCTTTTTTTTTTTTAATACTGTACACTTACTTTAATTGACATTCAATTATAAGAGCTCATTCATAATTACCTTCCCCAAGTCTCATAAATTGTGTGTTAAAAATCAAACTTTGAATCGGCAATTTCTTTTTCTGATTAAAAATCTTAACAGTGAATCTGCAAATATTTTTTTAATAGTCTTAATGCTAATTTAGTAATTTACCATACAGCAGAAAAAGAAAATGGTGAGAGCAGTAGAATTAATGTACCTGAATAGTTAGGTGAGGTTGCAGGTAATAAATACTCTTGAGATCATCACTGGTGTAAGAGAAGGTGGAGCACTGAAGAATGGTTAAACACAGGGGAACCAGACAAAACTAATGCATTCACAGGGAGGAGAAGTGCTGAAGCTATGATTGACAGCAAACTATTGATAATCTTGGGTCAGTTTTAACACTAATGCAGTGTATTTTTTACCGATGAATTTATGTATTGAACAAGTTGAAAATGTTATGTACTTTTTAGTGGTGATTCATTGTACTTATAATTTATGATTCATTGTACTTTTTAGTGATGATTCATTGTACCTTTTATTGGTGATCTAATACAGTATACTTTTTGTGAAATGTACTGTTTATTTTATTGACTCCAGAAGCACTAGAAGAGGAATATTAACCCTTTCATTTTGCAACTTTTCCATTTTTATATTGAGTAAATATGTTCCCACCACAGAAGAAGTTTAGTAAAATAGTTGGTTACAGGTATTAGGAGACTGTTGTATAGTATTACCCTGATCTTAATACGTGCAGCGTCTATATAGGGGGCCCCCCCAAATTCTCGGATTTTTATTTCGAGGTCCTCTATTATTTGCAGATGACACCCTGGATGTACCTAAGAATGTCTGTTGGTAGTTTTAAAGTTGCCGGCATTTTCGTGGCTGGGACAGAGCCATTCGTTCTAGAGACAGTAATTTCCTAAACCTGTATTGTATATATGTGTGTGTGTGTGTGGACACACACACACACACAAAACACATCCAAATAAATAATATTGGGGAAATTCTCTCACAAATAATCATTAACAAATTTATTAAAATGCAACAGGTTACCCTCAAGTCCGTGCTTTATTAATAAAGCACGGACTTGGGTAGACTCACATTTTAATAAATTTGTTAATGATTATTTGTGAGAAATTTTTCCCAATATTATTTATTTGTATGTGCTTTGTGTGTGTGTCCACACACACACACACACACACATATTATATACACTACAGGTAAAAGAAATAATTGTCCTAGGGGCAAACACATAAATTGAATACACATTTCTTTGTACACAAGTAAAAATGTAAACCCCCCTCCCCCCGGTCAGCAAATACTTGCGAATTTAGTGATTCGCGGGCATTTTGAGAACCTAACCCCCACGAATTTGGGGCCCCCCATGTATATAAGTTAACTGTAAACTTCTATAATGAAATTAATTAATATCTACCCAGATGCTCATTCTAGTACCTACAAGTGCTATACATACAGTGCTTATATTTACTCTACATATATAGACACCTACTTTACCGAGTTTTTCAGGCATTTAAACTTTGAGGACCACAATATAAATACATAAGAATGGAGGAAACTGCAGCGGGCCTATTGGCCCATACTGGGCAGTTCCGTGTAGTGGATTTCTCCCCTACAAACGCTGTTTGTCGCTGCCTAGCCGACCCCACCAATTCCCCAGTGTATGCCTCGTGGTCTAGGTCAACCAGCGCCGCCATACACCACGGAGCGGGGGTCAACTGCTAAGCCACGCCTACCCCCGCTATTTAAGACCTGACCTCGTGGTGACCTCCCTCTTTCTACCTACAGCCGCTGCCTGGCGGCCTTCCTCATCCTCCTCCGCCTGCCTGGCGGTCCTCTCTCCCGCCGGCGAGCATGGCGACCCACAAGCTGTCCTCCTGTGAGCATCCTCACCAACCAGCTCTCTACATCACGCTTGTAACCATGCTGCCTTCCCAGCACCAAGCTGCATTGTACATCCAATACAACATGTATATAGAGAGCACATTGTGAGTTTCCTTTCTCCATTCCATCCTGAGTGTGAACCAAATATCCTGAACCCCACACCCGTTTACACCCAACCCCTATTGCTCATATGAGCATCCAACCTATGTTTGAAGCAATTCAGCGTATTCGAGTTAATGTTGATATTTGGTAACTTGTTCCATTCATCCACTACTGTTTCCAAACCAGTGTTTACCTATTTCACGCCTAAATCTAAATTTGTCTAATTTAAAACCATTGTTACGAGTTCGCTCCTGGTTGGATAGTTTGAGTACCTTTGTAATGTCCCCTTTGTTTAGCCCTGCCTTCCACTTATACACCTCTATCAGGTCGCCCCTCGCTCTACGTCTCTCAAGGGAGTGCAAATTAAGATGCTTTAACCTGTCTCTATACTCAAGGTTCCTAATGCCCGGGATTAGTCTTGTCATTCTCCAATGAATTCTTTCCAAGGATTCTATATCCATTCTGTGTACGGTGACCAGAACTGAACTGCGTAATCCAGGTGTGGTCTCACAAGAGCAAGATACAGTTTTAGGATGACCTCGCTAGTCTTGTAACTCTCACTCCTTTGTATGAACCCAAGTACTTTATTAGCCTTGTTACGAGCAAAAACACATTGTTTACTTGGCTTAAGGTTCCTACTTATCATTACTCCTAAATCTCTCTCGCAGTCGGATTTCTCTATGGCATCGTTGTTCATCTGTTATCTGGTTTCCCTGTTTACATCTCCTATACTGAGTACTTTACATTTGTCCACGTTGAATTTCATCTGCCATTTTTCAGACCATTCGAAAAATTTGTTTAGATCTTCCTGTAGTTTTGTGGAGTCCTCGTCAGATTTAATAACACGTCCTATTTTAGTGTCATCAGCAAATTTACTTATGTTGCTGTCAATCCTTGTGCTATACTCGTAGCTCTATTATATTATATACTATATAATAAACGCTTACTTGTATCTGTAGTATATACCCACAAAGTATTTTTATTATACATGCGATTAATTCCCAATAAAGTATATAAATCAGTGGAATCCGGTTCTTTAAAGTTCCTTCTGGCGGCATGTTTGGGGACTACTACCAGCTTAAAATAATGATATTGTTAATAATAATAAAATTACGATCGTTTTCAATACAGTATTCTAATACTACTAAAAGCTGTTAATAAATGAAGTACATGATATATATAGTAAAACAAATTAAAATATTAATACAAATACTCATTTACGTCTTGGTTTATTATTCCAATGTTGATGTTTCCTTTATAATCAATCGGTGAAAACATTGGGGACAACAAGCCTTCAGTCTGAGTGTATTAGCTGAGAGTGTTTACCTTCCTGGTGTTGTTCGTTCAGTCTGAGTGTATTAGCTGAGAGTGTTTACCTTCCTGGTGTTGTTCGTTCAGTCTGAGTGTATTAGCTGAGAGTGTTTACCTTCCTGGTGTTGTTCCTTCAGTCTGAGTGTATTAGCTGAGAGTGTTTACCTTCCTGGTGTTGTTCGTTCAGTCTGAGTGTATTAGCTGAGAGTGTTTACCTCCTGGTGTTGTTCGTTCAGTCTGAGTGTATTAGCTGAGAGTGTTTACCTTCCTGGTGTTGTTCGTTCAGTCTGAGTGTATTAGCTGGGAGTGTTTACCTTCCTGGTGTTGTTCGAGTCAGTTGTTTACCTTCCTGGTGTTGTTCGTTCAGTCTGAGTGTATTAGCTGAGAGTGTTTACCTTCCTGGTGTTGTTCGTTCAGTCTGAGTGTATTAGCTGAGAGTGTTTACCTTCCTGGTGTTGTTCGTTCAGTCTGAGTGTATTAGCTGAGAGTGTTTACCTTCCTGGTGTTGTTCGTTCAGTCTGAGTGTATTAGCTGAGAGTGTTTACCTTCCTGGTGTTGTTCGCTACATAGAGTTCGCTGTTTATTATCGGGGAGAATATTTTCCTTTATTTATATATATATCCGCCTCACTTATTGGTTATTAATATAGTTTATATAACAACTCGCATTAAAAATATAAAAAGTGTAACTCACCTAAGTTTATTAATAAATTTATATATATAATTTTCCTATAATAGCTGTATAGGTTTATATTATTATTAAATATGGCTTAAAAATATTGTCAATGCAATCCGGAATTATTGATATTTTTAGTAGTGATTGTTGTAGAAATGTGAGGAAGTTCCCCAGAAGAAACTATGAAAAATAGAAAAAATAAGACGAACAATGAATAACATGGACTATAAAAGGTTTCTGTAATAATACGAGACAGAAACCTTGATTTAAAGTGTATATATTACTAAAGAAGACAATAATCGCCTTAAGTATGGGACAAAATAGGAAAAAGGGTAAGTTTTGACTGGTGTCATTCTCGAGTGTGTAAAGCTTTATGGGGTCAAGTGGAGGCTATAGTTATCTTTGTTTTTATCATAATGGTTAAAATATTACTTCAGTTAACTGTTAGGTAAAGGTGGAAGAGATGGTTAGCACCAGAAGGACAATGCCGCTTCAAAAAAATTGCATTCTCTGGTACCTGCAGACTTCTTAATTTTAACATTGAAATAATATTGAATGATTGAAATTTTTTTCATAGGGCCAGCGCTGTCCAAAGAGGAGCTGCGCATGCTTACTGTGGGTGAGATTGTACAAGAACTGATAAAAGCACAGAAGGAACAGCGTGATGTAAACCTCAACAAGCTGAAGACACGTATATCCTCTAAGTATGGCCTCCAGTCCTCGCCTAGACTCGTGGACATCATAGCTGCTGTGCCACAACAACACAAGAAGGTTCTCCTTCCCAAACTTCGTGCTAAACCTGTCCGTACAGCTTCTGGGGTAAGACGATAGTTATAAACTGACGTGTGTTGTAATGGAAGCAGGTCATTTTGTCTCAGGTTCATTGTATCTTCTGTCTAGGCAATGTATTCTCTTGCTTAGTTTAAATAGATGTTTGGGTTGACGGTTCATAAAGAATGTGAAGAGACTAGAAATCATGGGATCCTTAAATCCATGACTTTTGTGTAGAAGTCATAAAATGAGCAGAGTAAATTTGTTGTAACTCTTTGTGATGAAGTGAACACAAATGTGTTTAGAGATTAAGTAGTCGCATTGATAGTTTTCCTGCTCTCAGATAAATGAAGAGTTTGTTCCAGAAACAATATGAACTAGCCCATGTGTGGCTGGTAGCTACCAGCCAATTTCACCATTAACCACTTGGGTATAGGGTCTGCTCTGTGCTGAATCAAATCTTTTGGGGATAACCAAATAAAATAGTAATAGTAGCATCCCTATTATTAACCAGATGATAATGGATAATACTTTCAACAGATCGCAGTCGTGGCTGTGATGTGTAAACCTCACCGCTGTCCTCACATTAATATGACGGGCAATATCTGCGTCTACTGTCCAGGTGGACCTGATTCTGATTTTGAGTACTCGACTCAGAGCTACACTGGGTATGAGCCAACGTCCATGAGAGCCATCAGGGCCAGATACAATCCATATTTACAAACCCGACACAGAGTAGAGCAGGTAAGTTGTAAACATTTATCAGCCATTTTTTATTTTATCCTTTTTACATTCAAACTTTAAAGGTATGTTTTTTATTATATTATAATAATTCTTAAGGCTAAGGTTTTATAAGACTATCAGGTACCGTACAATATTTGTAAATGCTGTAAGTGATTCATAATATTCCACAAACTTTGACAAAAGAAATACTGTACAGGTACACAAATTTGAAATAAGTCACAAGTCACATTTAATCATCCCATTCTAAAGGTAAGTAGCAAGCAGTAGAGTCAAATGCAAATTATATTCCTCTATATTTTGAGGTAGCTATACTGTATTATGAACATAATAAATAGATTATAATGGATTTTGATAAGACTTGTTGCTGTACTGTACAGTATAATACTTTGATATAACACAAGATCTTGAGGGAGTTAAGTGATCAGTATTTTCTCTCCATTTCTATGGAAGCTTTGATTCATTATACTATACTGTATGTCTTCTTGACAAGAGGGGATTCTGGTTCCTAGATTGGCATGTAATAATTTGTGTAACCTTTCAGCTACAGCAGTTGGGTCACAATGTTGACAAAGTAGAATTTATAGTGATGGGTGGGACATTTATGGCTCTCCCGGAGGACTATAGAGATTACTTTATCCGCAACCTGCACGACGCACTGTCTGGTCACACATCCACAAATGTTGCTGAAGCTGTCAAGTACTCAGAACGCAGCAACACCAAGTGTATAGGTAAGAGTTTCACAAGAAGGGTTTCATACATTCTTATGATACTGACTTCTTTTATGATTACTTTATTACTACCCATGGGGAAAAATATTTGTTTTAAATTTAAATACAGTAAGTAGTTCTATTTTTCAGTGAATGAAATGCAAACACTGTTCTGTAACTTATCTTTTGCTTCAAGCTGTGGAAGTCTTTACAACAAGATGTGATATGGTTTTAGTTACTTTACCCAGTAAATATTTTTTATATCATTTTACTGACTGTAAATTAAGAATAGTACTTTTGGTAAAAATAATTTGTCATATTAATGATCAACTTAAACATTTGTTATTAACTGGAACATGTGATTTATTCATGTATTGATAGTACAGTATTTATCTTACTGTAGCGTACTTTTAACGCTCCATCGCTGTTGCAAATACTTACCACGTTTTCTGATCCAGGAATTACCATAGAAACACGTCCTGACTACTGCTTGAAGCGCCACCTCTCTGACATGCTCAAGTATGGCTGCACGAGATTGGAGATTGGTGTTCAGTCTGTGTATGAAGATGTTGCCAGGGATACAAACAGGTGAATTTTATGTGTGTGTAAAGCCCACGCTGCTTATAGGCTACACAGACTAGCGGTCTTAAAATTCCTAACCTGCGACTTTGCTGGGTTTATCCGTCCCCCACCTCACGAAATATACAGACCAGGTGTACAAGAACTTATAAAAGCACAGAAGGAAAAGCGTAAAGTCAATACTTACCCTCAAATACATTAGCATGGATAAATAACTTATAAAATATATATTCCTGTATATATATATTTTTTTTAAACCTATCCTGATATAGACTTAATGTAATGCACCTCTTGACCTAATTTTATAATACTGTATTTTAATACCTGGTTCTCTTTCACCTGTAGGGGACACACTGTGAGGGCAGTGAGTGAGAGTTTCCACTATTCCAAAGATGCTGGCTTTAAGGTGGTGTCTCACATGATGCCAGACTTACCCAATGTTGATTATGAGAGAGACGTGGAACAGTTTATTGTAAGTGCAGTATATATTGAAAATCCTTCTTCTGTTTTTGTTATGAGTATTACAGTTTATAAATATATTTTTTTTGTATGAGCTTTAGTGGGTGTGTGAGAGTGTAAAGTAAGATATCCCATGGTTGAAAGATAAGGATGGAATACCATAGGAAAAAAAAAAGGTAACTAGTATATGTGAAGGTTTGATTAATTGTTTCTTCATATGCAGGTTGAGGATATGATCAAGTACTGTACAGAACTGTACTGTATGTGTACAGTATACAGTACCTATATTTGTTATCTTAGCACCTACCTGTCACATCCTAGACACATCTTTCATCATTCCTGTAATTCCCTCTTTTATTTGATACTTTTTGTTATCCCTTGGTTCACCTCTCAAGCATGGAAGAGGAGTAAAGATAATAGAAGAATGACAGAAATCACCTGTATCATATATTTCATTACCATTTTTTTCTCTATTTTCAGGAATTCTTTGAAAATCCAGCCTTTAGACCAGATGGGCTGAAAATCTACCCAACTCTGGTTATTCGTGGCACTGGTCTCTACGAGCTGTGGAAGACAGGACGATACAAGAGTTACCCTCCTAATACCTTGGTCGACTTGGTGGCCACAATACTCTCACTTGTGCCTCCTTGGGTCCGTGTTTACAGAGTTCAGAGGGACATTCCGATGCCTCTGGTTAGGTGAGGTTCCCACATAATTGCAGGCTTCTAAGATAGCTTGATATTTTTTATGTAAAATTGTCACTCGAGTTTACATTTTATTCAGCAGATAGATATATAGACATTACAAGTATATGCAGTTCAGCATATATATAAACAATGCAGGTAAATAGTTCAGCATGTATATAGACAATGTAAGTATACAAGGAACAGGTATACAATTTATGTACTGTGCCTAGACATAGCAGGTATACAAACAATGGTAAACTGTAAGGTAATTCAACCGAGGATAACCAACAAAGCCATCAGATATTTATATCCAGTAGAGATCTTTACTTGGGCTTGGTTACTAATCAGTACAGTAATAGTAAATCTATAGGAATAAAATCGAAAATATGTGGATAAATGTAACAAGCATTACATTGTGGGTTTTTCTATGTAACAGGAGGGGGACTGGAAATACCCTGTACTGTATGAGTGTGTCAGGTGTGAAAAGAATATTTTGAAGAAATTTGAAGCAGAATTTTGATATTTGGCTCACTGCTCCCTTGTGCTGTCATCTTGGTTAAATTCAGTTATTATTATATTCCTTTATTTTGTGAAGTTATGGCCAAGTTGTAGTGAGTTAGCTGTTTTATCTCGTGGATCATAGTGATGGGATACGTACGTGGATTGATTGGATCTTGTATACTGTACAGTACTATAATTTGTCTTAATGATACAGATATCTTACAAGGGAAGAATATAAGTGGAAGAATGCATTGTGTAGGTGATGTATGTTACAGCAAAAAATCCTGTTACTGGAGCGATCCATCTTCTCTATCCTCAACTTGTACACACAATACAGTATGTAAAGTGAACCCCTGGTACTGCACTCCTCTAACCTAATTTATTTTTATTTTTTTTAATACTCAACAGTTCTGGAGTAGAGCATGGAAACCTAAGGGAACTTGCTTTGGCCCGCATGAAGGATCTTGGTACGGAGTGTCGAGATGTACGCACCCGTGAAGTTGGCATCCAAGAAATCCACCACAAAGTCCGTCCTTACGAGGTGAGCCAATTTATAGTCAAGTCTTTGTGTATTGACTTTACTTATGTTATTTTTTTATATTTTGTGTTCAGAATAGAGTATCTAGTGATTTAATTTAATTTCCTAATGCTTAAGAAATTTTGTCAGTTTGTGCTCTTGTGTGTAATAATTGCAAGACATTTATGGAGCAAAGCATTGAGATTACCTCACCTCCTAATTGGCCAAAGTGGAGACCTCCTCACATGTATGTCTCTCAGATAAAAAATGCATAAATTATGTCTTCTTTATGTGTTCTTTGAGTGGCTCTTGAAGTTATTATATTCACTATTTACAACTGCTCTTCCAATCCTCAGGTAGAGTTCATCCGACGTGATTATGTAGCTAATGGGGGATGGGAGACTTTTCTAGCTTATGAAGATCCAGAACAAGACATCTTGGTTGGATTGCTCCGCTTAAGGAAATGCACGGATCAGATTTTCAGGTTGGTGCTTTAATTAAATTGTGGCAGATTTTAGAGATTATACATTAGTATATGAGATATATATTTATTGATTTATTCTTTTTACTAATTGAAGCTTTTCCCACTACAGTACAGTATTTTACTATAGTACTGTATTCCCTTTGTACAAGATAGCTCAAATTCACAGACGCATAACTGAACCACTTCTTTGTTTCTTTAGGCCGGAGTTGGTGGGTGGAGTGTCAATAGTACGAGAGCTTCATGTCTATGGGTCAGTCGTGCCGGTGAGTTCTCGTGACCCAACCAAGTTTCAGCATCAGGGCTTTGGCATGTTGCTAATGGAGGAAGCAGAGAGGATTGCCAAGGAAGAACATGGATCCCACAAGATTTCTGTAATCTCAGGTGGGTTTGTGGTAATATTTATATTTATTTACTTATTTATTTTTTATTCCTTGCTGCTCCAGCATGGCAATATAAAGTATGTGGGTGGTGACCAGTGATGTAATGGTTAGCATGCTCAACTTGCAAGAGAGTGGTCCTGGGTCTGATCCCAGGCAGGGTGAAACAATAGGCAAGTTTCTTTATGTCATTTGCCTCTGTCTACCGAGCCTGTAATTGGGAACCTGGATGTTAATTGATTTGCAGATCGTGTTCCGGGGTAATGGTTAGCAAGTACAGTTGGCAAGTTGTTTGGTCTTTTCGTATTATTCCTTGACACTGGGGCATACAACTCATTAACTTAGGGTGTGGTTGCTGTGTCAGAGACAGCTTTTTCACCTTAAACAAATTCATGCTTTGGTGGCTCTAGGGCCAGCCATCTTCAAACATGATAGGCAACCAGTATGTGTACAGTATATATGAATGTGCATGTGTCAATCTTAAACAATAACCAGGTATCTAATGGATTAAAATTAAACTTGGTTTGCAGGTACTGTACTGTATATCACAACAATATCTCAGAAATAATCATTTATCAATATTTTCCATCTTTATTAATCAGTGTTAGGATGGTTAGGTTAGGTTAGGTTAAGGATTAATAAGCTAAGAAGAAAAATATAATATTTTATATATTGCTCAGTGTACAGTGTTGTTCATGTACAGTACTGTTCTCCAAGGACAAATATTTGTTCTTGATAATTACTTTCGGCTTACTTTTTCTGGTGAGGTGATAGTAATGTATAACATTTTTAATAATATAAATTACTTTTTTAATTACAGTAGTTTTTTATTTATTTATTTATTTTTACAGGTGTCGGCACTCGCAACTATTACCGGAAGCTTGGGTATGAACTAGAGGGACCATACATGTCAAAATTCCTTGTCTGATTACAAATTAAAATGTACAGTGATATAATGATTATAATAATAATAAATTATCTTTGGGGGTAGAAATGCAAAATATAACTTGAGTAATTTATATACCATTTTTATTAGAGAAACTCTTTCCTTTAATCTAAATATTTGACCCTGGACACAACAATGGTTTTATGGGATTTAATTTTTTAATACTCAAGCTGTAATGACAATTTATTATAAACCATCTAGGATTACTAATTCATTATTATCAATGTTGTGAAACCATCAAGTTCTGAAAATTTGGGTCATAATCTATGCTTATTTCTACTTCAATTTCATCTGAAGTTTGATGGTATATTCACTTGAAAGAATATGTTTAGATTAAGTTGGAGATAGATATGAACTCAGCTTTACATCCAACAGCTTACTGAACACCCTCTGGGTACTGAACTGTAAAAAACAGGAGGAAGAACAGAATCTCAATATTGAGTTTACTGTATAATCTTCTTAGCATTTTTATGATATGATTGTCATGCTGGGTTGTTGGAAGTGACAGAGATACATTAGATGGACACTTGGAGCCTTGTTGAGGGAAAGGGAAAACCCCAGGTGAGCACCTTATTATGTTATGGCAATTAAAGGGATTGAATGACACTAAATAAATAGAGTTTGTGTTACATTTTATTCCTGTTACAGTATCCAGTTTCATAACCTTATGGATTGTTCAAGCACAGAAATATAGCTAAATAAAAACAAAAACATTGCAATTGTTCTTAGTCTTTTATTTCTGTGATTCAATAACTAAGATCTTCAGGCAGATATGCCATCAACTTGGTAATCAGATCATGCAGTGAATGTGAGCACTCATTTAGCAGCAGGAACACTACCATCGGTGCCATAAGAATTGTCTTGGCACCAGTACTACATCACTCCTGCTCTTTATTAAACTGACTGGTTTTCAATCCTGAACCTGAAGAGAAGCCAAGGGGATCCAAAAGGCCTGGATTAAAAGCAATCGCGCTATTTCAAGATATATCATTAATCTATGTTGAACAGTTCCCGGTCACTACATAGTACAGTACAGTACAGTACAATACAGTACTGTGTATGTAATGTGCGCTAAAACAGACATCTTCAGTTGCTAAGTCAGATTCACCTCCAGACATCTGATATTTATAAAGCACATCTTGAACATTGATTATTTTTTTTATATAGAATAATGAAAGACTGCCATAAACCTGTTATCACTAAGCATTATCAAGAATGTTTATCTGTGTTATCTGTGTGTACGTGGGGTGATCTAGGATTAAAAAGATATTGACAGACCTGTTTGTTAGATCGAACGATATATTCCACTTTTGGATTATAATATACTGTATTGGTAACCATTATTAGATGCTAAATGTGTCTTAAAATCGTGTATCCAACAAACTCATAATAGTACTGTGTATTCAAATAAACTACCAATGTGTATAAATGGTCTTAAATACGATGCATACAGTACTGAAATCGATAGAAAATTGCCTGGTTGAAGCCTTTCCCAAGTCCTTGAATCCTCAACTACATTTCTGGGTGGTTTATGGTTGAGTCTGTCATACTTAAATGTGATGATACAAGAGTGGATCCAGGAATATCAAAAGGGGGGGTCCAAGAAGTTTTGGGTGGGGGGGGGAGACATAGCGAGCCTATCTAGCCGGAGGGTTTGGGGGGCACTGTAAACGTATAATTTTTTTTTTTAAATCTGATCAATATCATGGGCATTTTGAAGCCTTGTGCACTTGATATTAGGAGATATTCTGAGGTCAATAGTAATTACTTTTTACTATACAAAAATAAATGGATACAATACTGCATTAAAAAGTATAGGAATTTTTGGGTGAAAAGGGGAGGTCCGGACCCCCCTGGATCTGCCCTTGCGATAATGAAACGAGACGAATATGAAGTGAGGCAGAATTAATGAAACTATCAAGATGCCAGATGGTCCTATCAATTACTTACTCCCAGCCAGCCGCTTCTACCTAATAACTGAATAATAGATATGATCCATTGAAAACTCTGAGACATTTGGATCAGAATATTTCCTACAATTTTTATGTTAATTCATTTTACTGAGGGGAAACAGGAATGAGGCAAACCTAGATCAGTAAACATGTCGAAAGATAACAAACAACCTACCACTGTAACTGAATTTCGATTTATTTATCTTGAAGGTATATAAAATGTACTACAGGCACTTGAAATATGTTGATCTATCTACTGTATCTATCGATCTAATGTTTGTCTAATACAGTATGTATGTAAGCTAAAAATCAGCCTTCCTCGACTGTCATTACGCTGCTACAGGACGAACATTGGGTGCTACTATAGCGTGCGGACTACACAATGTTTAGGGTGGTTAGGTTAGATAAGTCAGATTGGGTTAAGTCTGGTTTGATTAGATCAGGTCAGGTCAGATTCGGTTATGTTAGACTTAAAAGATATCTTTGTAAACTGCACGCTATAGTAGCACCACCTGCACTATATTTATATTCCTGCACTGCCTAACCACATATTGAACCAATGAGAACCTACAGTATATGACAATTTTACTGAATATATACATATTTATAAATAAAATAAATATGGGATAAATAACTTTTTTTTCTCTGGGATACCTTAAATTAATTTGGAGTATCCTCATCACAGCAGCTGCTTTGATAGTTTGCTTTAAAGAATGTGCAAGCATTTTCCTGGTGTGAAGGTTGGCGTCATCCTATGTGGAGTGGAGTGAGTGGCTGCTTGTCGAGGCTTACTAGTCGTGCTCTGCAAGTTAAATTTAATCCACAAGTACAGGATGTTGGGAAATACCTAATGTGAGTACCATAACCACCGTGAATATTATTATCCTTATCATTATTTATATTATATTCGTGATAAGAACTTCCCACACTTATATTTATTTATAATTTGCTCCACGATTTATCAGCTGACTCTAACTCTTAATACTTAGGTGAATTATTTAGACTTCTGCGTTATACATTTAACTAAACGACTTGTAGTATCTTCCGACCACATTTTAATATAAACTGATGAAAATGCTTTTTGGTTTAACTTAAATGCATCGAGCAGCCACTATAATGTACCGCAGTCCACAGCCGCCAAAGTTTAACCTCGTAAGTGTTTCTTCTCCATTGACTTGTATTTATTTAGGTGTTGATTCTCTGGTCATATTAACGTAATTCATCTTGTTGGTAATCTTATTATATTATTCGCTTTTCTAGTTCACACCCGTGGCCGTCTGTACCTACGTGAGGTCAAAGAATAGAAGATACACTGCATGAGGTGACTGTACGTGACGCTGTCATCCTCTCCGTGATGGCTCTAGTAAGATATTTATTCAGTGTAATCAGTGATATCGCCATAAAAGTTTACATTTGTTAAGCATGCAGATAGATTGATAGATAGATGTAGGTATTTATTCAGTAACATCATAGTTTCACGCGGGTTCTGTATGTCCCTAGACAGTACAGATTATTGTACTCACACTGTACAGACAGTGCACTGAGTGCAGGTATACCGCTGTAAACAATATGTCAAATGAACCAAGGACAGCCCTAGTTAGACTTTGAGCCCAAGATAGTTGTGGGAAGCTACGGTGATAAGACGCACTTTTGCAGTAGGCGCCGTGCAGCGTTAATCATAGCAATAATTAAGTTATACTGTATGTGATAAAGTTTATCGTGACGAAATTAATTTGTAAAAATAAATGCGAGTTAAGACTACGTGCGTGAAGACACGCAGTACAGTGGTACCACTTGACATTGACAACCTCCACGTCAGCATATTGCTGCCACCGGTGTCACTGTAATATTGTATTTACTATATCTGGGCTATATTTAGCATTGTGTAAGATCAGATTTTAGTTTTAAGTTTAGATAGAGAATATAATATGAAATAAACCCTTCGAGCAAGCCAAATACAGATATATTATAAAGCGTGCGGTAGTGTTCGAGATCCAGACGAACCTGCTGGAACAATCTGCTGGAGTGGGAGGTGAGGAGTGACGCAGTAACGCCTCTTATAATGTTTACCTATATCACCTCCTTTCTCCTCAATATTACGATTAGTTGGGGAAATTTTTCAAAATATGATTTTAAGTCTTGCGACACGGAAATTAAATATGTGAATTAAAGCTCTGCGTGTACAACTTCTTGTGAAATTGTCTCAAACCCTATGATGACGATGGTTTAACCCTTTAATGACGATGATAAACTTATAATGATAAGATTTAAAACCCTTTAAAGCCGATGATTTAACCCTTTAAGTAAAGATGGCTTTTAAACCTCTCAGGGTGATGTTTTTAGCAGTTTGATGGCAATAATTTAACCATTGATGATTATAGTTCTACCCTCCGAGGATGATGATTGATCTTTTTGAAGACAATTAACCCTCTGAGGACGATTCACCCATTTTGTTCTCAGTGGGTTAATCAATGTTATGATATATTACTCACTGCCCTTCAACAACTAATGACCATCGTAATTATTCATTCACTGTACATCAATTAAGAGACCGGCGCTCTCGATAGATAGAACTTTTACTTTTATCCTCTTCACCACTGATCAGCTCGTTAGCCGCCTGGGCGCTCGGTCACGTCTCTGTTAGTAATTGTGTTGTGTATGGAAATTATTAGTGTATATGGTTAATGAATGTCGAAGGACACTATAAAGACAGGGAGATAGATAGGCACATAAATAGATATACAGTATACACCCTGACGAAAATTCAAGTTAAGTGTCCCGGGTTCACTACATGACTTGGTACACGTCAGTCATCGCCTACTACACATATTTCTCCGCTTATATCTATCATTAACCACATAAAAATACTTAATTTAAAACACACTTAAATATCAAGAAAATTAAACTGATTTAATAATTATTCTTTATATTAAATAGAAGGTAATGTTGTTTACACGTGAAGAGTTGTGCGGTAGGTTCCTCACCACAGCTGACGCAAGGTGGTGGAGGAGAGGCAGGAAGGAATGTTTTTACCCTCACACACACACTATCCCTCTCACTCATTACCGGTGTAGCTCCAGTCCAGTGAACACCTAGTACATGGGTGCTCTCTCACTATAAAGCCATTTGCCTAAGGAACGTTTGTCGACAACTATCACCTGAAGAAATATTTGATAGTAACAAGTATAGAATAATTTATTGTATCATTCACGGGAAGAATATTTATTATACCGGTGACATAAAGAAACAAGAAGCAATTAATATTATTTTAAAGTATTTATTATCATCAGTTGATTTTTATTATTATTTACTCAAGTTCGTCTTTGTGTTGTCAGTGAGAGTAAAAAAAAATACGAAATCAAAATGTGGTGGAGGACTTGTGTTTGTGTGGTGTTGGTGGTGGTTGTACACACCTCAAGAGCACAGTGGTTTGGTGGACAACAGAAAGCTTCAAAAGGAGACACAGCTGCTGGCGAGAGATGCTTCTGTCAGGTGAGGTGGAGGAACAGCTGTGATATGAGTTACTATGGAAGGGAGGTGGGCTAAGGTAGATGAAGACCCTGGTAAATTTTTTTTTTTTTTTCATGATTCTCTTGGGCTGAGTTTGCTGTACATTGAGTAATTATTAGGGAAAGGCAAGTAAATGATAAGAACTAGGTACTGTAATATTTATAGTGATAATATTTTTACACAAGGAAAGATTTGTGTTTTGGTAATACAGTAGTAAACTTTCTTGGGATAATATAAGACAATATTGCACGTTATCCAGTAACTTGAGGAAATTTTTCAATAGAAGGAAGGTAAATGCTTTCTTACCTCATGAAAATCCCAGTAAATTTTGAAAGAACTTTATTATTTCCCATTTTTTTTCTGTTTTGAACACTGCTCTTCCATGTCCATGCATTATACCATCATATCCACCCTTTTTATATTTATTTTAGGTCGTTTTGGTTCATTCACAGGAATTATTTGATTTATTGGTTATAAAATTAACCAACTTAACCTGATGTAACTCCTCTGTCTACAGTATATATCAGGTTACGTAGGTTGAGTTAGGTAGATTAATTTTGTTCATTTTATCGGTAATGGTGGAGGAGATGGCTAACACAAGAAGCAGTTGCATGATTTCTTTAAATTTTTCCACAGATGTTGTTTGGACGATAATTAGTAATGAAAAGATAACAATTGACAGAACCTGACCTAAGCAACCAAATTTTATTGTTTTCTTATCAATTAAGAGTTAACATCTCGATCAGGAAAAATACTTTGAAACTATTTGTCTCTTGTGTGCAGCTAATTGTGTCTACAACAATATCTGTTAAAGTTAATAAAAGTTGTTTGTTACTCTCAGCCAGTATTGAAAAGTTTTAAATGAATACATTATATTATTTCTAGATACAATTTTGTTCATATGGCTGATAAATTATAGAGGAGTGTTATTAGTGGTTTAGTTCCACCATCATAAGAATAATTTATATGTTGCAGGTGGCAGTGATCACAAGCTTTCTCACTATACTTGTACTGTATTTCTTTTCAACAAATTGTCTCCTAAAAATACAAGTTCTTAGTGAATTGTTATTAAGTGGTAAGTGTTAAATTATTATGGTAAGCCATATATTAAATATAACCTAAACCAACCCCTCTTAACCTAACCTAATCATCTGACAGCTTTGTCGGTTAACCTTGGTCAAATTACCTTACTATTTACCATTTTACTGTATAATGTACATGTATGTACACCATTTACCTACATTGTCTATACCAGTGGTTCTCAACCTAGGGGCCAAGGTCCCCAAGGGAGCCACGGCGAGCTGTTATATATTGTATGTTTTCAAATAATGTTGGGAATCTGAATTAAACAAAACGTGTATTACTTATTTTGACTTGGCAGAAGAGAATTTTCATAATTTTTTTTGTCATTTTGTTTAATCATAACGACAATAAAATTTTAATATTTACATACTCTGGTGCTAATTTTTTTTTATTTTTTACGGATTATTTAAGATTTCACAGGTCCAGTCCCTGTCTGTGTGACAGGCGCTGGACCGAGCTGCTGAACTGACTTGTTCAGTACGTGTCCGTGTGTCATCCCTTTGCAAGTGGTGATAGGACCGAATGATCTCAGTCTGGCCTGGGATACCATCACGAAAACAGTGGAGTGTATTGTCTCTGAACCATATATACAGTAGAAGTCCAAAAATCCGGACTGCTTGGGGATTGGGTCGGTCCGGATTTTCGGATTTTCCGGATTCTCAGGCAGTACTTTTAAAATTCAAATTTAAGGAAGAATAAAGAAGAGATGAACAGGTACATTTTGATAATTTATTCATTAGCAAATATAGCATGCTTCAAAATGAGCAGTTTTAAAGAAAAAGCTTTGAATTCTAGAATTTTATTCTTTGTCTTTTTTATATGATAAATTGCAGACTTTCCAATGTGGTATGTTTCCATTACAACAGTATTGCTCACACCACATTCTAGTTTCTTAATTATTTCAAGTTTGTCACTCAATTTCAACGTGTTCTTCTTTCTCTTCACACAACGAAGTTTATCTACTTTAGGAGCCATTATTATGGGCTTGTACTCTGTACATGGAAAGAGTAGGACTCAAAATTACACATGTTGTCACAGTTTGATTGCTCGTTTTAAAGTGGCAACTACGTGGTCGCTTGTAGTCGCTGTGCAGCTGTGGCGCTCACGCAGGCGCACATACACACAAAAGCCCGCTAAAAAAAAAAGTTTTTGTTTTCGAAAAGTCCGGATTCTCGGGTGGTCCGGATTTCTGGCATCCGGATTTTGGGACTTTTACTGTATATATATATATATATATATATACAGTTGTACCCCCACTTAACGCGGTCAATTGAACCCAGAGGGTCCCGCGTTAAGTGAAATCCGCGTTAAGTGAACAACAGAACATATGGGATTAATTCCAATAGAAACCGGCCCGACCCCCAAACTCCACTTTTTGAAGGCACATACCTATGTTGTAGTAAAAATAACATCTTAATTTTATGATGGTACATGCACACAATTAATACTTAAGAGAAATAGAGAAATACAGTCGCCAAGTTAATGTCCATTCAAATAATGGACTCAACTCCCTCCCCCTCTCACACTACACTGCCGGCTCTTCCCTCTCAGAGAAATTTTTGGGGAAAACCACTAAATTTTAATAAATAATACCTCAAACTAAAGTTAGGATAATACAATTGACATTGCTGGATTCCTTGTAAGACCAGGAATATTTTGAATATAAATGTCATATATTTTGCACAAAAGATAACATAGTTACCTAGAGAAAAATTTTTATCTAAAATTTGTATGTTTAATGCAAAATATATGATGTTTATATTCAAAATGATCACCAAATTATAAGAATTCCAGCAATGTAAATTATATTCTGACCGGGTAATTTGTATGAATTTTATGAGCTAAAACAAATATCTTCAGTTAATAAAAAAAAAATAATCTTCAGGACACTATCTGTCAATCAAAGTACCCCACCTTGCCTCCCCCCCTCTTCCAACCGCGCGGTCAGTCCCAACCCTCCCCCCCCCCCCACCAATCCTCCCTTCCAGAGTTTTTAACATTTAGTATTAAATAATACCTCAGATTAAAGTTAGGATAATATAATTGACATTGCTGGATTCCTTGTAAGACCAGGAATATTTTGAATATAAATGTCATATATTTTGCACAAAAGATAACATAGTTAATTTGAGAAAAATTTTTATCTAAAATTTGTATGTCTAATGCAAAATATATGATGTTTATATTCAAAATGATCATCAAATTATAAGAATTCCAGCAATGTAAATTATATTCAGACCGGGTAATTTGTATGAATTTTATGAGCTAAAACAAATATCTTCAGTTAATAAAAAAAAAAATAATTCTTCACTGGGTAACAGATGGTCGGTCGGTCCCTCCCTCCCCCCCACCCCCCACCAACCGTCCCAAGGAGATGTGTGGGATAACCACTAAATTTTAATAAATAATACCTCAAACTAAAGTTAGGATAATATAATTGACATTGCTGGATTCCTTGTAAGACCAGGAATATTTTGAATATAAATGTCATATATTTTGCACAAAAGATAACATAGTTACTCTGAGAAAAATTTTTATCTAAAATTTGTATGTCTAATGCAAAATATATGATGTTTATATTCAAAATGATCACCAAATTATAAGAATTCCAGCAATGTAAATTATATTCTGGCCGGGTAATTTGTATGAATTTTATGAGCTAAAACAGGCAGTCAGGCAGGGTGGCGGGTGGGGCAAATCTAAAAATAGCGTCTCGAGCCGGACACTCACCGCGTATATGTGGAAAAAATCCGTGTTAAGTGAAAGTTCAGCTCTGGCGAGGCACCGCGTATATGATAAAACGCGTTAAGTGAAACCGCGTTAGGCGGGGTAATACTGTATATTATTATTTTTTCATTTATTGGGCACCCCTCTACATCCTTGTGTAAAATGAAGCGCAAAAGCGTTTACAGCGTCCAACAGGGAAGCATGCTAAGTTCATGCTTGCCTTATGTCTCATGAATTAAGGGCGTAGAAGCCTGAAGAGTCGAGGGCGTAAAAGCCTGAAGAGTCAATGGTTTATGTCTAAGCAAGTTATTGGAAGTTCCAACAACTTGTCCCTGAATACGAATTCGCAACTTTCCTGAACCATATATTGTGTTTGAGCTTGATTTGAGCATAATATACTCCGTAATTGGTGTTACCTCTACTTATTTTGTTTCATAATTCATGTGGTCGCTGCTTTACGTGGGTGAAATATTTGTACACTTCCTTTATTAATTATTTCCTTATTTGTTGGTGCCGTTGTTGTTCATACTCTTTCTTTACTTATATAATCCTACCAATTTTAGTGCTAAATTGGTATGACTCACTATTCTTTTCATTCTTCCAAGTTGGGCAGTGCTTGTCAAAGGAGGCGTGTTCTTGCTTACAAGAAGTACACTTCAGCTTGCTAGTTTGAGTGTGAATGTTTACCTGTGTGCATGTTTGTGTATGACTGCATGTGTGAATGCATGGGCGTGTTATGTATGTGAATGTGTGTGTGTGTGTGTTTGCCATTCTAACTCTTGTTCTATTTATCTGTCCTTCTTTATCATTCTTTAGTATTTATCACTTGTCTGTTCTGGGAGAAAAATGAAGGAGGCCACGAGGATGTTGAAAATTCCTCAAGGGGGGAATGGAGTGAAAAAGGTTGAGAACCACTGGTCTATACTGTACAAGTATGTACTGTATTAATGCTGAACTGTATACTGTACAGTACTGTACCTGCCTAGTTTACATAGCTGCATGCTTACCCAATTTTAAACCTGTATGACAATTTTACTGAGTAAATATTATTATTTTTACCCTTTTTCCTTCCCCCCCCAGCTGAAAGGTGCTATAGACGATTGCTCCTGTTCTGTCGAGACAATTGACAGTTTCAACAACCTCAGAATTTATCCCCGGCTCAACAGCCTCCTACAGAAGAACTTCTTCAGGTACTGGAAGGTAAGTTGGTGGTGTTACAGCAGTAACAAAATGTATCTTATCTCTCTACTGTGTCTTGGGTTCAATCCCCGCCTGGAACAGATACAAGAAGGGTGTCATCCTGTGAGACACTAGCAAGCATGGCAGGTTTTCTCTGCATACTGTACTATAGTTTCCTCCTGTGCTACCATTGGCTCTTGGAGGGCATAACAAAGAACATGCAGTATCTCAACTGCTTGAACAGCTATTACAGTAAACTGGTGAACTGATAAATAACTAAAGGATAGTTGCTTGTGCCAAGGTCGGCCTGTGACAGGATGTTGGAGTGGTAGGAAGTGCAGATTAATTATTAGAGATTTTTTATTGTACAAATGATTTCCATCTCTATATCAGCTCATTTCCTGTTTAGGCTGTCAGTTTGCTACGTTGTTATGGCGATCATTGTCTCGTAGGATATGTTTGGAGCCAAGTTATGTGTTCCTGTGTACATTATTAGGCCTGTTTATTCCTACATTTTTTTATGTACAATCAAAGACAAAAGTCGTGTCGCGGTTTTGTTCAAGGCAGAGCGCACCAAAGGTTTAGCCCTTCGGCATATGTTTTCACCAAATTTCACAACACAACGTTTGTCTTTCAATGTACAGTGCAGTACTTTGTTTTATTGGATAATATCATGCAGTTTTGGAAATGTCTTGATTATCACATAATACTTTACAGGTACAGTACTGTGCAGGCATTTTATTTTTCTCTGGGTACTGTACAGATCTGTATTTGTCTTGTACTGTATAATTATCATCACCATCATGAACGTTTTTACTGTCATTTTCCATGGTTGAGTGGGTTACCATACACTACTATTACACTGTTACACTTGTCTTATCAAATGCTGGTACCTGTATATACAGTGCAGTAATGGCAAATCTTTCTCAACAGGTCAACTTGAACAAGAAGTGTCCATTCTGGGAGGATGACAGCAGATGCGCAATTCGCTACTGCAGTGTAAAGCCGTGCACTGATGTAAGTGATTCATCTTTCCATTTACAGTACAGTGTTAAGTCTAGAAATGAAATGATACAGGGAATAACTATCCTAAGCCAGAGGACTTACAACTGTCTTATACCATAGATATTAGTGTAGATATGCTGCTTTACATGTTAGATATGGAAAGATGTTCAATGATGATAATGTAAGAATACTGTAATCCAATCTACCGTCGAGAACTGTAACACTTCATTCCCCCTCAAGACATCACTAAGGGGTGGCCTCGTGTATAATCTTCCCACCTAAATATTTGCTGACAGTCTCTTCATCATTACATGTTATAAAATTCTCAGCATTGATACTTGAAATATCTTTGTTTAGATATTTTGTTGGTTGATTTGGCCGAGATGTGTTTGTATGTGTGTATGTACTGTATGTTTGTATGTGTGTGTACAGTATTTATACATGTTACAAGTGACATACCAAACATGTTTGGGTTAGGGATTAGTGAGGATTAAAAAATAAGAGAATTTATTCATAAAATGCATTTGGAAATCCTCTTATTACCTTACCCTAAAGACCCAGTATTATGAATAAATACTTTATCTTGAACATAATCCTAACTGAGCCTTCACACTGCCACATTTGGTACCATTTATACGTACTGCTGCGTACTGTAAATATATTGTATAGATCTAAGGGATGGGCAGATGGATAAGTCAGTCTAAACATTCATCTGTAAGTTTGAATCATTAACTCCTACACCAGTTTTTGATGGAAGTGTGAAGGCCAGTGTCATGATGGTTAGGTTAGGTTGAATAAAACTTAAGAAATTCGAATTATTCAAGTTATTTTTTTGAATTTGGTTTGGGGTGAACAGGAGTTATACCACAGTGATCAGAAACTATAAGTCAGGTATGAACACTGGTGGCAGGTGTTACACAGGTGTGATGTGAGAGAACATAACACAGGTGTTCAATAAATGGCAGGTGTGCCACAGGTTTCAGATATGAAAAGGTCTTTTTTTCACATGTAATATTTTGTAAAGTATTCTGAAGCAAATACAAACAAGATTTATTGTTTTTCTCTTGGTTTCTAATTTTATATACAGTACAATTTTTCAATATTTCAAGAGACTTTTTGGTTGAAGGTCATATAAACCTCACTTCTGCTGGTCCTAAATGTATCATTAACACTGGCCCTCTTAAGGTTTTTTTTTTAACATCTGAACTACACGACTTTATTCTTTGTACAGCACAGTACTTCTCCTTCTTCATCTGTCTAAAATAGTGTCTTTTTTTATACTTTCTCATCAATAAATGTCACCTGGAACACCTATCACCTCTCCCTACACTATTGTATCGTCTTATGAGAAACCTTAATATTCTCTTCTGATGATTTATTTGATTGTTCATTCAGCAGATGAGTCGTTGCAAACCATGTAGGTAACATTTGCTAATTTAATGTATAAATGGAATACTACAGAACTTACCCTGCCCTGCTGTGCTCCCCCATACTCATACTGTACTGTATTGTAAACTTTGTACTGTACAGGTGTCCCTCGGGTTACGGAAGGTTTACGGTCCTAAAAAATTCCTTGAATTTCTGTAACTCGAAGGACCCCTCTACAGTACTAAACATTTGCTCTTCTTTCAGTTCATTTGTCCATGACCTCCTTTATATGGTTAGATGCATAATTAAATATAATACAGTACCCATCGCCAACTGTAAAAGGAGGTTGTTGATAAGAAAGATATAAAAAAAGGCAGGAATTGAAACTTATTGAAACATTGCAAGTTAAACACTAGCTGGTGGATCTAGGCTAATACAGTATACTATGACAAAATAATGAAAAGAAGGATGCATGACTATATATATTTTTTCCAGCATTTCAGAATCTGTTTGTACATAAAATCAGCTGCAGGAAGGTTGTTGCTGGGTATACCTTAGTCAGCTCACCCAATGGCAGTCTTCTTTTGACAGCTTTACATGATGTATAAGATACTTTTTTTTTTTTTTTACTTAGGTATATTGTCTCTTGTGTTTTGTGAGTGTACTGTCGGCTTTTCTTTAGTTTTGTGCTATTATGTATTTTAAGTTTTATTTACATGCTTTCTGTACTTTACATTGTAGCAAGAGGACTCGGTAAATCCAACCAGGAACAAAGACAATCCTCAAAGCTTGGCAAGTAAAAGGACAAGTATGAATTTAAGTATTAGTGAAGGTGTGGATCCAGAAAAGGTTAATATGGGTGATAGTGTGAGAGAAATTCTACCCTGGTAATCAACTTCTTTCCATTGGTTATTTTCTTTTTTAAACTGGGCATTGGTTATTTGTCTCTATATTTAGTGAAATTGATCATTGTATTTTGAGAAAAGTTAAATTCATTACTGGGTTTTTGTCTGTGATTGTGAGGCCATTTGTCACTTTTATGGAACATTTAATTTGCAGTTTAAGTATTGTAAATATGAAATGAACTTTAGTCTATGTAATAAAGAGACTTTTTTGAAGGGAATAGTAAGAGTGTCAGAGATCATCCGTCATTAACGAGAACTACCTGTAGCTGTGTCGCTGCACTAAAAATGAGAGAATAAGTAATCATTGCCCTTTACAATATACACAGAGAGCACTTTTGTTTATTTGATGATACTGCACTGGACTTGAGATTTATTTTAGTGGTTGCACATAAAAATAAATTACAGTATTTTCTTTCAGTTCTTCATTTATTATGTTTTATACAGTATCTTTGTCTCTTATGTTATATCTGTATATGGAACATTGTATAGTTCCTTTCATTCCTTAATTTTTATGTTTCAGTTCTTTTTTTATTTTTTTATTTTATGTATCAAGTTTCTCCAGTAAATCCTTTCTTAAAAAAACACATTTATTTTCAGATTTTTGTTAGCACTTGTTTTGTTTTTTTAATAACCCGATCTTAACGTTTGATTACTGTACGTATTGTGATTTATTTTTCAGAGTCTTAGGCTATGATAAGAACCTTTGTTTATACAGGAAGATGACACAGTATAGTTAGGATCACATGAATCTCCACCCCAGTTTATTTCATCACCTTAAGATTATAACCACCTTAATACTATTAGGGGAGGGGGGGGGGGGTAGGTTAATGTTAGGGTGGTTAATCTTTAGGTGATGAAATAACCCAAGGTGGAGATTCTTCGGGTGATTCATTATTTATCTCGGTGTTCATTATGAAGTACAACTCGCTGACCTTACTGTGTGTGGGGGAGGAACTTGTTTGAATAGTGTTTATATATGATGTCTACAGTTCTTTTAATTTGTTTTCTAATTACCTGGTTAATTTAAGTATCTCTCTAGATTATATTAGAAAGATTAGTTAGGAATACTGTATAACGATAAGTTTTTGTGTACGGTATGTTGTTGTTTGATGTTAATATAAAATAGGGGAAAGTCTTACAAAAGTATTTAGTACAGTAGTAACTTGGCTAATAGAGAACTGTGTATTCAACATTCCTACTTCCTGGTTGTGGGACTTTTTAGAAATATGTCGTGGGATTGTGGCCTCGACTAACACTTACAGTCAACCCTCACTTTACGCGGTCCCACATTCCGCGTTTCCAAGTTTACACTTCCAAGTTTACACGTGCCCTGCCAGAACCCAGGATGCTCACATTCCGCGGCGGGTGTACCCCTTTACACGGGTGAAGTATAATTTTTTTATTTAGCTCATAAAATTCATACAAATTATCCGACCAGAATATAATTTACATTGCTGGAATTCTTACAATTTGATGATCATTTTGAATATAAACATCATAGATTTTGCATTAGACATACAAATTTTAGATATAATGTTTACTCTGAGTAAATATGTTATCTTTTGTGCAAAATATGACATTTATATTCAAAATATTCCTGGTCTTACAAGGAATCCAGCAATGTCAATTATATTATCCTAACTTTAGTCTGATTTATTATTTATTACTAAAAAGGTAAACAGTCTGGTATTCCCACACATTCATCTGGTAGGGAGGGTTTGGTAGGGAGGGACCGGCGACCGACCACCTGGCACCACGGTGTGAAGAATATATTTTTTTTTTATTAACTGAAGATATTTGTTTTAGCTCATAAAATTCATACAAATTACCCGGCCAGAATATAATTTACATTGCTGGAATTCTTACAATTTGATGATCATTTTGAATATAAACATCATAGATTTTGCATTAGACATACAAATTTTAGATATAATGTTTACTCTGAGTAAATATGTTATCTTTTGTGCAAAATATATGACATTTGTATTCAAAATATTCCTGGTCTTACAAGGAAACCAGCAATGTCAATTATATTATCCTAACTTTAGTTTGAGGTATTATTTATTACTATACCTGGTTTTCCCCCAAAAATTTCTGAGAGGGAAGAGCCAGCGAGTGTAGTGTGAGAAGAGGGGGTAGGGAGTTGAGTCCATTATTTGAATGGACATTAACTTGGCGACTGTATTTCTCTATTTCTCTTAAGTATTAATTGTGTGCATGTACCATCATAAAATTAAGATGTTATTTTTACTAGAACATAGGTATTATGTTGAAAAAAGTGGAGTTTGGGGGTCAGCTGGTCTCTATTTCATTTAATCCCATATGTTATGTTATTCACTTTACGAGTTTCTCACTTTCCGTGGTACCCTGTGGGTTACATTAACCGCGTAAAGTGAGGGTTGACTGTATTTTGTATTTTAATATATTTTGTTATGTTTTGATAACTGTGCTGTATATAAAAAAAAAATCTTGATCTGCATCGGGAATATAATGATTTCAGATCCCAGAAGGCATCAAAGGAACCGTCAGTCCCAATGGAAACGATGGCTCACACATGTTGAAGAAGAAGACCTCCCACACCAGTACACCAGACTGTGATGCCGAGAAGGCCCTGGGTTACCTCAACATGACTCTCAGGTACTGTGTAGGCTCCTTACAGTGTCTCTTTGCTTTGGTTCATTTGCTCAAAGTAAGTAGTAAATGTTAGCTATTAGTGTGTGGAGGAGGGGTTGCGTTTGTGTATTTTTCCATAACCGTTTGGCTATACTTATCATGGTGACAAAAGTGAAAATGGAAAATTGTCTTTATTTGGTTTTGCACATATTGTTTTTATTAAATGTTTGTTTTTCAAGTAGAATGTATAAATAAACATAGAGAATATTATATGCAAATTTTAGGGTGTACAGTGTTGTTGTTGTTGTTTTTTATTTATTGATGAAATATTTGTTTCATCTGTCCCATCTTGTAATTCTTTCATTTGATAATAATATATAATTGCAGCAAGGAGTCAATTGATGAGTTTGAGCGCTGGGCGGCCCACGACAGCGCTCAGGACAGCTTCTGTGATCTAGAAGACGAATCTTCTGTAGACAGCGAATATGTTGACCTCCTCCTGAACCCTGAGAGATACACAGGTTATGTTGGACCCTCAACTCACCGTATCTGGAGAAGCATCTATCAGGAAAATTGTTTTAAGTGAGTAGTACTGTACTTTATCTTGTGTTTGTTGTGATATTATACAGTACTGACATTTTCTAATATACTGTAACATTATATTCTGTCTTGACATAGTGGGTTTGGATGAGTTTTTATTGGTGTTTTGAAGTTTAAGGGATGACATATACTTTGGTGGTGCATATAGTAAGGTATATAGGCCATTGTACTGGGTGACTCACTCGCTCATGTAGCTTATATAATAGTGTTTTGTGTGTTTTCATGTGGTGATGGAATCACCCTGTATAAGCTAACTAGTGTGCTGATATAATTACTGTATAAAGTGTTGCTCTAAGGAGAACTCACCATCTATGTCCTTGTTGTTGGCAGACCTACGGGGCGTGTTCAGTCATACATGGACTTCAGTAATATTGGAGGTGAGTGAAAGGACCGAAACTGTAGTATTTAAGGTATTCTGTTGTGCTTTGTTTAAGTCTCTTATTAATATTATAATTTTTTCCATCAACTGACTAACCAACTGAAGTACAATACAGCTTTTTCAACAACTCTTGTACCACCAGTTGAAGTCCCTGATCTCTCGACCATGGGAATTGGAACTACTGTAATAAACCAGGCCAAATCCTTCCCATCATAACCAAATCCCTTTAAAAAAAAGACTTGGGTGTTGACAAGACTCTTCAGTGGCAGCTGTGTTTGATGTTTGACTAAATATTACTCATTGACCTCTCAAGAACTCCAACTTCGTGTGATTTCTAGCTAAAAGTGTTTTTAAAACTCTCTATCACTTCACTTGTGGACTATCAACTTGTAACTCTTACTTGTAGCATTTGTAGGTCTCAAGTCCCTCTCAATTCATGATAGTTTTGGGGCTTTGATATTATTATAGTACACTAACAATATTTCCTGTTATTAAGCATTTGGTAAATAATTGGAGTGATGAAATACTTATATTATGTCACTAAATTCATGGGATATAATTACGGTAGTACAACTAAATTTATGTGATATTATTAGATCATAAATTTATAAACATCACTAGCTCCTACCTTCTGTCATGTACAGTAGTGGACAATAACAGCTGGCAGGCAGGGACGGAGAGAGGTGGTGTAAGGGTTGGTGGAGACATGGCAATGTTGCATAGGGGTGGTGATGAAAAGTCTTTGATTTTCTTTACACACAACGAATTGATAATTTTTTTTTCAGTTTAATTATGAGACAGGCACGGTTTACATTCCCTGCCACAGAATTCTTTTTGTTCGCAACTGTACATGACTGTTAGGTCATTATTTCTACTTGTCCTGATCAATTACTGCTGCACTCTCACATCCTGCACATGTTTTACACTTCTCTTTCTATTATTTTCTCCTTTTTTGGGGTTGATTCTCTGTCCTTTGATTCATCACATGTGGGAGTAGGTTAATGAACCAATTTGTCTTTCACCTGAAGAATCTCCAGCCTAGCTTATTTCACCTAAAGGTTTACAATCCTAATTCTATCCTAACCTAACCAACCTTTCCTAACCTCATCCCTCAAACAGTGTCAGGCTGGTTAATCTTTAGGTGAAATAATCTGGGATGGAAGTTCTTTTAGTGATCCATCTTTTGAAATATTATAAGATTTTTCTTTTCAGATTCAAATGTATGTATGATTTTGGATATACAGTACAGTGTAATTGGTTTTAATATATAAGTCATTAGAGTGTAATATAGTGTGTCCTTGAATTGTCAGACCCATTTTAAAGTATAATAACCTCAAAAGTATTACAGAGAGAACAATACAGTTTTATACTAGACGGCCAACTCATTTGTTCTTTCTGTTTGTTTTAGTAGATCTTTGGGTGTACTGCACTGTGTTCTGTCTGTGGTATTATTGAAGTTCTTAAGTTTCAAAGTGGGTTAGAGTATTTATGGACACCTTGTAGCATATATATACATCTCTTTTAGCAAACAATTATAACATTTAGAGAGATTTTAGTACTTAGATTTTGATAATTTTGTCTTTAGAATCTAATTAAAAGTCATGAGAGAGCAAAAAAAAAAAGCAACTGTATCTTAGATTATCCACGCCCATTCTCACCCATGTTACCTCTTCTCTCTCCAGCTGATGATTTTCTGAAAGGTAAGATTGTTTTCTGTGGGTAGCAGGTAGTGTCTTGCCTGTCAGGGTTAGCTAAAGGGTGATTCACTCGGCAGTAACCCTGGTGTGTGGAGCTTATACAGGGTGGTCGAGAGGTAGCTGACGACAAGCATTAAACTTAGCGTAGAATTCTGTCGTTATTATCCTACGTCATACACCACAGCTACTTAACATACATCATACATACTACATAATATACTGTACATCATTAATGCTACACATACACTGATTTCTCGCCCACCCTATACCTGTACATATAACCTAACCATCGCCATTGGCTTTGTGTTACGGTCATGTGAGAGGGTTTTTTGTGGGTCGTCTTCGTGTGGGTTTATAAATAACTAACATTTTAGCATTACTCTGGGGGCTATTTGTGAGTGAATCGCCCTTTGGATCTAAACCCTGAACTCTCTTAAAATGTCAACTTTTCCACTACACTCTGTATTATAAGTTCTTTCCCATTTTGGTGCAAGGTGGCTGGAGGTAACAACAATGCCAAAAAATTTCCCTAATGACACCACGAATTCCCTCTTCACTTGGTGTCATTTACAGTATTCTCTTTGTCATGCCTGGTACAGTATTGTCTTTTGTTATTGACTCTGTATCATCAAGTAGCCTTTTTCACAACTAAATCTTTATCCTGCTATGGTGTACGCTGGGATCAAGAGCATTCAGTTATGTCACATCTACCTACTATTCTTGGAGCATTATTTTAACATTCATTCCAATCTTCATCATCTCTTGACCCTGTTACTTTGTTGTTCAAGCCAGACGATTTTATTCAGCTCAGAGGGGACCCTATACACAGGGTTCATTTTCCCTAAGGTGACTACTGCACTGGTATTATTTTCAACTCAAGGTGTTAGGGGAAATCTCAGGAGAGTTTGAGGGAATGCATGGTCAGGTCAGAGGCATTTACAGTACTTCATTGTGTCCCTTATAAATGGAACCTAATGGGATAGGGTTAGGGGTGAGTGAGGATTAGGAAATAGGAGAATTTATTTATTATTTTTTTAATTCTCTTATTTCCTAACTCTTAGTCAACTCTAAACAGCATGTATATATGGATAGTATCTCTTATTCCTAAATGGTCATCACTGTATTGAGTTGAATCTCTGGATAGTTCAGGAGTGAGGAATGCATAGACTAAATCCTTTTCTTTATTCATGTACACACATAACACTGACCTTGTTTTGTCCACTGAGTTGGGGTTCAAAGGTTAACGCATGTGTCTGTGAAGGTCAAAGCGTTCCCATTATCCTCATTGTGCATATGGTTAGTTAGCTTTAGTCTGAGACACTGGCACAGCATGTGACCAGTTGAACATGCACTACACCAAGTAAAAGCTCTACCAACCCTGCTGACTGACCATGGAAATGAACCTTTGTTGCTTGGGTTGGAAGTTGACTAGCCATGGTGCCAGTTATCCACACGAAGAGTCTCAAACTATTGTATATAGTAGATAATTATTGTAATCATTTAAAGATCCTTTCTAAGTGATGTCCATTCTTTGAATACATACTAAAGGAAGAATCCCTGCTTCCTCTTATGAGAAGTTAGACCAAAATGTTGGATATTTTGCAAAGTTGTAATGAAGCTGACATGATGCTAAATGGTGGATAATGTTATTTGCTGTGCATCAGTCATGCTGTGCCAACAACACAAAAACTCTCAGAAACATTATCATCATAAAGATTTGATTTACCTTCACATAGAAACAGTTGGAATATGATCAATATTAATATAAAGTCAGTCATGAGTATAACCTTTTGATATGAAGAACAACTTGCTGTGATTGTAACGCAGCTCACATGTATGATCAAATTCACCATCTATAAATTGTGCTACATTTTCAGAACTGTGTCTGGAGAAAAGGGCATTTTACCGAGCTGTGTCTGGCCTCCACAGCAGCATCAACATTCATCTTGCAGCTCGTTATCTACTGTCGGGTAATGGTTGTTAATTACTGCATTATGACTTATCCATCCAGAGAAATACTGTACTGTAATTGATAAGTTAGTAGTGAGTTGTACACTTTATAAATGTACTAAGTTACTTAATATAATACAGTAATTGATGTTTGTGCTAACTCTTGAGAGCCATCAGGTTATGGGCTCCACTAGATGATGGAACAACTGGATCAGTATCAATCTTCTATTTTTACAGCAACCTCAACTTAAGCTAGAGCAGAATCCTCTATGAGGTCCAGTTTTTGGCAAATCCACGCTTGATGGAGTTTAGTTTACTTTAGAATAAATGGTTGCATAAGAGTTATTATTATTGGTAAAGTATATGTTTTAGTATTTCAGTCTTTTCATTCCATCAACAGATAAGAATGGTTTCGCAGAGGCCAATGATGGAGTTTGGGGTCACAACGTTGAGGAATTCCAGCGCAGGTTTGACCCGGAGTTGACTGGGGGAGAAGGACCGCTTCGTCTCAAAAATTTGTATTTTCTCTACTTGTTAGGTAAGTAGTCAATATTAATGCTCTTCCTTGTTTAGGTCATATAGTATAGTACAATACAGTAATCTTCCCATTAGCCAGAATAATTGGTGCAGACCAGTTTCAGGTTAGAGAGATTTCCAGGCATGGAGATGAATTTTATAATTCCGGAATTTTTCAGGTACTGGTGAAAGTTTTCTGGGGGTCTAAATTATGCATTTCGCACATAGCGACTTAACTGTAGTTAGATACAGAGCTGTATTTGTTTATGCAAGCACATGTACATGTACAATGCGGTATGTTGCCAATAAACAAAATATACTACTGTACAGTACAGTATAATATAGTGTAGTATAGTATAGTATTTTATAAGTATATGACCCATCTAGATAGATAATGTTTAGGCTTCAAAAAAATTATTCACCACTCATTGCCTTACAGGTTTTCTTGGCAGTCATGTTAATGGTTGTATTACAACAGTAACATTCTCCTCACTTGTTGATGTGGGTCTGAGAATGATCACTGAACACTTAAAGGGATATGATTGTCCTCGCTTGTTGATGTTTGTTGTTGGAAGGAGTCTTAAAGGTCACTCGGTTCTTACGTTCAAGTTATAAAATGGGATTTTATACTTTAGACCTTAATTTTTGTTCTCTTCCAGAACTCCGAGCCTTGGCCAAAGCTGCACCATATTTGGAGAGTCTGGAGTTTTACACAGGGAATGATGTTGAAGACAGTGAAGTGCGGAAAGCGGTTAGAGATCTGGTGACTATAGTGAAGTAAGTTTTGTATTTGTAAACCTTTTTATGATACAGATGTTCAGTATGTAGTACCTGTACTGTACTTTATGGTAAATACAAAGGTTAATCTATCAGCTTTCGGATAAACATAGTCATTTCACTTTCCTTAGCGATGTTTAGTGCAAAGACAGTGCAAATACTTCATGAAAAATTGTATTGGTATATAATAAAAAAAAGAGAAAAAATATATTGTAGAGAAACTATGGATGGAGGTTGAGGGGGCTTTGGGAAATCTAACCTTTGTGTATCCCATTCTTTCCCAGGAGCTTCCAGGAACACTTTGATGAAGGCACGATGTTCACAGGAGGATTCCAGGCCACCAAGCTGAAGACAGAATTCCGGGATCACTTCCGCAACATCACTCGCATTATGGACTGTGTGGGCTGTGATAAGTGTCGGCTGTGGGGAAAACTGCAGGTAGGAAAATAGCCTGAAGAGAGAGTGTCAGTCTGCTTTCCCTCATTCCTTTATTAACTCCCTTTGTTACAGCAGCAGTACTTGAATACTAACCTTCAAGAACCTGCTTTATCACGTCACAATACAGTATACTCTACCAGTTTCATTCACCATACAGTTGAGTTGTTTGAAAGAGTTGTTGTGGTCAATACATGTTTCACAGTGGTTTTAAAATCATACCGAGACACATGTAGTGTTACTTGCATATACAGCATGTGGTGCAGGTGTGACAGTGCTGACAATGGCAACTAAAGTGTTCTTAACACTACATTTTATTATTAACCTGCCTCTTGCATTAGTCATTTACAAAAGGTTGGATATTACAGATTACTGGCTTGGGGACGGCCCTGAAGATCTTGTTCTCTGGTAACTTTGACCAGCCCCTGGATCAGCAGCTGGACTTATCTACGGTGAGGCAGACCAGGTTCCAGCTGTCACGTGGAGAAATTGTTTCCCTCTTCAATGCATTTGGAAGGTGAGTCATATGCTGCTGTGGTTCTTTCTTCTCCCCCCTCACCACTACCATCACCACTAGCACCATCACTACCAACACCATTATTACCCCCATCACTCCCACCACCATTATTACCACCATCACCACAGGTTTTTCAACATATTGTCATAGAAAAATGCACCATATTTATTAGAGAAAAAATAGAAATACTAAATTATGTAAAAAAAAAACTTTGATGTGAATGATATATTGACAGATACAAAGATACTGCATACGATTTCATTAGTACAGTATACAGCTTACAGCTGATCAAGGTATCCAATGTATGTATCTTATAGGTTTTTTATTGTGGGGAAGTACAGTACAGTATACTGTATAGTATAGGGGAAAATCTTATTAATTCATGCAGTTGATGTGAAAAACTTGTCTTCCAGGTTGTCAAGCAGCATCATGGAACTAGAAAACTTTCGCCACAAGAGCTTAAGATGATGAGTCAGTTTGGGGTGAATATTTCTGTGATATATATATATATATATATATATATATATATATATATATATATATATATATATATATATATATATATATATATATATATATATATATATATATATATATATATATATATATATATATTAGTTTAATTTCTTATCTTGTTACGATGATGGTAAATGTGGGAAGTGATTAAATATATCGAGCTGTTATATAGTTATCAAAATTCAGTTATCCTACATTGTTGTTGTCCTCTTGAATTAGAAAGAAAGCGGTGAAATTCAGAGATATGAAGCAAATTTTTGTAAAATGTTAAAATAGTACTTTTTTTTAGTTTAAGTTAATATTTTCTTCAGTGATCTGGTTTAGTTGTTAGTACTGTACAATGTTTGCCACAAAATGTCAAATAAATTTCTCTGATCAAGTGTAGGTTTATGTGGTTTTGTTCAGGCCTCTGGAAAAGGCTTCAAACATCAGCAACATGAACACGAATACAGGTGTAAACTTACATAGACAAATCAAATGACCGCCTTTTATTGTATTGTCCATCTTACCAGGAAGGAGATGTATTTGGATTTAATAAATATTCACACATTTCCCAAGAGTTCTTCAATGGGTTCTTGTGGTAGCTCAAGAATGAGATGAAAGTTTGGGAACTGTAGAACCTAGGCATACAACAAGCCTTCTTTGTTTCAGTCTGTATTTGGTATAGTTACTACATTAACTAAGTGACAATCATAAGTTTTTGTTTGCTTGCAGGGATAACGAAGGAAGTCTTGGTTTTTTGGTCCAAATTACCCCAAAAAATGGTTTGTAAAAAATGGACAGATGGGTTCCTGATTGCACTGCGATTTTTAATGTTATTCATGTAAATGTAATAAGTTATTGATTTAAGGACGTCAACTTGTTTAACAATAAGAAATTATTTGAATTTTTTTTTTATTTTGAGTACAAAAAGATGATGGGTTTTGATTATTTGTGTAAATGTAATAAGTTGTTGATTTTCTTTGTAGATTTAAGGACGTCAACTTGTTTAATAATGATAAATTAATTGATGATTTTTTATTTTGTGTACAAAAAGACGAGTTATGATTAATATATTTGTTTTCTTTGTTATGCATAATAGTGAGACAGGGAGCATGTTATTGTACTGTAATATGAAGTACAGTAGTGAGGGCAACATGCTGAGTCATAATATTTATGTTGTATGAGAAATTTACAATGATGTCAGGTTGCGGAGATTCCTCTGTGGTTGAGGAAACATATTTATTAATATTGTAATACTTAAATGTTTGAACAAACTGTAATTACTAAAACTTTTTCACTGATGTGGCAAGTTAGTACAGGTTGTACCTCTCTAGTCCGGCAACCTCGGGACCTGACCGGTGCCGGACCATGGAAATTCACCCTTTTCCTGGATAGATAGTGACTTGTGCTTATGCTTGGAAGCAGTAGCATCAATTTCTCTGCATCATGGTCTCTTTGAAGACATATTGAAGGGTTAAATGTCGTATAGTAGCTTCTCAAATTTTGCGAGTTTTTAATTCAACGTATTTTATTGAAACACACACAAAAAAAAAATAAATACAAATTTTGACGGCGGAAACTTGAATTTCGACGGGTTTGAACGGCCCGCCAACGTGCAGACGACGTGCATAATCGTGTAAACAGCGTCGTTTCTCTTATGTACAAAAGATTCATTATTATTTACTATTGAATGTCTTTTTTTATTGAATTAATGTTTATGTGTGCAAAATGAGCAATACAATTCATTAATAATACGTAGAATATTAAAACGCACGAGGAAATGACTCGGCAATGTTTTCGTTGATTACAAAACCAGTGACTGACTGGTTCTACATATAAAACTGAAGAAAATAAAACTTTGGTTGTAGCTGTAGTAAAATTAATATGGTTGTTTTAAGTATTGTTATTTAATATTAATAAATGGAACAATAGAAGTAGCTAACGATAATGGTAAAGAAAAAAGAGAGATCGCGTATGTAAGTGCACACACGTGAAAACATATCGTCATTACTTTACATAAGAATATGAAAGCAACACTTATTTACTGATCATATATATTGAAGGGTTAAATGTTGTACTCTGTATAGACAAGCAGAGAGAGAGAGAGAGCAGCCGAATTGCCGGATGTAAACAAACCTTAATTTCCTGCGGCTTTGTTGTTGTTTTTTTACGGGGATTAGCCCACCCGGGCATAGGTCACTGACCCACATTGGGGCCTGAGGGGCAAAAATTTAATAATCCTGTAATAATAATAATAATTCAGGTAAGTAAAAAAAAAATGCCCATCTACCTATTGGACAAACTAAAATCGTTCCGGACCACAGAATGCCGGACTAGAGAGGTACAACCTGTAGTACAGTACTGTACTGTATCTGCTTCTAGCATACCTACTTACAGTAACTTATGTCAGGAGCCAAGTTGTAATTGTTTACTTCATCAGAATTATATTTCTCTTATTTATGTAAAAAGAAATGCTGTTTAGGGATGTGTTGACCATATATTGATGTAACATTAAATCAATGCCTTAGTGACCCACACAAATAGTGCTGCTCAATTCCCTAATTATCCACAGCTTGGCTAATTTTACTAGTGATGCGCATGGATGTGATTTTTGTGTGTGTACGTCCACTATAAAGTTCCAAACAACAAAAATGGAACGACTTTCTATGTTCCACCAAATTATTGAAAGTAAACTGTCCTTTATTTTATTTTGGCCTTGTTCTGTCGTTTCTTAGTACTGATTGCCACACAATAACTACAATTCTTTTACAGTATATATCTACTGTACCCGTGTTATTTAGGGTTATTTTGCACATTGAAACCACCAGAAAATTAAAATTTTGGAAGACATACAATATCTTAAAGCTTTGGTACAGATGGTGGTGGTCCATGTAGACAATATGTGATACAGGAGACACAGGGTTGCTACCCTCCTCAATCTTGTATTGGCCCAACTGGTAACCTGACTAACGTGATATAAGGATGGTGTCTGCCTGGGCACCTCACATCCATGTTCCCAGTCCTTTGTACACAATTATTCCATCAACACATCATGTTTGTTTGTGTCATTTCTACTCGCCTGCAATTTGTACTGTTTAATTTAGATGTGATTTTGTATTAGTTTAAGTGCTCTAGCAATGGCTTTTGGTGGTGATTCTCGCAAGTCATTTTAGAATAGCTGAAAATAAGTAGATGCAGCAGAACGTAGGACCCTGCACACCCCCTCATCCAAATGCACATCATATCGTTCCTATGTCCACACTTGTTCCATCAACTTATTGTTCTTGTATGGTGTCAGCTTGGCTACAAATTTTAATATTCACTCTTTAAAATATGTATTTTTTGCCACTGGTATTAACCTCCAGTAGTGGGTGTGTAGGGTCCTAACAGGATGCTTCAGAAAAAAAAAAGAAGGCTGAACTTAGAGTACAGTGGTCCCTCGGTTAACGAATTATCTTCCATAAGAATCTTCAATTCGGTTAACGAAAACAAAATTGATTAACGAAATCCTTATGAAAATCACATTTTGTTTTGAACATCAGCTGATAAGCTGAGGAGGTACTCAGCCAATTCAGGGATCTCTTCTATGTTTACATTCAAACTAATCACTATCTTATAAAAATTCCAGCAATGCAAATTAAATTCACCCCGGTCACTTCTATTAAATTTTATGAGCAAAAAACAAAAACTCAATCTAAAAGAAAAAAAATAAACTAACAATTAAATACTTCACACCACAGGCGCCAACTGTCAAACATGTTCACTGTCACCCCTCCCTCCCTACCCCCCACCTTCCTGAGAAACGTTTGGGGAAAAGGACTAGGTTTACAGGTTTAAAAATAAATAAAACCTCAGACTAAAGTTAGGATAATATAATTTGCATTGCTGAAATCCTTACAAGACAGGGAATAATTTGAATATAAATGTCATATTTTGCACAAAAGATAAAATTTTTGCTCTCCCTAATAAAATTCTTAAATTAGATGTAAAATTTGTGTGTAATGCAAATTTTAGCTTGTTTATATTCAAATTAATCACTATCCTATAAGAATTCCAGCAATGTAAATTATATTCTGGCTTTACTTTGTATATACTTTTCTGTGAGCTGGAACCAATTACCCAATATCCCATTGAAACACTGGTTTCGGTTAACGGACGACCTTCTGGAACGAATTGTGCTTGTTAACCGAGGGACCACTGTACTACTATACAATTTTGCCTTGGTTTTGGCAAAAAAAAGTTAGGTCAGGGTACAGTACTTCTGGATTTTAATTTCTGATTTATCTTGTGTTGTAGATAATGAAGAAAGCAGTAACTTGTACTGTACATGGGACAGGTATGGTGTTAATAGTCTTGCATGCTGATCAAAACGGGTTCTTAAGGTGCAGAATACAGTATTTACTTTTTGGGACGAGCCTACCCCAATTAGTCCAAAGGTGAGTGTTTATGTACTGTACCAGGTTTCTTTGATGCTAAACCACTTGCTTATTGCTGTACTATTAAGTCTTACTAAAAGCAACTGGCAGTCCAGATCATATTAAAAATGTAAGACCTAGGTACAGTATTATACACTCGCATTTAGTTTATTTCTATGTTATAAAAGGAAAATAAAGAACATTAATTTCATAGAAAACACTAATAGAGGGAGAGGGTAAAAGACAAACGAATGACCCTGTAAACTTTTTGAAGGGCATTTGGGTATGTTTGATGAAGTGTCAGTATGACCCAGAGACGGACCATCTCACTCTATTACCTTTGATGGATATGTACTTGGAGTGTTAAAATTTAATGACAGGAGTAATCGGTGTTATAGGAATGTAGAGCTGAGGCACAACACTGGTCTCAAGAATTACACTTGATATGCTAATTAAATTCTTCATTAAAAAGAGAGAAATGTATGCCGCCAAGCACAACATTTAATGACGTTTGGGGTGCAAGATAAATGACTTATTTATTGTATATTTTAGATATACTGTACCAGATTTAAATGTTTCAAAATCCATAGATGGAGACTTAATGTTTTCAGTGATCAAATTTTCGAGTGTTGTCACTGGTTCAAGTCCAGGGCACCACCAGGTAACCCAGCTGTGAATGGGTATCTACCGGTAACTTTACAGTTGGGTAAATGAAGGCAGTTGAGTATAGTGCTAACCACACTGCCTCCTTGTGCACCAAAGGCATTATATACAGTGTACAGTAGGGGGCAGGGAAAAAACACTTTTATTTGAGTTGCAGGCTGCACTTTTCAGGCATCGTTTGTATGGCTGTAACAAACACCTGTGCAAAATTTCATGCCATTTCATGCATACTTACCCTGCCGCATCACGAACGACTTTTTGTCAACTTTTAGTGTATACCAAAAATTAGGTGTCATTTAATGTTTTCCAGGATAATGATAAATTTTACATGGGTGACATCGATTTAATTCACATGTTATTTTACAGGTACACCGTATAGAAAATCATTACAAGTTCATATTATTCTTTTTTGTGCGGAACCTTGGCATCATTTTCCTAGACAATAATCTTTGCCTAATATATCCATCTCTCGATTCGTATCCCGTCACTTCA